TGTTGTCTGTGGTGAATGTGGACACAATTGATGAAGCCATCACATTGGTGAATGCCAACAAGTATGGAAATGGAGTTTCATTATTCACTCTGTCGGGAGCTTCTGCACAGAAATTCACCAAGAACATCGCTCCGGGCCAGGTAGGTATCAACGTTCCAATTCCAGTGCCATTGCCAATGTTTTCGTTCACCGGAAACAAAGGGTCTTTCTTGGGAGACCTCAATTTTTACGGCAAAGCAGGAATCACGTTTTTGACCAAACCAAAAACCATTACTACATTATGGAAGACCACCCCCTTCGAAGAGGGTCTCAAGCCATCTACAGTGATGCCCACGCAACAGTAAGTACATAGCCAACAGTCTCCGAATCTTTGAACCAGTCTTGTGCTCGCATCTAACCCCGTCGTAAGTCCATAGTGGTGTCACTTGTATGCCGGCCGTGCAGCAGCAAGAATCCGGGGACTGCGATGCGATGCAGGAACCCAAGACCCGAGACATCCTAAATTTCCCGGCATCCTGCACCGGATGCGTCAGTCCGCCCGTGGAAGCCGCGGCAGGTTGGTTTGAGCTGCTGGCAACAAAATACTTTTGGTGGCTTTTAAGTAGTTTTATATCACTTTAATCATATTTGTGGTACAGTGTGTTGTTATACTTGTTTCGTTTGCATTAAAAATTCTCGTCTCGGACTTACATCAGCGGTGTTAAGTGTCGCATCCAGCCAGTAGGCGCCGACTGAAAAATTATTACCTCACCCGTCCTGTTCCGAGCACAGACATTTTCACATATATACTGGTGGGCAGCGCAACCGAGTCGCGCCAGCGAAAAACATTGATCGTTCGATTCGCAATTTAATTTATATCATCTATTCAATTATTGTCATTTATCATTGCCATATCATTGCCATATATCATTCATTGCCTTATTGCCATCTATTATTCTTTGGCACACTGTTATTGCATTGAATCATTATTTTCTATCCTTGTTCTTTGCATAACCGTCGCATTATCGATTTCCCCAGACTTGCTTCCATCTCGCTAAAAGCAACCAATGCCTCATGTCTTGTAACATACGGACTTCCAAAAAGTGGGTGCTTCCTCCAAAACCCAGACCAGGCCGCAAACCTACAGATAAACAAGACGAAAAACCTATGATCAACCATTCGATGTCAGCGCAAGAATTGACGTCAAACATTGCTATCATTACTTCCGAAAACCAACAGCTTAAAACTCATCTATTGTCGCTCATCTACGACTACAAAAACTTAAAACATCTTGTTCTCGACCGTTCACCTTCGTCGTCACCGGTGCCTCTGCATCTCGTTTCCTCCACCGAAAGACGCAAGCGGTCGTTCACAGAACTCAACCATTCGGATCCCATGAACAAATTGATCTCGGATATGAACGATTTGAGTCATAACACCCCATCGCTTTCGCCGGCTGAACCTGACACCCCTATAGAACCAGTAGACAATATGGAATATTCAGACACTGAAATTGACCAAGAAGTGTTCAGTTTCATCAACCTTGACATTCTCGACCAAAGAAAGACATTTCCCATTGACGAAGAGTCAGAGCCCGATTCTGAAGTGGAAGACGATGAAAATGAATCCCCCTCACTTTCCAGAACCACATCTCCATCTACATTTTCTGAGAATGAGGAAAATTCACTCATGACTACTCTCACCCGGTCCACTACCGTTTCCACCAATAACTCCTTTTTCCAAGACAGAAAAGTCAAACCCGGCAATTCTGCCGTCAAATTTTACGATCTCCCCAGTTTCACCCCATCGGACTATAATTTCACGTTTGAGAACATCGACCAGTCGGCCAACTTGATGTCGATCATACAAGAAGATAAATACAATATGGTTACAGATTTCCTAGAAGAGAAACTTATAGACAACGATCTTAACTATTACGTGCAAAACGAAAGATTGGGATGACTACGATTAATGCTATTTATTCGATGAAATAAAAAAAAATGTCATTCTGAAACGTAGAAATGCGACCTCGCTAAATTCTAAGCCTACCTCCCGAGCCGAGCGGGCACCACTCGCCGCACTGGGACCATGTGATGCCTACCACTCCTATTTCTATAAATAAGGTATAAACAAACATTGCTCTGCACTAAATTAGTGCACCTTATCTTGTTTGCACCCATCTTGATGCAATCTAGACTCCCCCTTTGCTTTGTTTACTAACACTATAAATACCTTCCTGCGACAACCTCTAACCTTAAATAGGCCTAGATTGACATTTGCCCTTATCAATTATTTGAAATGAAATTTACTACTGTTATATCTTTGCTTGCTACTTTGGCTTCTGCTATTGCTACCGCGACTCCAGTGGCTACCTACAATAGTTTCCAAGAATTGTCTGATGCGATCTTTGACTTTCCTCGGGGTTTGGCGTACTTTAGCAAAGATACCAATCAATGGCTTTTGTTTAACGAAGACCACGATGTAGATGAAGCTGCTTTTGAAAAGTACGCTTTGGTGGATACAGACGCTGCCATTTCTGCTGCGGAAAGTCAAGGATTTTCATGTGGAGAGATTTCGCAATCGTATACTTTCAGTGAGCCTCAAAGTACCGTGGCCGAGGTTCTTGTGAAGAGAGTTTCTTGCAAAATCAGCCCATGTAGCAATTCACAGACTTGCTGGCGAAATGGCTGCAAACAATGTATGGGAGGAAATGGTCGGTGTTTTGGAAACATTTAGCGAGGTGAGAACCAAAATTAGGATTCAATGCGCGAAAGTGCGATAAGATTTATGAATTTGTAACGAGACTGATTTGAAGTATATGTTTTTGACTGTGTAGAATGGACATGGGACATGGGGACATGGTAACATGGTAACATGGTAACAACGTGATTCGATAATTCTTTGTTAATGTCTTTTTTTGTGTTCTTCTCTTTTCTTGCCATTTCTTTCTTTCTTTTTTCTCGTCGTTCCTTACACCTCTCTTTATGTTCTCTTTCTCATCAAGTGTCCTCTCTCATTTTTCTCCCTTCGGATACGTCGCCTATTCCACCCCACCTTCCTGCCCACCATTCCTGCACCGCACCCACCGGCAACATTTCCTCTCCTGTATAATATTCCGAGAATTGTTTCGATATAAGTACCCATGGAAGCCCTCGTAGACCAGCTCGAATTCCCCATTGATTTCAAAGGCCAGGCTAAAGCCGAGAGACTCTCAACCATACTAGTTTACTCAGGAGTAGTGATAGCTTTATTAGCTGGCTTGATTACTCAAAACTTGACAATTTTGTTCTACGTGTTCTTTTCTTGTCTTGTTGCTACACTTGCCGTGGTGGTTCCTGCCTATCCTTTTTACAAAAAGAATCCCCCACAGTGGCTAAAGGTGAAATATGACTTCTAAATCCTCAGCTAATTACGAGCTGCTGAAAGAATTGTACTTGGGTTTTGATTTATCTACTCAGCAATTGAAAATCATTGCTACCAATGGTAAATTAGACCATTTGGGAACCTACAACGTGGAGTTTGACCAGGAGTTTGGAGAGAAATACGAGGTGAAAAAGGGGGTGAGAGTCAATGAACAGTCTGGTGAAATTGTGTCTCCAGTTGCAATGTGGCTCGATGCCATAGATTTCTTGTTTGGCAAGATGAAACAACAAAACTTTCCATTCGACAAGGTTGTTGGTATCAGTGGCTCTGGTCAGCAACATGGGTCTGTCTACTGGTCGCTGGATGCACCTCAATTGTTGTCTAACTTGGACGCTTCAACAACTCTTGCATCCCAGTTAAAATCTGCATTCACGTTTCCTGAATCTCCCAATTGGCAAGATCATTCTACGGGAGAGGAAATCAAGGTTTTTGAAGATACGGTCGGTGGTCCTGAAAAGCTCGCTGAGTTGACAGGCTCGAGGGCTCATTACCGATTCACGGGCCTTCAGATTCGAAAATTGGCAGTAAGAAAGAACCCAGAACTTTATAGAAAAACCCACAGAATCTCGTTGGTGTCCAGTTTTGTTGCCAGTGTGTTGTCTGGTGAAATCACTACTATTGAGCAAGCGGAAGCATGTGGAATGAACATCTACGATATCAAGAAGCACGACTATGACGATGAACTCTTGTCGTTGGCTGCAGGTGTTCATCCAAAGGCAGATAGCGCATCAGAAGAAGAACGAGAAAAGGGCATAGCATCGTTGAAAGAAAAGTTGGGTGAAGTGAAGAAAGTTTCTTATGACAATTGTGGAACAATTAGCTCATACTTTGTGAAAAAGTTTGGTCTCAACCCTTCTGCTCGTATTTACCCATTTACTGGTGACAATTTGGCGACGATTATTTCCTTGCCACTTCACCCAAACGATATCTTGTTGTCATTGGGTACCTCGACCACTGTGTTATTGGTGACTCAAAATTTCAAGCCATCGGCTCAATACCACTTGTTTGTTCATCCAACTATGCCCAACCACTATATGGGTATGATATGCTACTGCAATGGTGCACTTGCTCGTGAAAAGGTTCGAGATGCTTTGAATGAAAAGTACAGCTTGGAAAAGAACTCGTGGGACAAGTTCAACGAGGTTTTGGACAGTTCCAAGAAATTTGACAACAAGTTGGGAATCTATTTTCCTCTAGGCGAGATAGTGCCCAATGCCTCTGCCCAGTTCAAGCGCAGTAAGCTTGCCAATGGCAAGATTGAAGATGTGGAGTCGTGGGATATCGACGAGGATGTTAGTTCTATTGTGGAATCTCAATCATTGAGTGCTCGACTTCGTGCGGGTCCTATGTTGAACGGTTCTGACTCGAGTAATTCCTCAACACCCGAATTAGACGAGTCGTCATCAGGCGAGAGCTCCAAATTGAAGAAGATGTACCACGAACTCCACTCGGAATTTGGTGATTTGTACACCGATGGTGAGAAACACACATATGGGTCTTTGACGTCTCGTCCCAGGAACACTTTTTTTGTTGGCGGAGCATCCAATAACCTCAGTATTGTGAGAAAGATGGCGTCTATACTTGGAGCCATGGACCACAACTACAAGGTGGAAATTCCCAATGCCTGTGCTTTAGGTGGGGCATACAAAGCTAGCTGGAGTCACACCTGTGAGAAGAAAAACCAATGGATCAACTATGATGACTACATTAGCCAAAACTTCCATTTTGACGATTTGGACCCAGTACAAGTGAAGGACGAATGGGAGAGCTATTTCAAGGGGATGGGAATGCTCGCCAAGATGGAGGAGAATTTGAAGCATGATTAGCTAAAGACAAGCATAGACGATATTTTCGCACTCGTATTTTCAGATCAAATAATCTTGATATACATCTTCAATGAGAAAGTGTACCGCCATATTGGGCACATACAAGAGCACTAGGCCACGTTTGGGTCTTGGATTTGTGTTTACTAGACTCTATAGTACCCAGAATGAACTTTTAGAACAGATCAAGAACCGCATACAATCTATTTCAGATGACCAAAATGGTAAATTTGTGACTTCTCTCATGTCAACCTTGAACGGTAAAGACGACCAATATCGTTCATTGGTGAAGCAGATCAATGAACTAGACAGTATACCCGAAGATACAAGACACTCAATCTTGAATGAGGTTCTTTCATTAGCATTGAAGCATGACTTTTCGCTCTACTATAATGTACCTGAAAATCATCAATGGTCAGCAAAAGCTATCAAAACACTTGTTCAGGCAAACCCAGGTCGTGCAATGTCTACCTGGGAGCTAATTGCTCGTCATTCGATCGATCCTGCTGATGATCTTCTCGAAGTGCTTGTTGAAAAGGCACTTTTTGGAGAACGATATGAACAGGAAGAAAGCGAACAATTTGAGTTTAGCGGGATGCACATATACAAGGCGATAGACTTATTTGGAAGGATTAGCCAGCCCAGCAAAGAAATCCTGAAGTTGCTTGTGAGCACGTTGATAGAACAGAATGCACTTAGCTCATTGAAATATGCCAAGATAGACCCTACGATCTTGAAAGAGATTTTAGAGGAAGACATCTCTCCTGTTGCGTACTTGAGGATTTTCCAGGTTTTGTTTGAGCTTGAACCAGGCATGTTATCAAAGAAGGACTTGAGTAAGGCACTCCTAAATTGTTACGCTAGTAACAAACTGAGCTTTGAAACTGCATTGGATCATGACACGAAGTCTTGCAAACAATTGGAGAAGTTTTTCGGAGAGCCAATGGCTCCCATTGATACAAAGTTGTTGATGGTAACTATTGTTGCATACATCGATCAGATCAAACTAGACAGCGACAGAACTCCGGACTCTCTTTTATTGAGACTCGAGATGGTCAGAGCATATGGTATCTATCTCGATGATATAAGTGCTGCTTTGGAAAAGTTTCATTACTATCAAACTCACGACAAATTTGGGATTGAATTTGTACAGCTCAATCTTCAGCAAGCATTCACTTACCAAGCAGTACTACAGGACAACCCTCATTACCTCAAAGTTGCCGAGACACTCATTACCCCAGAACAAATTGCTGTTACTTCTTTGAAACATTTGATTCTAGCAAGGTCGGCATTTGATGTCAATTCAAGTCTCGAACTCTACAATGATTACATCCAAAAAGTGTCTAAAGACATCAATTCCACCACCAACAGATCTGCAGCAGGACAATTGACCGAAGCGTTGATGCTAGCTAACCTCTACAACAACGACAGAGAATTTGCCCATGTAATATTCGATGGAGCTGTCGCACTGGGCACTGTAAAAGACGAGCACGAAATTACAAAATTACAAAATCTTTTCAAGGTTTACGGGGATGCGTGGAAGCACGACAATTGGGAGTCAGCAAAGCCCATTCTCAAGTCGGAAATACTCAAACATATTCAACAATGAATAGGTGATAAACCCGATACCACAGTTCCTGCATGCGCCAATGACTCATATGCAATCTATCATATAAAACACGAGTCTCATTCAACTGAAAAATTCCACTGAACATGTCAGCACCTGTTTCTTTACATCTCAGAGCCGAGACCAAGCCCTTAGAGGCCAGAGCCGGATTGTCACCATCCGTAACCAAGGAATTATTGGATGCTGGTTTCAAGGTTTATGTTGAAAAGAGTTCACAATCCACTTTCGACGCCGACGAATATGCTAAAGTTGGCGCTGAAATTGTACCTGAGGGTTCGTGGAAGGAAGCTCCCAAGGACCGTATAATCTATGGATTAAAGGCGTTGCCAGAAGATGAAACTTTTCCTCTTGTTCATGAACACATCCAATTTGCTCATTGCTACAAGGACCAAGCTGGATGGAAGGATGTCTTGTCGAGATTTCCTGCCGGAAACGGAACGTTATACGACTTGGAGTTCTTAGTGAACGACGAGGGCCGTAGAGTCGCCGCGTTTGGTTTCTATGCTGGTTTTGCTGGAGCTGCAATTGGTTTGAAGGACTGGGCTTTCAAGCAGACTCACGCCGATAATGAGGAGTTGCGTGGTGTCACTCCATATGCCACTGAGGAAGAGTTAATTAAGGACGTTAAGGAGGATCTCGATGCTGCTTTGGCCAAAAATGGGGGCAAGTACCCACAATGTTTGGTCATTGGTGCCTTGGGTAGATGCGGCTCTGGAGCCGTGTCTTTGTTCAAGAAGGCTGGTATTCCCGATGAAAAGATTCTCCAATGGGATATGAAGGAAACTGCCCGCGGTGGACCTTTTGAGGAAATCACTGACTCGGACATTTTCATCAACTGTATCTACTTGTCCCAACCCATTCCTCCATTTGTCAGTTCCGAGACCTTGAATTCCGAAAAGAGAAAGTTGAGAACTATAGTCGATGTGTCCGCCGACACCACCAACCCAAACAACCCTATTCCAGTGTACACTGTAATCACTGATTTCGACAAACCAACGGCCCTTGTCGAAACCACTGCTGGTCCAAAGTTGTCTGTGTGCTCCATTGACCACTTGCCTTCGTTGGTTCCTAGAGAAGCCTCTGAAACCTTTGCTAAGGACTTGTTGCCTACATTGCTCCAGCTTCCTGATAGAAATACTGCTCCGGTGTACCAGAGAGCCAAGCAACTTTTCGAAAAGCATGTCGCCAGATTGAATTAATAAGGCTCGGTAATTGATACTGGTTATGTATGGATGCGCCTATAGAGAGTTTTCTTGAACTATCTTGACTGTTAACATTAATGTAAAGCAATTAGTACTCGAATTGACGAACTGGTCATTTTGCTACCTATAAACCCATCGCTACTCTAGATCGCTACTCGAGTGTAACGCTCACCTTGGACTTTTGATTCTTCTTCTTTTTCTTTGGTTTCATGACTTTCTTGATCTCTTCACCATCAGTCTCATATTCCGATTCTGGGGCTGGTTCATCGTCCTCTGTCAAACGTCGTTTCATGGTACTGGATTTCTCTACGCTTTCTGAGCAAGCAGATACACAATTGAGTCTTTCTCCTGAATCGTAAACTGCAACTTCGGTTTTTTCTTGAATGTCCCATACCACGATTTTACCATCTGAAGACACCGAAATTAAGTAGGTCTTTCCCGCAGTTTCCGTAGGATTGGAAAATACCGTGATATCCTTCACACGGTTAGAGTGTCCTCTTAAACTGAATGCTGCTTCCAAGGTTTCTTGCTCATCTGGAGACCCACCTTCTTCACATAGTTTTGACATTTTGTAGAATTCAATGAGACCTTTCCCATTTCCTGTGATCAACCATTCTTCTCCATCAATGACTGCTACTTGCATGCACATGAGAGTAGATGCAAATTTAATTCTTCTAATCATAGTGGCTGAAGATGTGCTGTAAACGAGAATTTGACTCAAGAGTCCAACCACAAAATTTTCACCAGATTGTGACCATGCTACCTTTTCTGGTGCCTGACCCAAATGTATCTTACCCTTGATCTTGAGGACAGCAGCTTTCTTAGCAGTCATAAGATTCCATAACCGTACTGTGTAGTCCTGAGAAACCGAGATAGCCACTCTTCCAGAAGGATGTATAGCTACGTCATTGACCTTTCCCTGGTGTCCCTTCAAGGTGCCAAACACCTCCCAGTCCTTAGTTCGCCACACAATGATTTTACCGTCTTCTGAGCCGGAAATCAACCACTTACCAGATTTTTCAGTAACACCTGCTTCATGTTTCTCGTCTGAAAATCGTAATGTGGTCACCGTTCCTTGATGACTGAGGAGATTGCCTAGCTCTTTACGCTTTTGCAAGTCGTAGATACGTATATGCTCGTCGTTAGAACCTGTAACCAAGTATCTCTTGGCGATATCCATACATTTGATGGAGAGTGAATGTGCTTGAAAATGAAAAATAGGTTGGAAAACGGGCTCTTTGCCAAGTATGAGTGACAAGCACAAAAGATTGTGCTCGTAGGACCCTGCCATAATACGAAATTGTACCGGAGCACCGCTCATATTGTGTATTAAAGAAGAGGGTGATGTGCGATGAGGTAGAGACTGCATCAAGATGGCTCGAAAAGTTGTCGCACAGAGAAAGGCTCTATGCAGGTGACGCAAATTAGATGGAACGAACGATACTTTAGTAGACTAGCTACCTGAGGTTCCAGGTCGTGATCTGTCACTATTTCGAAAGGGACTGTTCTCTTGTCAAGTCACCATTTAGTCACCATTTACATTTTTTGTGAATGCGAAATGTAGTTTCACAGTTTACCCTTTGGCCCTGAACCGGATTTTTTAATGACTTCAGTCAGATCTGTACTCAAGTCGGCTTTTATAATGTTTCGTTTTCAATCTCGGAAATATTTTCTCTCAGCTTGAAATCTTGTGTCTTATACTTGAAAATTGCTCTACGCACTATTTGCAGCCATCGCACCTGTATAAGAGCAAATACATATACTTGGCATACCGGAATGATATTAGCAGGGACCCCTTAAGCTGTTCCAGAGTTACTGCTGTGCTAGTTGAGAAGTTGGTTTTCTTGAGTAATTTCTAGCAAATTAGTGACTTTCAATAAAAGTTTATTAGACTTATTTTAATTCTTATTTCTTGTTAGGTGTTGGTCGAGCCTTTTACTGTGAGAGAACATTGAGATAATGGAATGAACGATCCATTGGAGGAAGAAATCAATTACTTTCATGGTACTGTAAACCTTTACGAATGACGTTAACCGAAGCAATAGATGAAAAGGCTAAATAATTCAACTTTCATTTTTTTTTCCCAATTGTTGATTTCTTTATCGCTAGCGTGGCTTTTGCCATTTCTATGTACGCAAGGAAGCCAAAAAGGGTTGAGCCCAAGATATGGGACTTCTGGCTATCCATGGATTTCTGTCAGCTATTTGGTTTTTCACTACAAATCGATAAGAACCACTTAAAAATCATACAAGTGTCTCTTCAGCCTTTCCTTTACTATAACCTCAAATTCATCACCACTAAAACGCATTAAGAAAACCACTACACATACAACTCTTGCCGAGCATCGACCGAGAATCCTGTACACAAACGGTTGCAACCGATCGACCTCGATCGATAATTGAGACTTGGTATTCGCGTATACTTAAGTTCTTCGTTCTATATCCTGGCCGACTATAAGTCATTTTTAGTCATTTTAGTCCAATTCTTTACTTTAATCAATGAACCCATTCACCTCTCTAGCAGAGCAATACGCTTCTGAAGAGGCTCAAAACAATTACAGAATAAACAGAAACGATACTCAGCAAAAACTACTCCTTGAAAATCCCGCTGTAAATGTTGATCCTGTTCTTGCGGGAACGGAGAACGACAAGCGAATGTCTTGTTGCATAGTGTCTCGGCCAGACAATCCAACGAAAGAGCTCATTCTGTCGATTCAACATCAGTTGCAGAGTTCGATATCGACGGAAATTTGGTTGACACCGCCGGAAAACTTGCACATGACCCTTTTGGAAGTTGCCCATTCACGCCCTGAGAAAGAGATCGAATCCCTTGTACATACTTTGAAACCAAAAATGGAAGCAATTAACTCAATCACTGTGAAAGGTCCGGTACTCAAACACCCATTATTGTGTTTTGATGCAAATGCGGTGGCATTGTCGTTCACATCTTCCTATCCTACCCATACCAAGCTCCGTGAAAGTCTCTACGACTTTGTTACTCATCATGGAGTTGACATTCTACCACGCTACGCAGGTCCATCTGCTCATATAACCATCGCGCGCTTCAAAGAACAACTTTCTACTGAAGATGTAAAACATATGTTAAAAACAATTGCATCGATAAACAAGTCCATGCCAAACCACGAGTGGAAAATTACATCGGCATCACTCTCATCGGGCATTATCTGGTACGGCCAACAGGGCACTATGTTTCAGTAGCTGGACCATTCCTATCTGTACACCCATACACCACAACGTTTGTTCGATCCAAAGTATTAATGTTGTTTGCAACAATTACCCTCCTTACCCAAAACACACTATGGTGAACCAACGAACCCCGTCTCAACACAATTCGACCTTGTTCATTCTGCCGCACATTGCTACCCGCCGACAACTCTTCAAGACACCCCCAAACCCTTCTACAAAGCTCTTGGACTCACCAGGGTCTCATTCGTTTTTTCTTGAACGAAGTGTTACAGGTGAAGGAAATGATTCTGATCCACTTACTCTCGTCGAGAGGCTACGCTTGTGGCGTCATGATGCTCTCATGCAACATCAATATCAAACAGCTGCATTTGTGGGAGATAAAGTACTCTCCTTGACCCACGACGCCAATGATGCTTTCTGGTTGGCTCAAGTATATTACAATAGCGGGCAATATTTGCGAGCGAAGGAGCTTATACTGGGAAAACCTGAATACGAAAAGTCAGTTACGTGCCGATATCTCGCTGCTCGAAGTGCCATTAAGCTAGAATTGTGGGATGAAGCATTGGATCTTGTAGGTGAAAATAACCCATTCAGCGACCGTTCAGATCGTGCTCGTGGAGAAAGAACTATTCTTTCAGATAATAAGCGTACAGAACAGCCCCCAAAAGAAGTTGGTGACGGGGGAATAAAACTCGAAGCGTCGATGTGCTACTTGAGAGGAATGATTTATGCCAACCAGAATAATTTTGAAAGAGCCAAAGAATGTTACAAGGAGGCCTTGGTGGTAGATGTCAAGTGCTATGAGGCATTCAACGAACTTGTGTCTAATAGCATGATGATGCCAGCTGAAGAATGGGACTTTGTGCAAAATCTTCGTTACGATGATGATTTAATAAGGCTATTGTATTGCAGCCGCTTGAGCAAGTACGTGAACCGCGCGCGGTACGAGGAGGCCGATACCATTCTCAACCAAGAATACGAACTACATGACAATAATGACCTACTCGTCAATAGGGCCAATTATTTATATGTTCTGTGCAACTTTGACGAGTGTCTACAAGTTTGTGAAAAAGTGCTAGCACAAGACCATCTCAACTTTGAAATACTTCCCCTCTACTTTAGCTGTCTTTACGAAAATGGCGGGAAAAACAAGCTCTTTCTCAAGGCACACCAATTGGCCGATACCCATCCAACAGATCCCGTAACTTGGTTGGCTATAGGCACCTACTACTTGCTGGTCAATAACCTCCCCGAAGCTCGAAAATTCTTTTCAAAGGCGACTCTTTTGGATCCAAACCATGGCTATGCCTGGATAGGTTTCGGCCATACATTTGCTGCCGACGGTGAACACGAACAGGCTATGTCCGCGTATGCTTTTGCTGCTCGTCTCTATCCTGGAACTCATCTTCCCCATCTATTTTTGGGCATGCAACATTTTCTCATGAACAATTTCAGTCTCGCCCAAGAGTATCTCCAGTCACTGTACCAGATCTGTGCCACAGATCCCCTCCTTCTCAATGAACTCGGAGTGGTCTGCTTCCATCGTAATAATCTATCTCGAGCCCAAGCATATTTTGAGGAAGCGCTTGCAGCCGCTAAGCACCTCAATGCCGACTCCAAAGCTTGGATATCGATACACACTAATTTGGGACACACGTTTCGTCGGTCCAAGCAACTAGAAAAAGCACTAGAATGCTTTCAGCAAGTACTCCGTCTTAGCCACAAAGATGATGCCAGTATTTTGGCGGCCGTTGGACTTGTTCACTTGAAGTTGGGGAATGCTTCAATGGCAGTGGAATCGCTTCATAATTCACTCGCGATATCTCCATCGAATCCAATTGCAAACGACCTCCTCAAGAGAGCGTTGGAGTTGAGTCGAGACTCGTTTGCGTCGGTTCAAGTGCCTGGAATACCCAAATCAAAGAGACTAGACGATAAGCAAGATGTTAGTGAACTCGCCGAATCGCTAAAGAGAGGTGAGGAGTCAAGTGAAGATGAAGAAATGGAGATTGAAAGCGACTAACCCAAGCACGATAACTATAAGCACTATACGAAACCCATCACAAGCCACACACAAGCATCTCGTTCCTGAACCTAATTACTACTTTGAGAAAATATCTACAAAGTCCAATAGAAGTTCTTGAGGAAGTTCTGCTGGAGCCTCATAGAGCCTCATAGAAGCTCCGAGCTCGTAAATAGCTAATCTCTACGTTGACAATGCCCGGCCTGTATTCAACCTGGTTTTCGTGCTTCGTCTATTTTGATTTCGCCCTGCGCGGCCTGCTGCGGGAAGAACAATAAAACTGTCTAAAAGGGGTATGGAACCTCCTTTGTATACGGATCAATAACACACCACACAATTTAAGGGGGTTTTAAACGTAGTTATATATCCGAGACAGCTACTATATTTGCACTAGGAATTGTCCTATCTAATACTCATTGCAAACGTGAATTTTTAATAGCTCAATTTGTACCCACAAAAAAGCCGCTATCAGCTGACCAATAGACCTTGTCCCAGCTGACGAGATAAACGATTCGTGCCATCTTTAATTTGGCTCGTCAAATCATTGCATTATCATACCATCATGAACACAAGATCACCGATCACAGGAGACGACTCCGAGACCAATGTATTGGATATTGCATTTAACCAAGACCAAGGCTGTTTTGCCATTGCCCACGAGCACGGGTTTCTAGTGTTTAACACGGATCCGCTTGATTTGCGGGTCAAGCGGAAGTTTGCGGGAACTTCTTCTGGGGTGGGCCATATCGCTATGCTTCATCGTACAAATTACTTGGCACTTGTGGGGGGCGGAATCAATCCACGGTATCCCGAAACCAAGCTCATGATTTGGGACGATCTCAAGCGGAAAAATAGCTTGCAATTGGACTTTTCCACGCCGGTTTTGAATGTTCTCTTGTCAAGAACCAGAATTGTCGTCGTGCTCAAAAACCACGTTCATGTGTATGGATTCTCGTCCCAACCCCACAAAATTGCATCTTACGAAACAAGCGACAACCAACATGGCTTGGCAGACTTATCGGTCAATGTAAGCTATAATGACATTGATAGCTCAGCTTCTACGTCTGGCGAATCTTCAAACTCCAACGACTCGAAGCATGAAGGCAAGCAGCAAACCCTAGCATTTCCCGCACGTACTGCGGGCCAAATCCACCTAGTCGACGTCTCTACCCAGGGCCAAGAGCGTAATGTGGTCAACATCATCAAGGCTCACAAATCAAGCATTCGTTGTCTAACTCTCAACAGATCAGGTACACTCATAGCATCGGCGTCTGAAACAGGCACCATCATAAGAATTCATTCCACTCGCTCTACAGCATTATTATTCGAGTTCCGCCGAGGACTCGACAGAGCAGATATAACTTCCATGAGATTTTCCCGTGACGATAGTAAACTTGGGGTTCTATCGGACAAAACAACCTTACATGTATTTAATATTAACCCCTCTCAACAAGAACAACCGGACGATGAGGTCAAAGCTCCCACAAATAGACACCACCTATTTAGCTTTCTTCCAGTCCCGGTGCCTACATACTTCCGTTCAGTGTGGTCTTTTTGTTCCGTAAACACAAATCTGGATCATCCACGCTCCGAAGAGAACGACACTGGTGTCATAGGATGGTCGTCAAATGATAGCATTATAGTTGTTTGGAAGAAGAAGCAGCTTTGGGAACGTTATGTGATCGGCCAAGCTGCCAATGGCTGGCAGTTGACTCGTCATAGCTGGCGGTCTTTGGCTATTGAAGACGTTGATAAGTGGTAGCTATAGGAGTTGAGATAGTGTTACTTCTTAGTATATGGTGTATTGTATGTACATAATGATTACAGTATAACTTCGCATAGTATAGGACTATGGAACAGTTTGTGGTGGGAAGCCAGAACCAGGCGCCATCTTTTGCCATGGTAATTACGAACAAACCGACGGGCGTTCTGATGGTCTGCAAATCTGATGAGTGTTAAATGAATTTGGTTGACTGGGTCGAGTCGAATGGTGGTGAAACAATCATTGATGCTGGAAGGTTTAGCCAAGTCGTAGTCCCAAAGTAATTTTGGAAGTGCATGCGGAGAAAGGTCCATTGGAAGGTTTCGAACAAGAACTGAGCTATGTCTTGTCTTAGGGTCGAGGAATTTAAATAGAGGTTTGTGAGTAGGGTCCAAGTCCAGCAATTTGTAGCTTTCGGAATCTCGAACTATCGTGGAAGACGTCTCCTTGATTTCAGCTAAAAGCTTCTGCTTCTCTTTTGATGACAGGAATATCATATTGACTGGAGTCTTGGGTACCAGCTCATACATTATGGGTTTGTTTTTCAAGACATTATTGATGTTTGAGTCTAAAAATGGCGACAGCATGTACTTGAGCTCGGACTCTTTGGGTAAAACAAATTCAAGTTTCATATCGAAACCATTCACTACCTTATCTCTCGTCTCCATCCAATACACACACGCATGTTTATGGGACTCAAAAAGCAAGTAATATGACCCGCTGTGAAGTAAACTTAGGGGATTTCGTCCTTTTATAGCACTGAACGGAAGTCCATTACGACGCAAGTCTCCCACGAGATTATAGCGTCGTTCTCTGTTGATGGGAAAAAGATTGTAGAAATCATACTGGGATATTAATGAGTTGGGACACGTAAACTTGAGTATATTTGAGCGATTCTTTGTCAAAGTACCTTGAGGAAGATCCGCAACTGCTTGTTCGATTGGTTTTTGTTTCCATTCGTTTTCTGCTAAAGAGTCTAAAACTGACTTTTGGGGCACGTCGTCTTGTTGATATAAAACTTTCGTTACGATCGGTACCTTTGTTGCCACCTCCTTCAGCGTGGTGGTGTATAAAAGATTAAGTAGTCGATCAGATGCCTTTTTATCAATCTTCATTATATAGTTTGCAGCTCTCTGGTCAAATTAGTGTGGGTCAGCGGCCTATATGCAGTACGCCCATCATAAACCACAATTTCGTCATTTATATGAGACAATGGCTTTATATCCTTCCAGATACTTTTTCTCAATCTTGTTCTCCTACTAGAAACCAAAATCGGTTTTGAATCCTTTCTCCGTCCCTCGCTGCCTCGTTCCTCGTTCCCCACCGCAGGCTGCTCGTAAGCCCATACACCCATGTGGATGGTCAAAATTAGAGCGACCCTGGTGATTCCGAGTTTTGTCCCTTTCGCTGCTACCGTCTACGAGTCTTTGTAGAGCACATTTTTTCGTCGTTTTGTTTTACAACGAGTGTTAAAATTGTGTAATTGGCTCAGGCGATACGAAATATTTGTCTTACGATTTGCAGTTTCAGGAGGCGTTTTCGTTTTGTATCCAGTGGTTATACAACCTTACAACTACAAGTGTGCGGTACAGAGCTTACCTTCTCATAGTCTTGAAACACTTCAGCCTGGCTATTTGCTGCCTTGAAATTTTTGGTTTATCTTCAGAATTTGTTCCGCTGTGGCATCGTTCTCCGCGGACCATTATCCATTTACTACAAGCCGAGAAGTACCTGACTTGACTTGAAAGATAACTTATAACCCTATTGGCTCTGTTTTTTTTTGAAGTTCTAGTTTAATGCCATCGGAGACTATTTGGTCCAGCACTTCCAGCGGTGGAAACTACCGCTCTAGAATCGATATGATCAACCCCGAGTTCTCCAAAATGTTCTCAGAAGATCCGTTCAGTGGTAATAGTGAAGCTCAGGGTAGACGGTTTTCCTTCAATGATGGTAGCGATATCGATGATTCCATTTTTGGTTTGAAACGAGGCTCTTTGTCTGCGGTAACAGCTCCCGCTGGTAACTCGAGAGACGTAATGCCGTCAGGTCCCAGACCTCCGTTTGGGACAGCTTCCATTAGCGGAGGTATTGCCAATAGGCACCCACCTCAAGAAAGCTTTTTGCAAAAATTCTCGTCTGTTGCTGATGCGACAAGAGATATCGAGTTATCTAATGGATTGGGATCATTGGCACTTGGTTCTGAGTCTCGTAGAACCAGCTTCAATAGTGCAGCAGAAAAGCCCAGTGGTATTGGCTATCTTTCTACTCCACAAGGATCGATGAATGAGAATTTGAATTCACGTAATTCTAGACATCAGTCCATCAGTGACAAGATCGACAAATACAACAGTACCTCTCCAATCCAGGGTGCTGCTTCCCTTTCGATCAATTCAGACCTAAATGGTGGAAGCAATTCTCCCAAACACCAACCCAACGAACAGAAACAAGGGCATAGTTTTTGGGACCCTGCTGGTGCAACATCGTTCACCCCAAGCAATGTTGGTCCTTTTGTTCCCAACAACTACAGCTACTTTATGGCTGATGGCGTTGGAATGCCTTTGCCTCCTTTTATGTACACGAGAGCCGCTATGGATGGTGCTCCTCCTGCTCCTTACATGGTACCTTCACCTCCTCCATTTATGGATTCTCAATTCTACGGTATGATGAGACCACCTCAGGTACCCGTTGATAATGAAGAAGATGACTCGTCGAAAGAAAAGAGTCAAGAGACTCCGTCTAATGCTGAAGATGAACCTTCTATTAGAGGTTCTCATGCTCCCGGAATCGGCTTGAATCGAGGCATTCCCACGAGCTTTCCTTACCCTTTCCATCCATACCCGTACCAGGCTTCACCTCCTCCTTTCACTCCTTCAGAAGTCAACCAGAAAGTAGAGGAGCGTCCGGCATCGACACCTTCTCAATCTTCAGGGAAGAGAAAAGGAGGGACACGGAATTTTTCTTCAGGTAAAGGCGGTAACCACATTTATAGGTCACCTCTTTTGGAAGAAGTTCGTTCCAATTCCAAGGGCAAGGAATACCATTTAAAAGATATCTATGGACATGCGGTTGAGTTCACAAAGGATCAGCATGGTTCCAGGTTTATTCAACAGAAGCTTCCAACTGCCTCGAACGAGGAAAAAGAGGTTATTTTTAATGAGATTAGAGAGACATCTTATGAGTTGATGACGGATGTGTTTGGAAACTATGTGATACAGAAGTATTTTGAGTATGGTAACAACACTCAGAAACAGGTTCTTTTGAAGTTCATGATTGGTCACATCTATGAACTCTCACTCCAAATGTATGGGTGCCGAGTTGTGCAGCGTGCTTTGGAAGCAGTTGACTTGAAGGGCCAGATTCTGATCATTGACGAATTGAGGGATCATATCCTTGTTTGCGCCAAAGATCAGAACGGTAACCATGTGATTCAAAAGTCCATTGAAAAAATACCATTCTCTGAAATCACCTTCATTATGGATTCGTTGGAAGATCAGATTTACCACTTGTCGACTCATCCCTATGGTTGCAGAGTTATTCAGAGATTATTGGAGTATGCAGATCCTAAGCGACAGCAAGAGATGCTAGATGAATTGAACCGTTTTATCTTCTACTTGATTCAAGATCAGTATGGTAACTATGTGATGCAGCACATCCTTGAGCGTGGTAGCAGCAAGGACAGGGAAGCTATTCTTGAAGTTGTATTAGGATCTGTGGTCAACTTCTCGAAGCACAAGTTTGCTTCAAATGTTATTGAAAAATGTATAAAGTTTGGCACCGTGAAGCAAAAGAGAAGAATTCTTGATGAGGTGATGCTCGGTAACGAAGACCCTACAGTTGAAACCGTGAGCGATGAATCTCCCTTGGCATTAATGATGAAAGATCAGTATGCCAATTATGTGATACAAAAGCTTGTGGAGGGTTTTGACGCAAAGGGAGAAGAGAAGAGAATGCTCGTCATGAAATTGAGACAATACTTGAAGCAAATTTCCTCCAAAAATACTTATGGCAAGCACCTCGCTTCCGTGGAGAAGATGATTGTAGTAGCCGAAACTGCTTTGATAGATGCCGATAATGATCCTTGATGCTACGTTCATTACTAAGTTGTTTTTTATTGTTGTATATAGTGTGAATAGTTAGAATCAGAAAAGAGTATATATGATTGATTGAAATCAAGTAACAAATGTGTATATTTTAGTCATCATACATATATCATATATCCAACGGGTGAAAAGATTCACCCAATTGTTTGGTGAAGGTAGTCCACAAGTCGGACGAGATTTCTTCCACTTGGGCGAAGTGTTCCAGATACAATTTCTTTACTTCTGGTGAACTTATCACCATTGAAGTGGGTCCTTTTTTGACGATGAAGTCAAATAATGTAATTGTCTTTAGTAGACGGCTCTCCGAAATTGTCAAGATTTCAATATCGGTGAGTGTAGTTATTTTGGAGCAGTCTTGTTTTTTGACGGATCGAGCTAGTCCATCCTGATCCCAAGTACCGTCATCAGAAGAGTTGGAAGATGCAATGGTGAAGTTTGCGCTCCCATCACGATCGGAAAAACGCAAGCTCTTCAGGATTTGATTAAGACTTAGCAACGAGGATGAGCTCACCGTTGACGAAACCGCCTCTCTTTGCTGGCCCTCGGCCTGGAAGAACTCGTTTAAATGGGACAAACTGGCTCCAATTGCACCACCCGGGTGTTTAATGGAAAACAACTTTTTGCGCTTGAGCAAATCGTCTTCCAATATTTCAGAGAGAGCCAACACAGTTGCATCGGCGAGAGCTAACGACAATGTGGTCGAAACGGTGGGTGCAGGCAACCCATGGATAGCTTCTTCGTTCAAGTGGGAAGGTAATTCTGCGTAGAGCAACGATTTGACCTGCGGTGACAGCGACAATTTGGACGACTTACTGCATGTCAAAAGGATTATAGGCACGGATTTCGGTATATGGGGCAACAAATTGATGAGTTCTGGGGTGTTTCCACTAGCAGTTATGAAGATTAAACAGTCACAATCACGTATTATTCCGAGGTCCCCATGCAACGCTTCTGACGGATGAAGAGAAGAAGCCTGGATTGAAAGCGAGTTGAGCGTCGCCACCATTTTGTTTCCTATTTTGAGGCTCTTTCCAATGCCACATATGACCAACTTCCCACCCTTCAACGTGGTTTGAAGCATCAACTCCAATGAGTTGAGCAAGTTGAGTTGGACATAGTTTGATGTTCTGTAAAGTTTTTCCAAATGGGACAACGCCTCGCTTTGAGAAGTAAGGGTGTTTGTTACTGACAAGAGAGCAGCCTTCGATAGACGTTCATACTCCATACTGTGATGAGCAATGATTCAATTCTGGCGATCAAGCTAGTGGTGTAAATTGAAGGTGATGGCTGCTGTTCAATATGACCCAAATGTACCCAGAAGCCTGATAGGTGGTTTATAAACTAATAGGTCAGCAATAGTCGGCTATAGCGTATACGGTTGTCTCGGTGTGTAGAAGTTATCTCCGCCACACTCGTTGAATTTTATTTTTTGGATTTCTTTTCGCAACCGAAGACGGATAAGGTTCAATGACAGGATCGGAGTCGGAATCCCAAATACGAGGTACACGATATTGTAGAACTATACCAGTAGCGCTACAGTCAGCAAGAGCCCGGTGTGAAACCGCAACCTGAAAATACGCTAGACTTTTATCCTACAATAATCCACCGTACATGGCAAACTTCACGTGAGAAGCCGCAGGGCCCCACTATGACATGAATTAGTAATGTAGTGACGACATGCGGCTATGTACAGTCGAGTACAGTCGAGGTGTCTTGGAATCCAGAAAAGTGTTGAGGGAAGTTGTGTAGTTGGGTTGTAGTGTCTTCTGTGGTTCAACAGTTAATTTGTAGTGCCGAACATTTTTCATGAAAAATTAAGCTATGAGCTCATTGACTCGTGAGAACTCCGCACGCACGGCTGCTCACCGTGACTCAAGTTGCTGCAACAAGGAGTCGGCGGCAGAACCTGTCACAACGCCCGCTGGTTCTCTTCGAATCAGTTGCTGGGTTTCGAGCACTTTTTCTCGTAGTTTATCAATTTGATCGACTCTTCTGGCCCAGTTACTCACAAAGTGTTTCGGAGTTTGACTGTGCCATATGGTTGCGAATTGGTCTGCTATGATCGCCAAGTTTCGAATGTACAGTGGTAATTGCTGTTCGGAAATGAGCTTGAAATGGCATGTCGCAAAGAGTCCAGGGACTCCAGAACGGCGGAATGTCTTTACCTTGTAGATGTTACGAGCTGGAACCTTGTTACTGCGCTGGATTTCATTGATATGGTTGGTGAACATCGAGGTGCTTTTTGTATGCGGCGAAATGACAATGTTCAAAAAGTTGAATTGAGTCTTGATGATATTAAAGTTGAACTCCTTGCCAGACTCATCGAAAAAGATATTCACATAGTTGTTCCCAATATGTCTTTTTTTCAAGTCGTAGTACTTGTCTCCGTCGTTATTCTTCATTAGAGTCGTAACATGGAACACAATTTGTGTGATTTTATCGCTCCAGAATAATCCATATTCTCCATCACTTCCATTCTCTGTGTCGAGCCCGCCAACATAAACACGTTTATCGCAACCTTTGAGCTTGACAAACTCGCCAATGTTGTTTAAGAAGTCAAGATACGCCCTGGACCCAACTTGGTTGCCCAAAACTTCATTTTCGTTCAGCTGCCGAGGTCCAACATACAAGATTCCAATCTTGTGGAATTCCACAGTTGGGATCCTGTCAATGGTCAGAATCGCTCGCAGGCTAATATAGTCGTCTATCAAAGGCACGGGAGCACTGTTCTGGTCCATATTATCCAGAAACTGGGAGAGAATGTGGGCCGCAGTAATGTAGGACTTTTCCCGACGGTCTTTCTGATCGATGTTTTCGATCATAAGTTTCAAACTTCGAACTCCACTACCGCTCCTAATAATCATTCGTGACATTCCCGTGTTCAAATCAAGCAGCACAGAAACAATCCGTTGCCCAATTATCCAGGTTCTGGTTTCATACCCCTCATCATTAGAGGGTGCAAGCGTTAATAAAGCTGGATTCAATATCTTCAGAGAAACGTTGGAGTCAGCAAAGTAGTGAATAAAGTCAATAAACGACGCTGTTTGGTCATCCACGGGCTTGTCGCATTCTTCAGAGCACGCTTTCAAATTGTTGATTAAGTAGTTGGCGATTTTAGGCCGCTCTCTCAATCCCATTTTCAAAAACCAATTAGATATCACATCGTATGACATTGTTAGCAAATATTGTGCCAAAATCGGGGTGATACTGGTTGCCAGAGTCGAAGGAGTTTGCTCCACCTGAGCTTCAACTCCATGGGTTTGTATTCTTGAATTTTCATCAATTGTCAAACGACTTCTAAGGTCCCTCGCGAGCTGAATATATTTGAAAGCAATTCCAAAAACTCTCATGTACTCGTCAATGGTGAAGTTGGAGGTGAGACTAGGGATGTGAATCAAGGACATCAAGAACTCTAAAGTGTGTGTACTTGCAAGTGCACTCGTAACTCTAGTTTGCAATTGAGTGAGTATCACCGAAAGAAACTTTTTGATGGAAAGAGGCACTTCATAGCAGCATATAGTCAAGATATGAATGCATGGAATTGCAGTTTTTTCCCAAGATCCGAGACCTTGCACCAAAGAATTGACAATAGCGTCCTCTTCATATTTGGAAAATACATCGTGATACGCAAGTAGTGACAGTAAAGATCTTATGAATGCCACTTGAAGATCACCCTTTGTCAAATCACGAGGAAGCGACAAACTCTTGGGAAGTTTGAGTTGTAATTGATCGCATGTAATGGCTCGCATTCTCATAATCTGTTCGCTACTCTTGTTGAGATCCAAGTTGGAAAGTTGTGTGCAAACGTGGGCCCAGAGAAAACTGTAGATTTCCCAATGGATATAATTCTCCAAGATATCTAGCACGACAGAAAACCATCTTGTAATATCAATGGTAGGGCTGCCATCTAGATGCAACAATTTGGTTGCTTCAGGATCGAAAAGTATCAAGTTGGAGGTAGGTTTATCAAGGTATTCAGCAGGAATAAAATCCACGTGTTCTGGGTAAACCCAAAGCATCGTGCTAGCGTCTTGAACCGTACCCTTGTCTTCCAAGTTCCTTTTCACGCTACTTGCAAGTCCGCCCATATCGCTTGGTTGCGTGAAGTAAATGAACCCCTCCACTGTAGCCCTTATTCTTATCAAGCAACGACTAACAAGAACTAGAAGTTGGTAGTTTTCCTCTTCATAAGCATATTGCAAAATGTTCATCAATAATTCAAAAGCTTGTACCGCTTTGGCTCCATCACTTGAGCTGGTAATGACGAGCACTCTGCTCATTGATTTTGCTAGTTCGGTGATCAATGGTGTTTTGTTGGTAGTCTCATTACTGAAGTATGATGAAGACGCAAAAGAACTTGATGAGACAAGACTTCTAAATCGTTCCGTACGGCGCTTGACAGGGAACAATGGTAGGAACACAGAGCACAATTCCACAAACATGCTTGGCGTGCAGTCAAGAGCAAACGACGTGAAGAACGGTCCAAATAAATACGAGCGTACTTCTTCATCAGTTTCATCGAGCGACCTTTGAAACAAATGGAAGAAGCCCTCATAGTCAATCGATTCGTGACCGAATATAGTACATGATTTTTTGAATGCTTCAAGTACTATTGATAATGCCTCGATTCTGCACTTGGAGTTTGAGCCGTTAAAGTAAAAATGATTGAGCACTTTGGCTATGTTGTCCTTGTGAAATGGATTAGCCAGTAGACACAAGGAGTTATCTGAATAGTATTTTAAAACAAAGCTGACATTCGAGTCCAGAATGAGATTGTGTTTTTCCATGAAAAACTCAACAATTCTTTCTTTTGGACAGCTTATTTCGTGATCCTCGTATAACAGCTGTAATGAGATACACATTGATTTCCAGTAACTTCTATCCTGTTCTGTAGTCACACGAATAACGCTCAAGAGGTCAAACAATGAATGAGTCTGAGAATGCCAAAAGTAAAAAGGAAATGCCTTACCAACCACGGCGTGGTCAACGTTATTGATCAAAGGCTCAATCGGAGCCTTGGAGAAGATCCTGTCAAACATTCTTAGAATCGCAGTGTTAATTACAGGGACTTGATGTGTCAAAGCCAGTTTCAAATTGTTGTAAAATTCCGAATGAAACGAGTCGATTCTTTCGTTGTCTTCAATGCAAGACGTCAAGGCAATCAACTCTAGAATCAGAATGGCTCCTAAGCAAGAAGTCAAGGGTGAATCTCTCTTGATTGTCTTTGCTCCTCCACGGCTGTCACTTGAACGAAGCGAGTGGATATCAGGAATGTTTTGGTTTTTGAACTGTCTCAATTCGGGATTGTTAATGATGGTTAGAACATGGTATACCAATTGAATGGACATTGGTGTTGCGTAGATGATGTGAATTGTGGACCATATGACTTTGTCTATGTCAGCGCTGATGTTGTAGCAAGAACATAGAACAGAAATCAAATTGGAAAAGACACTAGTGATTACAGCACCGCTTTCCACTAGAGCCAAAATTGCCTTAATTGCCTCAAGAATTACCACATCAGCCACAGGTCCCAGGACACAAGTTAGTATATGTAAAAGTAACGAGTTAATCGTGTTAGAGTCCAAGATGTGCCCATTGTACCGAAAACAGTTTTGGAGAAATTTTAGAGTTTCAAGAAGCTGTTCTGCTTCGGCACCTTCAGCACTGCGAGCCTTGTTAAAGTAAGCCAAAGATGCTTCAAAGAACCTTAAAAAGCTCTTGGATTCGTCGTAGACACAAAAGTCATTGACCTCTTTGCCCTCTCTTGTCAATGCTTTGAGAGCCTGGAGAAAAAGGTCATATTCTGGATCGAGTCTGGCATCAGTGGTAAGGCAGTATTTCATAAGGTCTTTGAGAAAAACCAAGTTGTTGCTGACGAAATCGGCATCGTCTGCGTAGATGCACCGTATCATAAGACGAAGACCTGTTCGTCGTATGTGCAGTTGTACATTGGGGCCACATAAATCTCGAACCATGTACCATATTTCTGGAATGGAAGAAATTGCAAATTCGTTCAAAGATTTGGCAATCTTCTCGGCAGCTGAAGCACGTTGAGGAAGGCTTCCCAGAGTCAATTCCTGAAACAACTGCTGTTGGTCTCGGCTTCCGCCAACGACCATGGGATTAATGTGGATGGGTTCATTTTTTATGGAGGTAGTTTTGAGTGATTTTGTGAGAGACTTGAAGACGTTTCCAAAACCAGAGGGTCTTCCGAACGACGGGTGGTATGTGGACATGTAATTTTAGGAAGGAATCCTCGAATTTGTGTGAAACTTTGTGGGTTCTGTGGAGCTTCTGTGAGATGGAGTTTAAAAATAATTAGGCCCTCGCGCAGAAAAATATGGGGAAAATAAATGTGGGAAAAGTAATTAAGGGTCTATGCAATGAATTATAAAATGAATTATAAAGTGTGATTTCAAATGTGATTTCAAATGTTCAGCACCAGAAGCGATACGTCCTGTAGTACCATGGTTTAGTGGCTAGTATAGCTCGTTCTTCTTTGAGTTCTTCTTTCAAGGCTTCAAGATCAGTTTCTCTTCTGCCCGTATCAACGTCGATATCAGCGGCTCTTATGAATAGGATCCAGTTTTTCTTCCACAACTTGTGACCAATGTAGAAAAGAAGTAAAATTACAAATCCCAAATAATTCATGAAGAAGCCCTCGGCGCTAGGCAGTTCACCAAGTGGAAACAAAGATACCCAGAATTGGGCTATAAGTACAAGAGTGTTGAGTACAGCTCCGTAGATGGACCCAAGGACTCCTGCCTGCGATTTAAATGCCAATTCGTCGGTTCCTCGTCCTCTTACTTTGAGAGCACGGCGGAACCGAATGTGAGCCAAACACAAACTTAACCAAGTAAAAATGGAACTGAGTCCCGAGATACTGAGGAGCCAGTCGAACACTTCGCCCTGCTTGCCGCTGGCAGCAATAAAACTCAAAAGTGCAAAGATATTGGTGATTAGAATAGCCACCAATGGACGTCCAGCCCGATCGACGTACCCCAATATTTTGGGTGCCATACCCTGTTCCGCAAGAGCAGTTATCGTTCTTGAAGTAGCGTACACCGACGAAGAGCCAACTGAGATAACCGAGATCAAAATAACAGCATTCATAACCGAGGGTAAACCGCCGATACCTCCATTATTGATTGCAATGACAAATGGTGAAGCGGTTATGTCAACGGAGCTGGAACCAAGTAATCTATCGTCTGTAGAAGACACCAAGAAACAGATCAATGTCAACGAAATCATGTAAAACATAAGAATTCTCCAAAACACCTGCTTGGTAGCCCGCGGTAATGCCTTGCGAGGGTTCTCCGATTCGGCAGCAGTAAGACCCACAAGTTCAGTTCCGCCAAAAGAGAAAGCTGCCGTTACAAAGACCGACAGAACTCCCTTGAATCCATTGGCAAAGGCTCCAGGATTGTGCCAATATTTCGTTCCCACTGATTTTCCATGGGGTCCTCCTCCAGCAGCGAGCACGATGGATACAAGAATAAAGCCAATTACGGCAATGACTTTGACAAGCAGAAACACAAACTCTGCCTCACCATATGCCCGGACTCCAAAGAGATTAATAGAGCACACAACCACGTAGAATATTAGCACCCATATGTCGGGATTGACACTATTGGTCCAGTATTTCATGGTGATTGAAGCGGCCACCAATTCCAACGGTAAGAGCACCAAGAACTGGAAAAAGTAGTTCCATGCCACCGCAAACCCAAACGATGGGTCAATAAAACGACTGGCGAAAACATTGAATGATCCTGATATGGGGTACGCTGACGCCAATTCTCCCATGGCTTGAATTGTGCAAAAAATGGCAGACCCCGTCAATATCCAAGCTATCAAAACTCCAGCAGGTCCCCCCGTATATAAAGCTTCTCCAGACCCGATGAAAAGTCCTGTGCCGATCGAAGACGAAATAGCAATCATTTGCAAGTGTCTCGATTTGAGCTTGCGTTGCAACCTTGGTGAGCTAGTTCGAATATTGGCCTTTTCCATATCCGTGAGTCCCTCATATGTCACGTCCACTTCATGGCCATCGTATCTTTTGAAAGAGTCCTTGAAAGACTTCCATTTATTAACTTTCTCGCTGTGATATGGAGAATGAAAAGTCTGGCTTGAAGACTGGTTCGAAGACTGGCTCGAGGCTCTGTCTCTAGTACTACCTATTGTGATATCATTTCCCGTTACAGAGTCCTTGGGGTCCATTTCTGTTGCCTCTAGGTCTCTGTTTGTTTGGTTATAACTTTTGACTGATTGGTGTCAATGTAGATAAATTCGCTATGACTCCAGATGCAAATTCCATCGTGCGGCGTTAAGGTCGCAGAAAATAGAACGCCGTGCGCAGGAAAACGGCACCAATGTAGTAGATCACAAGAAACAGTTACCTAATCATAAACCATCATTTAAAGCTATATCCGCTTCTCTATTCGTCAACCGTAAATCAAGTCTACGACAAAACAAAAGACTCCACCCCAGGTGACCTTCTGTAGTAATTTTCTCAACCACACTGGTCGAATCATCAAAAAAATGTTGCCGCAATTGTACCCTTCACTCTCAACACCTATTCCCCATTTAATATTTCTCCTAATATTGCACCCACTCCAGAAATTCCACCACTTGTGTCTTTCGCAAGGACTGAGTCTCACAAGGTTCTTCATCAATGGCCCATGGGGCCCGTCTATATGCTTATGACCCCCAATAAGCGAGTACTGCTGGCGTGGGTCATCGGAGGGTAATTGTTTGTCTCCCCAATGTCCTGTGAATGAAAGCCAATTGCCGTAGCGTTCTTCACGTCCGACATGGGCTTTGTTGGAGTTGTTTTTTGCGGGATACACGAACTCTCCGTCGTAGGAGTATGCCAAGTAGTTTTTGGTTGGATTCCAAAGGGGCCCTCTATCGGTGAAATCCGAAAGTATGGCGTACGGCAAATCGTGAGGATGCTGGCCTACCGAGGGATAGTTGGCATGTGTGCCTCGAGCAGAAAAAATGACGGGATGATTGGGATCGAGTTCCCATTTCTCTAGATGTTCGTAGAAGAACGCACCACCCCCTCCATGAGCCGACATCCACACAATAATGGGTTTGCCTTTGTAATACCTGACGAGCGAGTGTTCCCAATCACCAACGTGGTTACCGTAGGGACCGGAGCCCATCACGAAGGGCCCCAAGTTAAACGAATAGAAGTAAAACCAAAACGCATCCACCCAGCCATTACCTTTGTCAACTACGATCAACGTGGCTGGAGCGTCCTTTATCTCGCCATCGATGAGCGACGGTTTGTTGTGCGACCCGGTAATCCACTCCGGGTCGGTGTTGAAGTCCGTATTTGAACTAAGATACAAATCGGGGAGTCTAGGAAGTTCCTCCAACGTATCGATCGAGCACCCGTGCTCCGTGCCCTCGATTATCGTTCCGTTATCGTACTCAGCGTGAAGATGCCTCACAAACTTTTTGATGTCGTATGGAAGGTATCTTTCCTCACTGTACAAGTGAACTAAAGGAGCATAATCTAAAATGTAGTCTGGAATTTCGCCCAACTCCAATGTTCGCTGGCTTTTCTTGGGCATACTGATGATTGGTGGAAGGTTTCCGTAGCTAGTTGGCGATTTTAAAAAGTTATCCATGTTGAAGTCCTCATTGTTTATGGTGTTCAAGATGTAGCTTTCCTGAGCTTCCCATCTAGTGGCAGAAACAAGGCTTATTATGCAAGCTAGGTGGGCGAAAGCCCCCAAAAGCATCTCCTGGCGGAGAAATAACATGTAATTTTGAGATAAAAAAGGTGAGAGGAAGAAACGGCAATCGTGAGCTTATCAATGACAGCTGCGAACTGTGGGTGCGAATGGGTGGGGTGCAGGAACGAGGGCGAGGGTCCATTCGCACCCGCTGCACCCAGAATAAAGGCACTACAATCTATCGGTGATCTATAGTAACTATTATCTAGAAAACAAAAACCTTGTCGCCCAACTTGGACACTGGTCTGGCCTTGGGGTACCCAAGAGTGACGGCGTTCTTTTTCATGGCGCTGATCATGGGTGGGGGACCACATAATAATAAGTAACCATCTTGGTCCTTGTTGGGTAAATGCTTCTCCATTATTTCCGGTGTAACAAATCCGACACTGCCGTTCCAGTTCTCGGGAGCGTTGTTCAAAACGTAGTGCACCTTGAATCTGTCGGGGTGTTCCTTGGCAAACAAGTCCAATTCGGCTCTCAACAAAATATCCTCTTCAGTAACATTAGCATACACCAAAGAGATCTTAGTCTTATCATCCGGGTTGGTCAAAATAGCAGTTAAAACCTGGTACATTGGAGCGATACCAGTACCTCCGGCAATCATGCCCAAGTGTTCAACCATGTTAGGGGTGTAAGTGAAGAAACCTTTTGGTCCTCTGACTTCAATGTGGTCTCCAACAGACTTACTGTCCACATGACGCGAAATGTTACCTTGCTCGTACGTCTTGATGAGCAAATCAAAGTAACCCAACTCGTCATCTCTAGAAATAGGAGTGTACGATCTCACCACTTCCTTTCCATTGATGGTGGCCCCAATGGAGATGTGCTGGCCAATGGGCAAGCCAAGACGATCGGTGGACTTGGGCAAACCAAAACGGTAAATACAAGTGTTGTGGGAGAGTCTAGTCTTCTCGATCAATGGGAATTTTTGAAACACATCAGGTTTCAAAACAGGACCATTTTTCTTGTTGAGTTTAACAACGTACACGGCCACGGCGGCCAAAATGATGGCGGCAAGGGTGGAGAAGATGACCAAAGGGTTGGGTTCGTTTTGCGACATGGAATTGATGTGGAGGTGGAAGTTGAGATTTAAAGTAGCTCGTGAATTTTCAGGCGTGCGCGCACCGCCGCGGCCACTTGGTGGGGTCCGGCTCGGGAACTACGAACTAAGAGCGGTAATGATTTGCGACCAAATCTGGATCTGTAAGTGGGGCTGAGAAGAGAAGAGGAGGTTGATCATTGTAGAGCTGTGAGTTGCCGAGACAACAATTTTCTTCATTAATTAGTTTACATAGTTTTGACATGTGATCGCAGTCCCATGTGATCAGAGCTGAAAATTGCAACATTAAGATGAACATCGAATTGCAAAAATCGCAACAAAAAAATTGCAAAAAAAATCTTGCAACTTTTTTCAGTTCTCTTCCTCTGCCTCCTCCTCTCCTTGGACGTTCCATTGACACGAAATGTCCCACCTTGACCCTTTGGCATTGACGCTCACATATTTTACAAACTTCAACACTGTAGGGTCTCGCAACATGAGACACAAGGTGTTCCATTGACATTGGCCTGTATAGAGAACGCTGCTGTCATCGTTTCCGCCTCTATATATGGCAGGATCGTCTTCGTCTTGTTCGTCGTCGTTGTGCATGCACAACTCGTAGCCTCCAAATTCTCCCAGAGCCCAGGTTTTGGAATTTGCAGCCGTTGGTGTGAGGTTGAAAGTCGCTTCTAGAAGAAGATTGAGCTCATTTTCTCGCGCTAGGTCCTTTTCTGTGGTTGTAGCAAGTATGAAATCGTGGCCTGGTCTGAATCTTCGGGCTAAAACTTGATCACTAGTAGGAACGAGACCGGTGACTTGCACGAGCCATTTGCGAAAAGCTCTAGATTTGATAAATGATGAAATTTCGCATAACTTTCGGTCTGTGTCGCTCAATTGATGTGCTTGGCTGGTCACTGAGAAGTTTGGAGCCTCGCTGGGGCCAATGGCATTCGCAAATTTGACACCTTTTTCTGACATGTCCAATGTGGATGTTCCGTCTATGTACATGTAACGCTGCTTGTGTGGGGGAACCGCACATTTCCATGGAAATTGAATGTCCTTGGAAGTTTGGGGAGTATCAGTCTCGAGCTCGGTATGTCTTAGAGACCTATGGAGAACTTTTGCATATTCTGCGTTGAAAATATTGGTCAATTCCACAATGGATTCGTCGAGAAATGTGGTTTGCAATCTTTCCAAGTTTCCAGGTTTCAAGTACTCAACATTCAAAAACTTCGATAAGTACTCCGTCTCATCAGCAGATAGCGTCTTCTTCTCTAGCAAGGTTTCAACTTCCAATGGTGAAAAATCGTTTCTGACAGGTTTGGGAAAATCGTACTCTTGAAGTTCTTTGCTTTGCAATTGCTGAAGAGTACTGCGTGCTTCAGTGGCCTCCTGCTCACCCTTAACGTACCCTGGCTCGCCTGGTTGGGGGATATGGAACCAGCCTTGAATGGAGAGTCGCTGTCTATCTTCCCTCACTTCTTCAACATCATGAAAAGAAAGACCTGGTTGGACTGTGAAAAATGCAATTTGGTTGAACTGAGGCACAAGTTTAGCCAGATAATCGGTATGGGGTACGTTTGGGACCACAGCAGGAAACAAACGAAGGGCACCGCCATAGGATGGTTTCCATTTTTTTCCAGGTTCGGGAAGATATAATATGAAACTCAAGCGACGGGACCCAATTACGTCGTCGTGGGTCAATAAATGGCACCCTTTATTGTAGGTGTTAATAGACATATCTGTCTTCAAGCCACTCAATTTGCCACACTTGGTGACTCCAGAAATCATGTCTCGAAATTCTTCGGAATATATGGCGGCTCGAAGCTTATAAAGTGATGGTAACCTCGACAAGTCGTCCCAGTTGAGACCTGATAGATTGGCTAGATCGCCAGACTGGAAAACTTTGTATATATCTGTCTCCTTTTTTGTGAACGCTATCTCCAGCAACACCTCATTTCGAACGTTTTTCAATAACTGGGGGTCCATCAAGTCGGTGATAGTTCCCCATCGGTACGGTTGACTCAGACTCACTTGCGATTCGAGCTGCGACTGGAATTTTTCATCCCACAATTTTTGGTTGAAGAACTCTTTGATTTCAGACGAGGTGTACTCGGCGGGCTTGTCTACATGGTTTCTTTTGGCGGACCCATTCTCCGAGTCGGTTTTCCTTTTCATGGTTTGATGTCGTACCACCGCGATGAGCCCATTCCGGTGTGTGGAGGAGCACAAATGATTTGGAGAACCTGCACATGCGGCTCCGATTCCGGCGCCTGAATTTTCACTCTGACTCACAAGCCTTATATAACCACCACTCCCACCCATATTCTTCACGAAATAATAGATGTCAGATCTACAACTGTCGTACAACTCGGTGCTAGACCTCCAGGCCAAGAACAATGGCTGGGTGATCCAGAAATACGGTGGTACTTCCGTGGGAAAATTTCCAGAAAAGATTGTAAATGATATTGTCAAGGAATTTGCCAACCACCACCGCGTGGCTGTTGTGTGTTCTGCCAGATCCTCTCACACTAAGAGTGAGGGCACAACCTCTCGTCTTTTGAAAGCGGCTGACGTGGCCTATGATAATGGTGATTACAAAACGTTGCTTGATGTTATCGAAGACGACCACGTTCAGAATGCCCAAAAATACATACACGACTCTGAGATACTACAGAAGCTCATAGTTGATACCAAGAAAGAGATAGCAAGAGGCGAGGAGTTGCTCAAGGCGTCACAGGTGATTGGAGAAATCTCCCCACGGACCCTTGATTCTATCATGTCACTTGGTGAAAAATTGTCATGTTTGTTCATGGCGGCATTGATGGAAGACCATGGTTTGAGATCTGCCTATATTGACTTGTCCAACATCATTCCCTTGGACTATGACTTCAATAATGGTTTTGACGACAACTTCTACAAGTTCTTATCGAAAGAGCTTGGTAGTCGTGTAAGCAACTTGGACGACGATGTCATCCCCGTGCTCACTGGTTACTTTGGTGTGGTTCCCGGAGGCTTGCTTAATGGCGTGGGCAGAGGATACACTGATCTTTGTGCCGCTTTGGTGGCTGTGGGAGTTCAGGCTGACGAATTGCAAGTATGGAAAGAAGTGGATGGAATATTCACCGCAGACCCTCGTAAGGTTCCAAATGCCAGACTTCTCGAGAGTGTGACACCTGAGGAAGCAGCAGAACTCACCTATTATGGATCCGAAGTCATACATCCATTTACCATGGAACAAGTCATAAAAGCCAAAATTCCCATCAGAATCAAAAATGTTGATAATCCTGCTGGTCCTGGTACCATCATTTTTCCTGATAACATTGCCAGAAGAGGAGAGGAAACTCCTCCACATCCTCCAGCCGCTTATGAGACTCTTCCTTCATCTTACATTGCATCCCACGCTAAACGTTCTGCCACAGCCATCACCGCCAAACTGGACATTGTCGTCATAAATATTCACTCCAACAAGAAAACGTTGTCTCATGGTTTCTTGGCACATATCTTTACCACTCTCGACAACTACAAATTGGTAGTTGACTTGATATCTACGTCGGAAGTTCATGTTTCCATGGCACTTCAAATCCAACCAGATCAAGAACATCAGCTCAAAAATGCAATTCTCGAGTTGCGTAAAATGGGTACACTTGACGTTACCAGAAACATGGCTATTGTCTCCTTGGTAGGAAAGCAATTGGTCAATTTCATCGGCATCGCAGGAAATATGTTCAAGGTTCTCGCCGATGAGCGCATCAATATTGAAATGATTTCTCAGGGTGCCAACGAAATTAACATTTCAGCAGTTATCAATACTAAAGATACCATACGGGCACTTCAGTCAATTCATGCCAAACTCTTGGAAGGACGCTACGTTGACGAAGGATCCAGTCCCGTAGACTTGCGACTCGAAGCATTGAAGGTTCAGAACTAGAGAAGCAAATGTACATAGAAAATGTCATAGAAAAGTCATAGAAAAGTCATAGAAAAAGTCATAGAAATGACATAGAAAATGTTATAGAAATGTCATAGAGAGTCACATAGAGAATCGTAATCATTTATCAAATATCAAATTCTCCGGATTCACGACTACTTCTGTTGGCATCCGACTTCTTCTGGTTCTCTTCAACCAACTTGTCAAAGTCACTCACCATCGCACCCAACAACTCGGCAGCCACCTTGTGGTACGCCAATTGCGCCTTGATAAGCTCATGAAACTCCTCCAATGGTTTAGCATTCTCCAACACATTCTGCATGATGTTGATAGCGTCTTCAACGGTGTTGGCAAATTCATCCTCGGCGTTCTCCATTATTACTCTCAATTGTGGCTCCTTGGTGGCATTGGTGCTACTGGACAAGTTGGCACGAGCCATATCGTAGTCAATTCGCTTCTGTTCCACCTTCTTCTGGATATTGTTACTCTGGCTTATGAGTTGGCGCAACGTCGACAGAAGAGGTTTGTTGAATTTGGACGTGATCAATTGGTCCTGTCCCAATCTGGCGTTGGCAATCTTGTTGATTCCGCCCGAATACAAGTCCAATGCCTTCACCAAATGATCGTCCTGGTTTTCTGGTGATTTGTTGGTCAAAACCGATGCGTCGGTCGCACGGGCCAATGCGTGGTACAACGTCTTTGGAGGCTTGAACTCGCCAGTGGTTGGGTTAATAAGCGCCGCTTGGGCCTCAGCGGGGGTTGTGGCTTTGGATAAATTGGATACTCTACTGGAGATGTTCTTTCCAAAGTCGGTGAAGGATTCTTGTAAATTTGTGGGATAATCGTAGCTCTCGTTTTCGTAGTTAGAAGTAACCTTCAACACGTTCTTATACAACTTTTCGATATTGTTGCATCTCTCAGCTAATTCGAGATATTCACTAGGTAATTGACTGATTTCATCCACGTTGATTTTCCCCATTTTCTCCTGAACAATTCTGGAGGTTCTCTGAGCAAATGGAAGAATCTCGCTGTTGAACTCATTGCCCAACTTGTCGCCGAGCGACTTTAAGTCTTTGGTGAAGTTGGAAAAGTTGAACGACATCGTGGTTAAAGTTGGCGTTCGTCTCCGTGCGAGTTCTTGCGGTGTGACTATCGGTGCACGGCTGCGCGAGTAGCACGTAGAGCACATAAAGAGTGGCAGAGTGAAACAACAGAAGAAAGCAGGAGAAAGCAGAAGGGTAGACAAGAAGAAGGGTAGAAGGTAGACAGTCGTATTAGAGGTTATAGTGGTGTATCCAATTGAAGACAGTTATCATATGCTCTATCAAAACTCTAATCCGTTTTCAAAAAATTCCGTAACCGCCTTTGCCAATTGGGTTCCAGCTGCAATCAACTCTTCGTCAGTATTAGCCGCTGCAACTGTAAGTCTAAAAAAGTTGGCAGTTTCCTTGCTGAATTCACTGTCGGTGGCCATATTAATTCCTGGCACTGCATGGACTCCAAAAGCGAGAAGCTTCCAGTTCAAGAGTCTGATCTTTTCGATAATTGGAGTACCTGGAGGAAAGTTCACCACGAGAGAAAGGAACATACCAGCACGAGGATCGATGATACTCACATAGTTTTTCTTGTAAGCATCCAGCTCCTCAATGGCATTGACCAACACATCTCTACGGTGAGTATAAGTGAGACGCATCTTCAATATCCACTGGAGCCATCCATATACGCCCTTGTATTTCTGCTCAATAACGTTGTTCAACACCATTTGCGAAAGACCAGAGGGCGCCCGTGTCACAACGGCAGCATATTGCCCAATTACCTCGGTGACTTTCTTGTGGCCCACAACGAAACCTACTCTCAATCCCGGAGCAAAAAGCTTGGAAAAAGTTTCAATACGAACAACACGTCCAGTAGTATCCAAGGTGAGATACGATGGAACGAGGTGATTGGAAAGGTATTCTTCCACTGTCAAAAACAGATCAAGTTTGAGGACACCTTCTGGCTTCAGGTACGGAGGTAAAGTCAAATAGCCGTAAGGATCATCTTCAATGATAATAAAATCGTGCTTTTCGGCCAAAGCATACACTTTTTTCCGGAACTCCAAACTTTGGGTGAGACCCGTGGGATTCTGCCCGGTGGGAATACTGTACAATGCCTTTGGTTTCTTCAAATCCGGCTTCTTGGTTTCCCAATTTTCAAGCAAATCGGTCAAGTAATCAATATCAAGGCCATTGCTCTTGTCCGGAGTTGGGTCCAAATTCATTCTGACCGGCACTGGAATACCACCAGTATTGGCAACATGAGCCAAGAAAGGTGTAAACGTGAACTCTTCAATCAAAATGACATCACCAGGATCAAGCAATGCGTCAGCAACTTTGTTGAGACCATCCGAAGCGCCCGTAGTGACAATAGTGTCCCAATCAGAGTACTTTGGAGGATGAATCTTAGATATGAACTCGCGGGTAAACTGCAATATCTGAGGGTGGCCCTTGGGTTCAGAATACTGAAGACCATGGGCAATATCGATCAATTTTTCGTCTTCACTACGACGATTAATCGTAATTTTTTTGGGTCCCAGCGAGTCATTGGCAACGGTTCCGTTTGTCTTTGAAAGAGCCAACGATTCCAACGATGCGTTCGTCATGGACATAGATAACGACTTTTCAAATGGATAATCAACCAACTGAAGATCAATCGACTCGATGGGAAAAAATCCATCGTTAGGGGTTCCCCAACTGAGAATGAGATTCTTATCAGCAGGCTTGAATCCCTTGGGAGGAGATTTGTCAATAGCAGCAAAATGCGACGACTTGCGTGCCAATGCTCGTTTAGAAAGTAGATGGCCATGGACAAACTCAGACATGGTGTTGACGAGGAAGAAAATGTGATGAGTCAGGGGGGATTACTAACTTGATGTGGTTGCAAGTCGTGCCGTACGTATCTTCGGTGTATGGCTGTCGTTATGAACCCGGGTGCCCATTGTGACTCGAGCGCCATAGTTTTATGCATCGTCCAAATAGGAAAGATCTTGACAGGCCCGATACTCATCGATTACTCCGATAACGGACTCTTTGCATTCTGCGAAAATTTCAAGAACTCTGGCGCGCTCAGCGGCATCGTTGGACTCGGTATAGTTGTTAATGTAGGCACCTCTTTGGGCCAAACGATCAAATTGTTTCACCACCTTCGTAAACATACTGGCGATAGAAGAATTGTTCGATATCTGCACTCCTGTAAGCGAACCAGCGCTGTAGGGTTTGTGTCCACTGACAACATGGACTGAAGAAGAAGTCCAAGGTACAAATTGAACTCGACTTTGGGCTTTGATTATTCCCTTTCTGATCTCATGTTGAGACTCAGAACCTATCAAGTAGGTGAGCATCGCTATGTAGTTAACTGGTTCTGAAACACGGTTCATTTTGTACTTGTCGTCCAATAGTTCGAGAATCAAATCGTACTCGTTCATGGCATGCAATCGGGTTGAATTGTGTCCCACGATTTCAGATACCGGAGCTATGGCTGCAGAAAGAAACTTGAGATCGGGAGTGGGCACTAGTGTAGACAAGATCAGTTCATAGGAGCTGTACATGTAGCCGGGAAACCGAATAGGGTTGGAGATGCTCGCCAGAGCCATGGCGATCAATTTGTTGGGTCCTTGGAATGCAGAGGTGGCCCTATCGGAGCCAGTGTTTTTCACTATCATATTCTCCACGCCTGTCAACGCATCGTTATCGAACACGACGGTTGCGTCGCTAAAATCAATAAGTCGTTTTAACGTGAGCATAGTGTTGTATGGCTGTACCACCACATCAGAAGTGCCCTCACTGGATGGGAAAATCAGAAACGTATTCATCAATTTTTTGCTACCGTAGCGGTCATTGAGGGCCTCTAATAAAAACGAGCCAATTCCAGCCCCTGTGCCTCCCGCCACGCTATGAAATAATTGCAAATTGTTGAGGTTGTCGCACTTGTCACATTCACGATCAATGAGATTTAACAAGTCATCCTCGTACTGACTGCCGTAGCTATACCCATTCAACCAGTTGTTTCCGGCTCCATTACCCTGCTCACTCACGTGCAAGTTGCGAGGGTTGATCATGGGCATTGAATTGGTGCATTTTGTGATCACTGATGGTTCCAAATCTATCATCACCGAACGAGGTGTGTACCTGTTATTACTGGTTTGGTGAAAGAACAACTCTGGGTGGTCGTTTGGCTTGTCTTGGCCATTCGGGGCTCCGTTAGAGACGTTTTGAGTGGAAAAAACCGACCGTTCACCATCGATGGAAATGGCGTGTTCTTGTGCCAATTGGTTCCAATACTGAAAACCAACTTGGTTTCCACATTGTCCAGCTTGGATGGTCACGGTTTCACTGGGTTAGCATTTTACGGTTACTTTTGCGGTTTTTGGTTGGATACTTACCCTGGCATTAGATGGTCTTAGGTCGCAAAATCAAAAAGTTGACGCGACAATCAAAACAGAGATCACGTGCGGTAGTGAGGTGAATGTCGCGAAGAATTTGCAGCCAAGCGAGAAGAAAATGGCAAGGATCAATATTTCTGAATTACCTATGTTGAATCGATTTTTTTACTTGAAGCAATAGCGAGCGTTGGGATCCGTCAGATAAGGTCAGACTTACCAGCTATAGCTACTTAAAGAATGTGTTTTTGATTAGGATTCAAAGCTACGTTTGCTGCTGAGTCATTGAATTCCTCAAATAAAACTTCATTTTGGAGGTTTGGATCGGGTTTCAGCTGGCTGGTGCTCAATCCAGGGTATTTGGGCATTGTGGTTTATGGTCAAGAGCAAATAAGGGATAATTGCCATATGAAATTACTAATCTAAAACACTATCAGATCATATGGAAGTTACTATCAGGTCATATAAAATATCTTTTGTGGTCAAAGTTACCCTGGTCATTGATGTTGACCGTCTTTCCACTTTCACCAGGGGATCTCCAGGCCATCAAAGTTCAAGAACTTTCCATTGTCTTCAGGCTTCAAGTTGTTGATGAGCTTTTGCAAAGCCTCAGCACACTCCGGGGGCGTCAACGTCGGAATGCTAGCAAACATTTTGGCCATGTGCGGCATCAAGGTGACAATCTGCTTTCCCACCTCGGCACCCTTTTCGGTGGTCACTACACCAGGATGAATAGGAACAATGGTGAACCCTTCTGGTTTCAACTCCTTCGCCAAGTCACGGACGGTGTAGTTAAGAGCTGCTTTGGACTGACCGTAAGCAGAACCAGCCATTGGAGCGTCAGAAGCGATGGATCCTCTAGCACTTGAAATGAAGACTACTTTCTTGACATCGCTCTTTTGGACCAAAGGGTACAACTCCTGGAACAATTGAAAAGCACCAAGAACATTGGTGGTATAATGGCTAATCCAGCTGTCTCTAGGAGTCTTCAAAACCTTCGGATTCAAGCTCATATAGGCACTGTTGGAAACATAAATGTCGATGTGGCTAGTGAGCTTTGCAATTTCAGCCGCGGCAGTCTTGATGCTATCTTCACTGTCAATATCCAACTTGACGAAATGAACATTAGACTTTGAATTTGCCAACTCCTGCAATTTCGTGGCAGATTCTGGGAACCTAGAAGTGGTGATAACCTTGGTTTCTGGATCTTTCGAGAATAACTCTACCAATGCGAACCCGATTCCACGGTTTCCGCCTGAGATAAAAGTTGTTTGTTTGGTCATGTTTGTTGCTTTGATGCTTCTGAATCATGACAGAGGGCTCAGATTTATACCCACACATCCATGACCTTTCCAGTGTCTATGCTGTGGAAGGCTTTCATTTTAGTCATTTTGGTTTCGTCATTTTAGTCAGCGGAGATATGTCCTACGTGAGGCATATCTCCGGTGTATACTGATGAAACATTACTAATGGAATCGAGAGGAACACCCAACAGTTGCCACTGTGGGGGTCAATCCCGCACGAAGAGGCTTTTTCTGACTACTTTAAATCAAAAAAAAAACCAAAAATGGAATAATCTACAAAATTTTGCAAAAAGCCGCATTAGGACAACTAAAATCAAAGACCACTAAATTGGCAATTCATAATATTTGTTGGCGAAACCCTTACATCTTGATGTGTGGAAGAATTCCTCTAATCATTGAATTCGAAGGTACATACCCATCGAATCGGTAATATTTGAAACCAGTTTCGTCACGTATATCCACCTCCATTATCTTGGGACTGCACACAGCTTATTTCCCAGGGCTCAGCTGTCATCAGATCCATTTGCAGCCAAATTAAAAGAAGCAGGGAGAAGCAGTTCATTGATTTTTTTGTTTCAGAATGTTATGTGCTTGGTTGGAGTAGACCTTGACGCATAAGAGCTGAAGTAAAGACATACAAAATATTTGAAGTTCGTTATTATTGATACCAAAACTGTGTTTTTGGTTAGTACTACACAGCGATTCTTCGAATGAAACTTCTCAGAATGTTCAGAATAATGTTTTTACAGCTTAACAGTACACGCTTATATCGACCGTACAGCTTCTTGAGAGCAAAGAAGTGCCTGTGTCATATGAAATTACTATCTTATAAAGAACTATCAGGTCATATAGAATTTACTATTTGTGGTTGTATGAAGCACTACGCCATATTTAGATGAATCTCAATCTTGTCAGGCAGGATTTACCATTTCACGGTCACAAAAGATCGGAACCAACAGTTCACCAAGGCAAAACCAGACCATCAAAGTTCAAAAACTTTCCAGTGTCTTCGGGTTTCAAGTTGTTGATGAGCTTTTGCAAAGCCTCGGCACACTCCTGGGGCGTCAAAGAAGGCATGCTAGCAAACACTTCGGCAATTTGTGGCACTAAGCTGAGAATTTGCTGTCCTACTTCCGCACCCTTTTCAGTGCCTACCACACCAGGATGAACCGGGACAATGGTGAACCCTTCTGGCGCCAATTCCTTTGATAAGTCTTGAGCAGTAAAGTTGAGGGCTGCTTTGGACTGACCGTAAGCGGAGCCAGGAATTGGAATGTCTGAACTCAACGAGCCTCCAGCACTTGAAATGAACACTACTTTCTTGACATCGCTCTTTTTGATCAACGGAAGCAATTCTTGAAACAACTGAATGGCGCCAAGAACATTGACGTTGTAATGAGCAAGCCAGCTCTCTCTTGGAGTCTGCGAAGTTTTTGTCAAGTTCATGTAAGCACTGTTGGAAATATAGACGTCGATGTGGCTGGTGAGTTTGGCGATTTCAGCCGCGGCAGTCTTGATGCTGTCTTCACTAGCAATATCCAACTTGACGAACTGAACATTGAATCTTTTCTTTGCCAACTCCTGCAAGTCTGTGGCAGAATCTGGGAATCTAGAAGTGGTTATAACCTTGGTTTCTGGGTCTTTGGAGAATAAGTCTACCAATGCGAAACCGATTCCACGATTTCCACCAGAAATAAAAATTGTTTGTTTGGTCATGTTTGTTGATTTGCTACTCCAGAATCATGACGGAGGGCTCAAATTTATACCCACACATCCATGACATTTCCAGTGCCTATGCTGTGGCAGATTGTCATTTTAGTCATTTTAGTAAGCGGACATAATGAGTGTGAGGCGTATCTCCGTGCCGTATACCAATGAAACATTACTAATGGAATCGAGGGGAATACCCAACAGTTGCCACCGTGGAGGCCAAGTATATGCGTAAAGGCTTTTTCTGACTACTTTACATCAAAAGAGTCCAAAAATCGAATACCTTACACAAATTTGCAAAAAGCCGCATTGGAAGAAACAGAAACCAATTAGGAAGAACACTAAAGTGGTACCTAGCCGTAAGAAGCGTACTATCATCACGTCTTCTGATTTTCATCACTCATTGAGGTCAAAGAGATCCTTTATTCTCTACTGTGGAGCCTTCAAACCACCATGAATATTGAACTTTCGCTTCGTTTGTCAACTGAGATTTTATAGCCAAAGTTCTGTACTGAAGCAATTGACAACCAGAAAAAACTCATCAGAGAAGCCTTACCAGAGAAGGTTACCAGAATCACGAGGGAAACCTCGGTCTGTTCTTATCTTGATCCGGTAATGCTAATATTCGTTCTGACATTTCTTTGTCTTTTTTCGAAATAAGTGCCGTTGCTGTACAGAAACTCGAGAGAGCTTAGTTATTTTTCAATGGATGGCATCGTCTGCTAATCTCCATTACTGACACTGCTTTAAGTATGCACACCGTGAAAAAGGTACATTAGAATGATCGAGGATTTTCCGAGGTACTTGCTTTTTTTGGCTGCAAAGTTTTCGACATATGGCAGTAAATTCCAATGCACTTTTTTGTCTCAACTATCATATTGAGAGACGATCCCCCACTGGCTGTAGACTTTTGTGGTCCACATGTATCAGAGAGTCTCTTTTTGCGACATACTATGCTATACTGACATTTCTGACTTTATCGACAATGCGACATCAATTCCCGATGTGAAAAAAAGTTGATAGTTTTTTTGTTTGTGGCTTATATGTATTAAATCCGCTCATAGTTCATACTCATTACACTCGTACATCGATATGTCATAATTTTTTAGAGAGCCTAAACGGAATTGACTGGAAATCATCTCGGCGTAGAGTGAAATAATCTGTTAATCTGAAATATACAATTTGTACAAAAATCAAAATTTCTCCAAATTGAATTGTCTACAAAAAACATTTCTGGCCACCAATTTTCGAAGCCTTCAATAACACATCAGACCACACCTATACTTTACCCCACCAATATCAACTATTACCCCAGGTGCACAGTGCACCCGATTGCGGGGTGCACGTGACTGCACTATAACAGAGATCCTCCGCTGAAAGCTTCATGACTGAATCCCCCCAGCGTAAGCGTGTGTGTGAAGACAATGACTCTCAGTTTGCGTGTAACGAGTGCAAAAGAAGACGTCTGAAATGTTCTCGTGACGTACCTACATGTTCTTTATGTCTAAAACATCATCGACATTGTCTCTATGAGAAGACGAATAGAAGCCCATTGACTAGGAAGCACCTTACACAGGTTGAAGAGGAGCTTCGAATCAGCCGAAAGGTGATTCAGCGGCACTTTCCAACGATGGATATTTCACGAATGGTACAAGAAATCAAAAATGGCTCGAATATAGATGAGTTGATAGATCTGTTCACCACCACCCAAAGTTCACCAACTCAAAAAAACAGTTCACCAACTAAAAACAATATTAAAAACCTCTTGACGATCGACGATGGTTTGGAAGATCTTCAGGTTCCTCAGCTAGTTCCTTCGAGTGTCACAGAAAATGGTTCTCATAAATCAAGTACAGATCTCTCACCAGTGTCTTACAATTGGGACGAAAGAAATCTCCCCCATGGAAACCGTCAAGCGTCCATAATTGATGGAATAGCGACAATGGACACCAACGGGTATTTGGGCTCACCGTCAAGCGCAGCTCTTATCAACTTGGTTGGTGGTGGATTCTTTTTTCACAAGCCGCATGGAGATGGTGGAGATGGAAATCATGTTAATGAAGAGGTGTTGACAAATATTCCGAGGAACACATTGGAGGGATATATTAACCAGTATTTCCAGACTTTCCATGTTTCTTATCCCATTATTTATGAGCCTATTTTCATGGCTCATTTCAATGAGATTATAGTGCCTCCACAAGGATGGGAAAGCTTGATGTATATGGTTGCAGCCATAGGATCGTTCATGTCTGGGGTTTCTCCGGAGCAAAATGACGACTTGACTCTTTTTGAGTTGGCAAAATCAAAACTTTCCATGGAAATAATGGAGAGAGGAAATCTTACTTTGGTTACTACCATCACATTAATGTCCAATTATCTTCAAAAAAGAGATAAACCAAATTCTGGTTACAGCTACTTGGGGTTGGCGGTTCGAATGGCATTGGGTTTAGGCATTCATCGAGAAATAGATCGCCATGGAGAGTCACTCTTGGAGAAGGAAATGCGACGGCGGATATGGTGGTGCCTTTACATTTTTGACTGTGGTCAAAATATCACTTTTGGAAGACCGCTCTGTATTCCCTGTGCTGGCATTGATACCAGCCTTCCTATGAATATTCCCGATTCTTGCTTGACGGCTCTCACCAAGCAAATGCCCGTTCCCGAAAATGAACCTACAATATACACCAGTGTCCGGCTTCAGTCACTTCTACATTTATTGACGAATGGAATCTATGAAAGGATAATTACCGATCCGTTTCCTTCAGCATCGCAGCTCTTGGCTCGGGACAAAAAGTACCTCGAGCGGTGGAAGAAACTAGTTCCTCCATACTATGACGAAAGTGCTTCAGTTGGAGACAAGTTCAAGTTGAGCAAATGTGAGCTCGAATGGAGGTTTCGCAACTTGCGAATCTTAATGTACCGAACGTTTTTGTTGAAGAGAGTGGTTATTTCGAGTCAGGACTCTAGCGACCAGTATGAGCGCCAAGCTGGAGAAATCTGCTTGCAAGAATGCTCAAAAGTGATCAAAAGCATGAACCATTTCTGGTGCTCGAAGCCAGACCATAATCGTATGGAGACTTGGTACACTCTATGCTTTGTCGTTCCTGCTGCTCTCATGCCATTGGTTTGTTTGAGAAACAATCCTTCTTCAGCAAATGCCGACAGTTGGCGAAACGACGTGATAACAGCCCAAAACATCATTGCTTCATTGACTTCCATCTGCCCTTCAGCAGCAAAACTTCTGGACCTTATATCGACGCTCGGCCATGGCTACTTGTACACTCAACCAAACGCTACATCTCCAGAACCAACAGCTACCGATGAAAGTCCTACATCTCAGCTTCTACAATTACACAGCATGCTTTGGCCTGTTTCGTTTGATTTGGAACAACAATTTAATTTGACTTAACGCAATGTATATCCACCTCCAACCACAAGTTCTTCGCCAGTAATATACGACGAGGCATTGCTAGCCAAAAAGACATATACTCCCTTGAGCTCGTATGTCTGGCAGAGACGCTGGGCTGGAATTTGTGCAAACCAGGTATCTCTCCATTCTTTGGGATGAACATCCAACATATCGGTGTCGATGTACCCTGGAGAAACACAATTTACTCTAGCGAAATCGACCCATTCAACAGCAAGACACTTGGCCAAACGCACTAGTCCCGCCTTGGAAGCGTTGTAAGGAGCCTGCTTTTGTGGGTGGTTGACAATTAATGAAGACACAGAAGCCGTGAATACGATGCGACCTTGCTGCAAAATTCCACTAGCTTTTTGTTTCTTGAATGCCTGCGCAGCAGCTTGCGCCGTAAAAAATGCTCCGTCCAAATTCACCGCCATGATATTTCTATATTCTTCTTCGGTAAAGTCCTCGGCTGGTACATGACATGCAATTCCAGCATTTGGTACTACTACATCTAGCCGGCCAAAGTCCTTCAATACTTCCTCCACACACTTTTGAATGGCATTCTTGTCGCAAACATTACACTTATAAGCCTTGAAGTTGACTCCTAGACCCTCAAATTCGGCTTTGAGTTGATCAATTGTTTCCTGAGAAGAAGTATTGTAGGTTATGGCAATGTCAGATCCAGCTTCTGCAAGACCAGTAGCCGCAGCCAAGCCAATGCCTCGAGACCCTCCAGTCACCAACGATACTTTCTTGGCAAGACTGAAGAATTGCTGTACTGGAGCGTTTTCGTTTTGGTAGAGCATTGCCGATTGTTAGGAGTACTCATCTTTTATAGGGGAAGGTGGAAAAATGCTCGCAATCGCGGAGAGGGTGACAGAAGTCCGCTCATTCATAGCAAGTATGTATCCACAACCGACGCCGTGTGCTGTAAAATAAACTTTGCGTTTACAATGTCGTTGGAGTCTACCCGTTTGTACGCCAGCTCCAAATCATGCTCGATGTCTGCCTCAACATGTCTTTTTGCAACTCTGGTACGGCACACTTCAAGGTCGGCTTTTATCATCCATTTTTCGTCAACCAAAGAAGCGATTTCTTTCCACGGTTCGAGATCTAGCAAGAGGTAGAGACCCTCGATGATAACAATACTGGTCTCAGGTTCTATGGTCACCCCATTGGGCACGGGATCTTTTAGTTTGTGATCAAATGAAGGTGCATATATTACCCCGCGTTGACAATTTTGACAGGTTTTTCGCAACCGGCGGACAAACCGCACCACGGCCTCCGCATCGAACGTAAATGGTGCACCTCTTCTGGCAAAAGCAAATTCGGGATTTGGTAGCTTTCGGAGCTGGTCTCTCGAAAGATGAAACCCATCAATTCCCACCACGGTACACTTTACATTTGAATTGGTGTTCATGTAGTTTGAGATTCTGTTCGCAATGGTCGATTTTCCCGACCCCGGTACTCCAGCAAGAGCGATCAAAACCCGGTCGTTTTCGGAGTTTTCGAGGCACTGTACTGCCCGGTTAGCGTATTCTTGGATCATAGTTTGGGATTTTGGCCACAACCCCTTTTTAAAGTACGGAGACTGTGGTCCGCCGGAAAGTTTGACGGGACAGTGAGAGGGGCACAGATTTCCGAGCAGATATATAAAAATGCGGGGGGACGAATTTATCCTTCAATGGAGTCGTTCAGCAACCCTGCGTTTGTATTAAAGTCTGTGAAGAATGTGGTCTTTGAAGATCGGCCAATTGCGGCTTTGGGACCCAAGGAAGTGAGGGTCAATGTTTCCGAAACGGGAATCTGCGGCAGCGATGTTCATTACTGGCAGCGAGGAAGAATTGGAAAGTTTATCTTGGAGGAAGGCACCGACATGGTTTTGGGCCACGAATCAAGCGGAGTAGTGGTGGAGACTGGGTCTGAGGTCCCAAACTTGAAAATTGGCGATAGAGTTGCAATTGAGCCTGGGGTTCCATGTAGGTACTGCGCACACTGCAGAGATGGAAAATATAACCACTGCGAAGATATGGTATTTGCAGCCACACCACCGTGGGATGGAACTTTAGCCAAGTACTACAATGTTGCCTACGACTACTGCTACAAGATTCCAGACCATATGGACATGGAAGAAGCAGCTTTGGTGGAACCAGTTGCGGTGGCAGTGCAAATCTGTAAGCGAGCTCAAATTCAAGCCACTGATTCAGTGTTGGTATTTGGATGTGGTCCTATAGGACTCTTATGTCAGTCGGTGGCCAAGGCATACGCATGTAAAAAAGTCATTGGTGTGGATATTTCTGATGGCAGATTGGAATTTGCAGCAAATTTCGCAGCCGATAATGTCTACAAAATGAGCATGAGACAGGAAAATGAATCGGCTGAAGAATTTGCAATTCGCATCTCAAAAGACATCAAGTCCAAATTTGACTTGGGAGCTGGCGCAAACGTTGTTTTGGAAGCGTCTGGAGCCGAACCATGTATTCAGGTGGGAGTTTTTGCCGCTTGTCCCGAGGGCCGTTTTGTTCAGGCAGGAATGGGTCGCGAGTTCATTTCGTTTCCTGTCACCGAAGCGCTTGTCAAACAGCTCAATTGGACCGGTAGTATACGTTACAGTAGTGGAGTTTACCCTAATGCTGTTGAATTGGTTGCATCTGGAAAAGTCAAGGTGAAAAGTTTGATTACGAATCGGTTTAAATTTGAGGACGCAGAAAAGGCATTCGAGCTTGTCAAAGAAGGCCGGACCGATGTGATCAAGGTAGTTATTCAGGGATATAGGAAATGAATGGTCGACTCAACTAAACATTCCGATACTCTTTCCGAATTTCCGATCCGTTTCATGGTGGGATAGTGTGTGGTATTTTTGTGGTATTTTTGTGGGGCAGGTGCACAGAATCCCGGCGGTACTTAAACCCAGCATTCCCCATCTCACCAGTATTCCAAAATGCAATCCATTAGAAAGCCAAACCCTCAATTACCCGACAGCGTGTTCCAGATGTTCTCTATGAAGGGAAAATCTGTCATTATCACCGGTGCGAGTGGTGGAATCGCCCATGAGGTTGCGAGAGCTCTCGCTGAAGCTGGTGCCAATCTCAGCTTATGGTACCACAACAATCCTCTTGCAAAAGATCTTGCGGAGGAATTAACCCAAAAGTATGGAGTTGAAGCCCATGCGCTCAAAGTGGATGTCAAGTCGTGGGAACAAGTTGAAGCAGGTGTTACCAACACAGTTGAGAAATTTGGCCAGTTGAATGTGATGATTGCGAATGCTGGTATTCCTGCGAAAGCCGGTGGTTTGGACCAAACTTTGGCTGAATGGCACGATGTGGTCGACACTGACTTTAACGGTGCTTATTATTGTGCCCGAGCTGCTGGAAATGTGTTCAAGAAACAAGGATTTGGAAATCTTATTTTCACCGGTTCCATGTCGGGACATATTGTTAACATTCCCCAGCAGCAAGCGTGCTACAATGCCTCAAAAGCTGCTGTGATCCACTTGGCCAAGTCATTGGCTGTTGAGTGGGCAGACTTTGCAAGGGTCAATTCGGTTTCTCCAGGATACATTGATACACCTATTTCTGGTGATTGTCCATTTGAGATGAAGGAAGCTTGGTTCAAAATGATCCCGCTTCACAGAGATGCTGATCCTAGAGAGTTGAAGGGTATTTACTTGTACTTGGCTAGTGATGCTTCCACGTATACTACGGGAAGCGATTTTATCGTTGATGGTGGCTTCTGCTGCCCATAGAATAAATTTGCACCCAAAACTTGTAATGCATACAGGATCCCGTAAATTACGCGCACCCCACCTCGTTATTGTGGGGTAGATCTTGCATCGAGGCGGATGCAGGTTGTGAAAAATCACGGAGACAGTACACCTTTCTCCACCAAATGAACACCTCTAAGCGGCTCAATCCATACTTTTCTCCCCCACAACCATAAGGATTAGCTGATCTATATAAGAAATGGACTCCACCAGCTGAAGGTCAACCATGAAATTTAAGTCTTCAAGTATAAGTGAAATTGTGGGTCCAGCTATTGCGGAGGTGTTGCCTGACCATGGTGTTCCCTGGTTTAGGGTTAGGCACCTTTTAACACTCAATTTGTTGTTGGTTGTACCACTTCTCTCGTCAGCAACTGCTGGGTACGATGGGTCCTTGATGAACGGTTTGCAGTCTTTGACAGAATGGAAAGATTATTTCCATCATCCAGAAGGGACAATGCTTGGTTTTGTCAATGCAGCGCAAAATTGTGGCTGTTTTATTGTACTTCCTTTTTGCGGATGGTGTACCGATAAGTATGGAAGAAAATTGACCATATTTGCTGGATTGATAGGAATTGTCATTGCTACAATTATCCAAGCTACAGCTACTACAGTTGCCCAGCTAATTGTGTCGCGGTTTATCGTTGGAGCAGCTGGAATGTTGGCAGTTCAACCTGCACCGTTATTAATAGCAGAAATGTCTTACCCTACTTTTCGAGGTAAAATGACTTCACTTTACTGGTGTGGATATTACCTTGGTGCTATCTTGGCGTCGTGGACTTGCTATGGAACCGACGGCAGAGGAGATACTTGGGCATGGAGAATTCCCACTATCTTGCAAGCTGGGTTCCCATGTGTTCAGCTCATATTTTTGTGGCTTGTTCCAGAGAGTCCTCGTTGGCTAGTATCTAAAGATCGAATGGATGAAGCACGGGCTTTGCTTGTCGAGTATCATGCTGGTGGAGACGAAAACTCAGAATTGGTCAAGGTGGAATTGACAGAAATTGTAACTGCTTTGGAGACAGAAAAGGCTGCAAAACAGTCTAGGTGGAGCGATTTGATTTCAACACCAGGTAACAGAAAACGTACTTATATTGCTGTGAGTCTTGGGGTGTTTGCTCAATGGAATGGTATTGCCGTTGTGTCTTATTATTTGACTTTGGTATTGGACACTATAGGAATTACTGACTCATCGATGCAAACGTTGATAAATGGTTTGCTTCAAATCTTCAATCTTTTGGCAGCTGCCTCTGCTGCGTTGTTGGTGGACTGGTTTGGAAGAAGAACCTTGTTTCTTTGGTCCGGTGTTGGAATGCTTGTATCGTATATCATCTGGACTGCTTGTTCTGCAGTTTTTGATGAGACGAAAAATACGGCAGCTGGTCGAGCTGTGGTTGGGTTCATTTTCATTTTTTACTTCCACTACGATATTGCCTATACTCCATTGCTCTTGGCATATCCTACAGAGATCTTTCCTTATTTTTTGCGTTCCAAAGGTGTCACTGCCGAGTTGATGGGAGTCTATGGTTCGTTGATAATTGCGGCTTTTTGCAACTCAATTGCTTTGGACAGAATTGGCTGGAAGTACTACATTGTGTTCTGTGTCTTGTTGGCTATCATTTGCGTCAACACCTACCTTTTCTATCCAGAAACGAAGGGCTACTCATTAGAGGAAATCGCTCGGATTTTTGATGGTGAAAAAGCCTTTGATATGGAGTTGGACGTGGATTCCAAGCCACAAGTAGAGCATCTGGACTGACAAGATTAGCTTGGATTCATTACGTTTTACGACTTTTTAAAATACAAGATTTTCAATTCTTTCAGATTTTGTAATTTTAAAATTTTTCGAATTTTCATTTTTTTGAATTTTGGGATCTTAAACTGACAGACCGTTCTAGGTGAGTAGAAAAAAAAGTATTCATAGACTTCCACAATAAAGTAGGGCCTACTTGCTATTCTCTTGAAAATCCATTCTGTTTTTCCCGATTAGGAAATTGGTTGCAACCATAGTTGCACCTACATTATTTCAAACATCTTATATTAAGACCGGTCCATAGCCGATGAGCATAACACCATCTAGTAAGCATTTCTCAGGGTAGGTGTCTAATGGCCACCTGCAGCCAATAGTCATCCTAATGTTAAAGGGTATACTTGTAGACAGATAAATAATTTTGAATGGACCAACAGTACAAAAGAAAATTGGGTAATAGGTCTAACACGTCATTATGGGTACTTTTTGAATGGGTGAAGCGAATTAGTAGTTGTAAGATCTTCTTCTCTTTCTGCAAGCACCTTTTCCAGTGGAGCTTGGAGTGGTTCCAGATTTAGTTGGGGTAGCAGAAGATTTCACAGATCCAGAAACTGGTCCACCACACTTTCCAGAAGCGGCAGCCAAAGCAGTGGTGATCACATCATTCAATGTACCAAGGTTGAAGAAAGCCTTGAACAAGGATGGAACCAAGCCGGAAGCAGCAAGGTCGGAGATAAGTTGTGGGATGGTAAGAGCACCACTGCTGAACAATTGTTTGATCAAGTCAGCACCAAAGGTCAAGAAACCTTGGTCGGTAACCAAAGCTTGCACAACTTGGTCGGCCAATCCAGAAGTTTTCAACGATTCCATCACACTGACAAGAACGTCATAAGCATCTCTCTTTTCAACTTCTGGCAACAGAATTTCAGCAGATTCAAGTTCTTCGATCTCTCTCTTGCCGGTAATCTTAGCCTTAAGCTTTCCAATCAAATCAGAAATGTATTGCTCGGCAATTTTGAAAATTTCTTGGTAAAGTTGACAGTCGTTGATAAGACCTTTAATGACCAGCACCGCCAAACCAGAGTCGTTCAAAGCCTTAAGCAAAGTACCAAGGTTGATCAATCCGTGCTGGATAAGGTAGACAATGGTCTTTTGAGTGATAGGACCAAATACTGGATCGGAAACAAGGTACAGAATAATTTGAGGTGCGAAACCAAAGTTTTTGATTAAAGACAAAACATCGGTAACAATTTTGTTTTCTCTCTTCATGATCTCATCAGCACTCATGGTATCTCTCTTGGCAACAAAGTCATTCATAGATACAACAAGTTCATTGGCAGCAGAAATGTCTCTCTTAGTAAGAGCAGTTTCTCCTTCAAATGGAGCAGGAGCAGCATTGACGGCAGCTGTGAGAGCCAAGACCAAGGTGGCAGATGTGGCAGTCAATTTCATGGTAGTTGAAGTTAAGCGAGTAGACTGGTGTTAGAAAACAAAGATCCGGAATGGGGGATCCATTTTATAATAATTTTGCGACCGGTCGAAACATATCCAGATTTGGCAGTTTCTCTAAATTTAGTGGATAGGAGGAGAAATCTGAGTTGACTTGGCAAAAGTTGGTATGTTTTGTTACTGCTTTTGGCATTTTTTCGACTAGTTTTTTGGACTATGCAGTTGGCTGCTAATACCTTTACCCAATTAGGAAAAAGGCTTCAGCAACACTATATACAAAAGAGGAAATGTCCAACATGCAGGCCACGCAACAAGTGCGAGGGGTGCCAATTAAATTTCCGTTTTAGGCAATAACTAAGGTGCCATCCAATACCCGGTAAAGTGAAGTAGTCGTACCTTCACCAAGATTTGGCGGTCAGGGACAGGTTCTAGACGACGACAAATGTCCTAAAACGAATAATCGAGATGGGATAGTATGCAGTACCACACAAACTTAGCCAATGTGCATTTCCTTGACAGCCGTAAGTATGGCCGAAAGAAAACAAGGTGCTAATTGCAGTAGATTGACCACATTAAACAGTTAGTCTTGTGAGTTTCATGGTTGGTGGCATTAATGCAATCGGCTGCAAAACGACGCATTATTTCTGGAATGAATGCCTTACATAATGCGTGGAACCGGCCGCTTCTCCAAGGAAGTTTCTGCACACAGGGCTCACACACCCACAATTTCCTGCAGACAACCGTAGGCTTGGGATACGGCTTAAGCGCTAGTTTTGCAACACTTTTGCATTTTGGAGACTGTAGTAGCCCCGTAAGCTCTCTTAATGCTTGCTTACAAATTTATAGCTATACAGGTATACATTTATGTGCAATTGTGTAGTATTGCTTTTATTCATTTGTTTACCAATATTATTTTTCAATGAGGGTGCGGAACTATCGGTCCCAGATAACGAACTCGAAACAACTCTTTTTACAAATTTAACCATTCAATTTGTGATTAGCACCCAAGAGGTAACTCGCTATAGCATACACAATCCACAACTATTAATATTTTCACCACAAATTTGTCATACATTCGGTTTTCGTGTTTCTGCTTACTCGGCTAACTCACACTTTATTTCACCATGAATTGGTTATTGACCATTCTTTCATGTGTGGTGGCGTTCTACGTGTGTCTCATCCTAATTGTAAACCGAATACCACATGTCACCATCAAATCTTTCGGCTGGTTGGCATTCAAGCATGTCACGGTGACGTTGCCGACTTCCAGAATATACATCCGAAAAATCTACTTTCGGTTCCATTTGTTCCGCTGGAGAAACTCTCCTGTTCGGTTCTTGGGAATTGAGTTTGTGGATGTGAACATCGAGCGAATTGCCCCGTCGAATGAAAAGAAATCTTCACAACCTCGCACCTTGAATATTCCGGAAGAACTTCAATTGATAGTGCCCAAAAGACTCCACAACTTCTTGATATCGACACGGATCATCAACCAGGTCATCTTCATGTTTTTCCGTGTTTCCGTCTGTGACGCTGACCGCAGAGATGCTTACTCACTATTCGTCGATGTCTTCAAGATGGAAGCACTGTACTCTTCTGTGGCCAAGAACCGGGTTCTGTTCGCGGTTTATAACCTCTATTTAAGCTCTGGAGACCCCAAATCGGAAGATTACCAGAGCAATATACTTCAATTGAGAAACATTGAATTCACAGTTCTTTGTTCGGTTATCACTGAGTGTCCCATCCATGATCCTTCCAAGTACGCTTGGTCTTTCCGCAACTTCGACTTCAATTTGTCAGTGGACAAGCTTGTGGTTCCTCTCGATCGAACCAAATCGTTTGTTTCCAAACTCAAACCGTCTACAACTGCAAAGGTTCCAGAGACAGTAAAGATTAATAAAAGGAAACAAATTGATGCCAATTTGGACCTTATCGATCAGATCTTAAAGTTGGTGGAGTTGACAGATATAAAATTCAATGATCTCGTACTTTCATGCGGCGACGTTGAGTTGACATGCGGGAATGCTGCGTTTTCAATTACACCGCTCAAGAAGTTTAATACCATTCCAACGGGGGCCAGAGTATTCACAATCTACTTGACTTCGACAAAACTTCACCACAAAGGCACCAAATGCTTGGATTTACCATCTGGAACTTTTGCATTAGAGTCCACTCCTATGCGTTTAATCCGCCGTATTTATAACTTTATGGACCACAAATGTGAAGATTTTGGAAAACAAGAACCTTTAAATGTGGCCAGTTCAGTCACCTTGACAAACTCGGTGATTGATATCTATCATGATCAGCTAGACTTGATACAACACTTGATCAAACCCAAGTCGTCCTCAAAACAAAAACCAGCATTTGCTCCAATTATAAAGCATATACTTGCAATCGTGTCAGAAGTCAAGTTGAAGATTGTCGTCGTTACTACTACTCTTAATATGCATTTTCCCAAGCCAAGTATGTCGAAAATCGAGAAGAAAGAAACGTTTCATCGTGACGCTTATCTGAACATGGTTGTGTCGATCAGCTTGCAAGGTTTCGTGCACAAGTTCATGAATAAGAACTTGAGTCAAATCATACAGTCACCAAGCTCCAAACACAAAACTCAGTTACTTACAGGTATTTTCAAGTTTGTGGGTTTTGAGTACTTGGTGGCCGACAACACCATATCACTTCCAAAGTTCAGCATGAAGGCGACCTATGATGTCTTCAACAATAATATTTCGTTGACGGTAATACTCAAAAACTTGAAGATGTCCTCGGTGAACTCGGCGATCTTTCACCTAGCTCGTGAAATTAGGAACAGAAATATTGAGCACTCAAATCGAAGATATGATCTTTTGATGGGACAAGATAAGGACGAACCACCACTTGAAGACCCACAGAAAGAAGTCCAGAGCTACGTCAAATTATTTGAGATATTACCTTCTTTCATATCGTCGATCAAAGTTAGTGTCACTTCCCTCCAAGCTGATATCATATGTAACGATGGTCTACCTAGTTTCACCATCTACGACGAGACACTCAAAAGAGACATTGATCTTGCCGAATTTAAGCGTGGTGTTTCCATCAAGATAGAGGGTGTGAGTATCAACTACAAGAGAGCGTCTGAAGATGTCCTGGCGAAAATGCGTACGTTTCAATGCTTCACGCTCAGTGAGTACATGTCTGAGTACATTCCCGACTTTGATCTTGTGACCACCTATGACGAGCAACTGTCGACTGTGAGCGACGTTACCAGCTTGGACACTACACTCTCGGAAGAAAACGATAGTGCCAATCTCAAGAGAGTTAAAAAGGTTGTTTATGTCCGGGACTTGAAAATTGGTAACTACAATAAAGAGGACAAGAACTTGTTGACGCTCATGATCCCAGAAGCCGATGGTCGTTTAGACACCTTTTTCATTTGGTGTTCTATTTATGCCCGAACGTTAATTCACTACTTTGCTCCAACCGTCAAGAGAAAAGCGTCTGGAAGAAGAATATCCCAACTCAGTGGTTCACGCTCAAACCTCAAGCTCAATGTTAAGATAGACTCGGTAGCCGTGGTGTCGCGGTTTCCAAACAATGTCGATGCGTTATTCGAAATAGAGTCGTTGACTCTGTCAGATGTGATAACAACGAAGGAAGCAAACATCACCTTTGCCAGAGTCTATGTGGTACATCCTGCTGTCAAAAGATGGGCAAGACTCTTATCGATTGCTCACTTTAACTTTAAGCTTGGCTTGGACCTTGAGTCGAATCTTGTTGATGTTTTTGCAACCACCATTCGGTTGAATATTCCCTACTCGTTTTTGTTCTACACTGTGTTTGATAACATTATCACATTTGCCAAGGCAGTCCGCCAAATCAAGCAAAACTTTCTAAACTTTGTCGAAGGAAACAACGACTACAGCAGAATATTACCCCAAAAGCGAGATGCAACCGACTTTCCTTCGGTTAGAATTCGTACAAAGACTTTGGGAATGTCACTCGAGAACGACCCATTCGAGCGTGAATTGGGATTCATCTTTGAGCTTGCTGCGATAGAAAACGAAAACAGGCTTCGAAAAATAGACCTATTTGAAAAGAAAGTGGACGAGATTCGTGCTCAAACAAAGCCATCAATAGAATCTCAAATTGAACTAACTTATGACCAGCCCCACAAGCACACCCAAAAGCACGAGCCATCATTCCGGAGCCCGTTGCGTAATGTTATTGACGACTCGAAGACATCGAGTAGAACACGGAAGACTCGAAAGTTCAAGACAACTGCGACACCAACATCAAATGGAGCATCAACTGCTGCGAACCAAGAAGAGTTGTACACGGAAGAGGAGGCTGCAAGAATCATAGCTTCGGCTAAAGAGTCTCTTGATCAAAACTTGTCTTCTGCTTGGATCAAAAAGTACAAACTTTTCAAGCATGTTAAATTGAAGCTGTGGAGAGAGAGGGTTACAAGGCTTTGGGGAAAAGACGAAGTAAGCGAGACCATCACTTCAAAGTACGACATCCTAGAGTATTCAGACCCACCGTACTTGATGGGTGCTGGATTCAAGGACTTCGATCTCGAGTTGAGCAAGGCAAGAATCGACGACATACATGAATTTCTTCATAAACATGGTCAAGGTCAACCCCGGCTTGACTATTCCATTCTTGTTCCACTTTATGGACGACTTCGCAGTTCGGCACTTTTCGTTTACATTCGTGATTATCCGTTACCATTGGTTTCCTTTCCTCTGAATTCGGATCCATCTAAGACTACAATTGACCTCCGAGGTAACTTGGTGGTAAATGAAAAGTTGGTAACACGAAAGGAAGAAATGAGATACATCTTTGTGCCGTTTTCTCCATCTTTAAATGAGGAAAAGTGCACTGATACCTTCTACTCAGTGTACATTCCTCGTACACTTACTCCTGTCAAGTTCACGTTTGACTTTGAATGTGATTTAACAACTGATAGAGCATGCATGTTGAGCTGGTGCAAATCATACCAGCCAGGAATATCAGCGGTTGCGACTGCGTTTGATAGCTTTACCAAACCTGCTATAGATGATAGTCCACTAGGATGGTGGGACAAAGTTGCTTTACTTCTTCATGGAAAAATCAAGTTTAACATACCCAACGAGTTATGCCTTCACATGAAAGGGTCTGCCAGTCCATATGAACTAATTGGAAAAGCAGCTGGACTTGTCTTCTGCTGGAAAAATAATGTATCTTTGAGAATTAACGATACGGGAGAACCTAAAGAGTTGATACTTCTTGATAGCGACGACTTCATCCTTGGTATACCCAACTATTCTTCAACCGAAAGGAAAACATGGAGCTTGTTTTACGATGAGACACATCCCAATATCGAAGAGAACGACATAGACTCAGAAGCCAAGAAGTTTCATAAACGAGTCATGAAGTTAACTTCATCAGACAGGGTTCAGTGGAAATTGGGATTTGACTTTGAGCGTAATGTGAACAATACAACTGCTTTAGGCGACGACCAAGAAAGAACAAGGGATTTCAAGCCTCATTACGACGTTGTTGTTACCAACCCAATGTACGAATGGCATCCTGATTCTTACGAAAAGTACAGATCAGACTATCTTCATCTTGCCTTTTCGGTGATTTCAAAGTCATCAAATGGTAACGCATTCAATGCAACCTACTTGACTCCATTGACATTCTTTTACTTCTTCCATTGGTGGCATATGATGACAAAGTATACATCGCTTCCCATCAAGCAAGGTCCATTGTTTGTCAACTCTCCAGTATCGAAGTCTCATGTCAAGATGGGATTGCATTTATACACTGTGAAATATCAATTGATTTTCGAGCCATTGGTTATATCACATTTGTACATGCACTCAACAACATCGGTTTTTGATCACAAGGATAAAGTTGCCTTTACAGGTTTGAAGGGAAAATGTACTTCTTGTACCATTGACTTACACCAACGAAAGGAAACTTTACAATACATCAACAAAAAGTTGAACATTGATAACAAAACTATGCACCTTAAAATGAACGAGGCAGAAGTCGAAATCCAAGAAGCTGACATTAGGTTCATAAATGCTCAGTTTAAGGATAAGGCTATCAGTGCATATTTGGCAACATATTTGGACGACTCATCTTTATCATCGCCAACTGAATCCAAGCTGACAGAAGGTGGCCAGTCGTTCACTTCTTGGTATGCGGATTTCGAGTCTTCACACGATTCATCTGGGCCCTCATGGTATGATCCTGATGATTTAGTCGAGCTCGAATTACACGATACCCTTTCTCCTTATCCGAAAATAAGAATTCTTCCATTTCTTTACACCCCCAAGTTCAGTTACATTAGGGAATTCTCGCTACAAAAAAATGGTCCCTATCCTTTCGGTCGTGAGGATTTCCATGATTGTGTTTTGGGTCGCCTGGATCCCGAGCAGACTCAAATGCACTTGATTGACTCCCGAATTGACTGCCTTGGTGAATCTTTGCAAAATCTGAACGAGGACTCGAAAGAGTATAGAATCATAAAAGAGCGAATTGAGCTATTGGATGCGATCAAAGATGGTTTATCTGGCGATGACATCTCTCGAAGGTCTTCTGTGGTCAGCGAGTCTTTAAGTTTGGAGCGTGTGAAGACTACCAACTCAAGTTACAAATCTTACAATGATATGAAGAGAGTCACCTCTCTCAACTCTGCCGTGAGCGAGTTCCACAATAGATTTATATTCCACAATGTCCAAATGAAGTGGGATAACACACTCCGTGATTTGTTCATGGAGTACTCCGAGAAGATTTCGGACAGGCGTTCACAAATGTTCTTCATGGGAAAGAAAGCAGTTGACCTTATTCGTGAAGTGCAAGCAAAGTTTCAGCGTGAAACTTCACCAGTTGCCGAAGAAGACGACCATATTGATTTCCAATGCGGAGAAGATTTCATCAACTGTATTTATGACACAATAGGTGAGATTGACGAAGAAAAAGAAGAATCTGATAACAAGTATTTGATCAAATTTATTCATCCTCAAATACAGCTCACCAGCAGCAAGAACAAAGACTCTTGTATGATTATCACGTCACGAGATTTGGAGGTTCGAATCGTTGCAATCAACATGGCAGGCATGAACAATGTGATTAGTGAGGACGAAGAAACGAGCAGTAATATTGAAACTCGATATGGTGTGGTTTTCAAAGATTCACACGCTTTTTGTTTTCAAAAAGGACAAAGAATCTATATCGATTGGCGAAGCTCCCTATGGCACTATGCACAGTTGCAGCAAAGCTAACTGGCCACCTTGGGTAGATTTTGAAGTTTGTTACGATAGCTCATGGATGACAGAATATTTGGTATTCGAGAGAGCTTCTATGGGACTCAAATCTATCCAGCCCAATACGTTGCAAAACAGCGACAATAAATCGTTGAAAAACCTGTTGTTCGTCCTGTTATCGAAGTTGGTTGTCAATGCTACTTCGGAGCAATATTCCACGATTTATTTCATTGCCAGCAATCTTCTCATTAGAGGAAAAACTCACCAGGATGAACTCATTAGCAAATGGAACAAACTAGCATCGCTTTCTGATGCTACCGATTTTGAGGGATTGGACGAAAAAGTCAAGTCCTTACAGGACTCGATTAGAGCCTCTTCTCATATTCTTTTGAAGTTGGACCTGAAAGGTATTCCTTTTGATGAAGAGGAACGAGAATCTATAAGGACGTTTCAGCTTGAAGTCGAGCGGCGAAAGCTTGAGTTAATTGTCCTTATGAGAAGTATAGGATTGAAGAGTTCCAAGACTCAAAGCAGCAAACAGTTTGCTCGGTTCACGAGAATTGCAGCAGATCAGGTCATTTGGCATTTACTTGATGATGACAGAGAGCCGTTTGTGGATTTTGCGTTGGCAAACGCTTGGTTTACTCGACTGGATTATGCTGATGGTTCCAATTACAACAATGTGGATGTCAGTATAGTTCAAGGTTTCAACTTGAGAACTGGCGCTGTGTATCCAGATCTCTTGATGCCCCTCAAAGAAGATAAAACAGAAACCAAGGACTCTCTACTTTCGTTGACATGGAAAATGTTGGATCCCGTTGGAGGCATAGTAATGATAAAAGATGCTAGACTTACATTGAAGCCTCTCAAGGTACAGCTTGACCATAACATGGCCCATGATTTGTTCAAGTACTTATTTCCTGATTCCAAAAACACCGACGATTCAGAATTGGAGAACGAGGTGCTAGCAGCCAGCCAGGTTCCTCCAGATGAAGACATGGCACCAGATTCGGAAAAAACATCTAAATCTAGAAATCCATTGAGAAAACTTATCAAGAAACGAATCACCTCATCCTCAACACCAGTTAATGAAGATAGTGATGCTGACCACTCGTCTATATCTTCGACATCGTCCAAGACCCGAGTGGATACTGAGAGTGATCAACTGGTGCAAAGTAGGAGAAGTATTCGTCGCAGTGAAAGTTTATCCAAAAAGACAAATAGTGAGGAGTTTGACTATGCCGATGCAGTGGTTACAAGACTGTCGAAATATTACTCCATTATAAACTTTGATGTGTCGAAAACGATTGTCCTGATCAGTTACAAAGCACCGAAACACCTCAACATCATCGACGTTCATAATTTGGCATTGACAATTCCCAGCTTGTCTTACCGTGACAAGATATGGTCTGCGGAAGACTTTGTTCTTCGCTTGAGAAAAGATGTCATCAAGATGATTTTGTCCAACAGTGGTAAGATCATCAGCAACAAGTTCAAGTTGAAAAAACGCCACGCCAACCAGGAACCACTAAAACAGATTTCCGACTACGCTTCTTATATGACAATCCAAGATCTTCAATCCGATGGTCGGGCGAGAGATGCCACTAAAACAAACCTGGAATTAAAACCCCACCATCGCCACCACCACCACCATCGGTCCGGTGACGGAAACCACTTGGCAGTTCCTCATGGTGAAGAAGTGTACCGAACATATTTTGCAAGCGACGATTCCGAACCACCGGGCGACTCCGAGACGGCCGACGACTCGGTTTCTGTCATAAAAGAGAGCGAATAATAAATAATACTAAATAATGACGCTATGTACAATATGACTCACCAGTAGTTGCTTGTTCTTCACTTGTTCTTGCTGTTCTTGCACTTCCCTTCACCTCTTGTTCCATGCGTCTTCCTGCAGCGTACTTTGGAACACCTTCTCTTACATAAGCTGGGCCAAGCCTCCGATAATATCGAAACAACCACTGACTACTTCTACTCAGCAATGGCGTTTTTTGACGCACTCAAAGAGCGGGCCGTGCTGACTATCAACCAGGTGTTCGATAAGGGCAACGATTCCGGCCTTTCCAAGGCTCAATTATTTTGTATTGAACACAGAATTCCTGACGACGAAACCGTCATTGATGAACTGGCTGCTGAGGTCGGAGTTTATTCCGAATATAATAAGGATGCTTATAAAGAAAAGATGGGGGTTTCGCAGGGCCGAATATTTCTCACCCAGAGGTTTTTGATTTTCAGTGATGCTTACGACAAGAGAAATTGTTCATTTACCATTCATCTTTCAACAATTAAAAAAGTAGAACGGGTTCCTACCACAGATTATGCTTTTGCACTTGCAATTGGAACACACAGCCGTATCAAGCTTTCGTTTTTTCTTGTGGGAATGCGTTCCGAAAGCGAAAAGTTTGCCCATAACCTAAAATTGGCATTGCGAGCAAATCTCAAAAATATAGCCAAACTTCAGCCTTTTATTCAGACATGTTACTCGGAATATTTGCTCGCAAAAAACAAGGTATCGTCCGAGAAAGTCGACGAGATTCCATCTGGCGGATTGGGCTTGGAATTTAAGTTTCCAGGAAACGCTAAAGAGCTTCGTGACAAGTCCAAGATGAAACTTTGGTTCGATCTTTTTAAAGCAGACGGCCGCAACTTGTCCATTGTAAAGACTCCCATGTTTCACCGGTTGGTCAGAGTGGGTTTACCAAATCGGTTGAGAGGTGAGATCTGGGAATTGTGCTGTGGCTCGATGTATCTCAGACTTGAGAATGTGGGATTATATCAACAACTTCTTGATGAGAACAAGGAGAAGAACTCCCTCGCAATAGAGGAAATAGAAAAGGACTTGAATCGGTCTTTGCCAGAATACGCAGCCTACCAGTCTCCAGAAGGAATCGAAAGATTGCGCAATGTTTTAACAGCTTATTCATGGAAGAACCCTGAAGTTGGCTACTGCCAAGCTATGAATATTGTCACCGCTGCCCTCCTCATATACATGTCTGAAGAACAGGCTTTCTGGTGCTTGCATATGATTTGTGATAGAATTGTTCCAGGTTACTACTCCAAAACCATGTATGGAACATTGTTGGACCAGAGAGTTTTTGAGTCTTTGGTGCAAGATACTATGCCTATGCTTTGGGAACATATCACCAAGTATGATATACAGCTTTCTGTGGTATCTTTGCCTTGGTTTCTTTCCCTCTTTTTGAGCTCGATGCCTCTAGTTTACGCTTTCAGAATCTTGGATGTGTTCTTCCTTCAAGGTCCTAAAACGCTTTTCCAGGTTGCATTAGCTATTCTCAAGTTGAATGGTGAAGAATTGCTTAAAGTTGAAGACGATGGCTCGTTCATCTCCTTGATAAAAGACTACTTTCACAGCCTCGAGCAATCGGCTCATCCAAATTCTCCAAACCAAAAGTACCGAACTATCACCAAGTTTCAAGAGCTTTTGGTGACAGCGTTCAAAGAGTTCTCTGTTATCAACGAAGCCGTTTTGAACAAGCATCGCGTCAAGCACCGGAACACAATTTTCCTGAATATCTCCACCTTCGTGAAACGGACAGAGTTGAGAAATTTGCCCAAAGTCAAAAACATAGACCAGCCCACACTTGGAAACATATATGATCGCTACTATTCGATTGTTGAATCCAATGTCACAGTGGGTAGTGGATCCAGTGTGATGGACTTTGAAGGGTTTAGAATTTTCATGTCTCAAATATGTACCTGGGTGAACGAAAATGACGACAATCCCTTCCTTCGGAGATTGATGAACCATTGGGATTCTGAGGGGCAGAAAGCGTTGACGTTGTCAGACTTGGTGGTGGGATTGAACAAGCTAATTGAGCCGGACCTCATGGAAGCAATGTCCAATTTCTTCAGCTTGTATGACGATAAAAAGAACGGCAAGTTGGATCGAGAGCATATACTACAAGTTTCTGAAGACTTATTGTATATCACAACTCCGTGGAAGGATGCTTGGGAATTGGACAGGATAACTGAAGATGCCATTGAAAATGCCATTGCCGACGAAATTGTGAAGAGAAAAGCTGAGAAAGGTGAGAAATCCGGTGACATAGAAATCTCATCTGAGATTGAAATTGACAAGCCCAAGTTGGAAAACCAACAAATTGAGAGATACTTGTCTGCTGCAAGTACATTTATACAGCGTGCATTTGAATATGCCCAGCCAGAAGAGGAAGAAGCGCTCATAAAAGAGCTTGCGGTTGATAATAAAATCTCACACAATGCTGCTTTGGATCCTAGTACGCCCACATATCTCAATTTACCCACCTTCAGAATGGTGGTGTTGGCTGATGAAACATACGAGTTACTTTTCAGCAACACTTTGAGGAATTCAATTCGTCCAGAGAAGCCATTAGACGAGAAATTCGATACTATGAGAAACTTGAAAGACATGTTTGATGGATTGTTAGCCGATGGTCGAAAGGTTGCGAATAAGGTGAGGAAGAGAATGGACTCTGCAGCATCAAGTGCAATCAATAATCAGAACCAATCGCTGAACCACCAAAGCGAATCCTCTTCATTGAAATCAGGCAAATCCAAGATTCAAGAGGAGGACGAAGAAAGAGATGATGATTTCGGAGTTATATCGATTGACGAAAAAGATAAGGATCTCTTGTTGGGAGCAGAAAGTCATGTTGTTATCAACACGCCAGACCAGGCCACAGCGGTACCTAAAACCCAATCGAGTGCAAGTACTAGTACGACCAAGGATGGTGAAAAACAACCAGATGGAAATCTTATTGAATTTGAAACTTAATTATTAGCATAAATAAATCACGTACAAAATCTACCTATATCGAAGATACTTGTGTATAACTTAACGCAGCTCATTATTCCTTCCGAAAAGTTTTCGTAACTTGCCAAACTTCTTTTTACCTTTGGGTGGCTTTTCTTCTTCCTTGGGTTGCCTCAATGTATGTCTCTCTGAGACAACTGGTGCCAGTGCAGGGGCTTGCTCCACTGGGTGATTTTCGGCGGCAGAATGGGCAGCTAGTTGAGGAACTTCCTCGTCGTCTGAATCCGCAATACGAGAAGTGAATCTGTGTTTTGTAGGACTTTCGGATTCAGAGGAGCTCAGAATCCTGTGAGCATTAGCATCACTCTGTGGCACGGTAGATGGCTGTGGTTGAGTCTGCGGTGCTGAAGTATTATCTCTAAGAGTCGTTCTAGTGACTTTAGGCTGCTGACCGGAGCCATTAGCACCTTCACTTTCCTTGTCAAAAGACGATTTCTTTGTGTTTAAAGGTCTGAATTGGGAAATTGGTCTAGAGTTGGCCTTGGCATAAAGCTCAGCAGCTCTTTGTTTTGATGGTGATTGATAGTTGGGTTGTAAGGCTGGATGAGGCGCCATAGGTGCAACATACGAATTACGATCCCGAAGAGAACGGCTGCTCATACCACCGGCCCCTGCTCCTTGGGCGTGTTGTTGATGTTGGCCATGGTGGAACACATCTGAATTTGGTCGCAAGGTCTTGTGTGCCATCACACTCCCTTGTTGATGACCTTGTGGTTGAGGTGACTGTTGCAATTGCTGCTGAGGTGGTTTTCTCGAGACGGATTGTCTCTTGGCAGAATTGTTCGCAGTTGGGTAATGATGACTATCGAAGCCGTTAACCGCGAGCGCATCGCCCAACTGTGACGAAGAAAGCTTGGAGTTCAATCTGGTATTCTCTGCCGTTGTCAAAGAAAGATATGCTTCGCGAGCAGGATTTTGTGCTCTGGGTGCTGACTGCAGTGATGAATTGTAGAAAGAGTTTGAATTTTTAATTGCGGACTTCTTTGGTTTCAAAGCCGACTTGTGAGGCGAGGACGAGTCGAAAGTGCCCCCAGAGCGAACCGAGGAGTTGGAGCTGCTAACATTATTGATAGGAGGCGGAAGATGCAACAGATCAGCAATGTTCTTTGAGTCGTCCGAGTCGATATATTCGGGGCTGGGATCAAACTGAGGTTTTAACATCGATGCATCAAGCAGTGGATCAGGAAGATCGGGCACACTGACGAGCTCAGTTTCACCATCACGTTCCGGTGAAGGAGCATAGTGGTTGATAATACCAAGTTCGGCTCCCGTTGCAGGATCTAAAGTGGAAAAGCTCTGTTCGTGGTCGGGTGCTGAGTTTTCATCAACCGCATTTTTCTTGTCCAATTCATCCACAGTAACGGCGTTGGCATCGATAGAAGCATCAGGGATCACTTCCGCCTCATAAACCGAGGACTTTTCTGACAAGTTATCCTCCAATGTATCTTCAACGGTACCCAAGTCGGGACGCAAAATAGGCGACGATGATTCACGAAGTTCCTTTTTAGCCAATTCGTCGACTGCAAAAGGTGGCTCTACAATGGGAACATCCTCTTCTTCGGATTCGACAGGCTGCGTGGGTGCATGAGTATCAAGGTCTTTTTCTTGGTCCAACTCCAAAATGGCTTGTTCTTTTCTAAGACGTTCTGCCTTCAAACGCTCGAATTCACTCTTCATCTCTTCCAATTCCCGCGCCATCTTCTTTTCGTTGTCTATCTGTTTTTGGAGAGCCTCTAACTTTTTCTGGTGGTCCTTCACATCGTCCGCCGTGTCCACCGCCTCTTCTTCCTCCACCATCGAAGACATTCCCTTGGCGCCTTGCAAGCTCGAGAGCCGCAGCGATTGCCTAACTGCCGATGATGATTGTTGTGGTGGTTTTCCGGTCAAAGACAGCAGCCGAGGAATTCTACGATTTTGAGACAACGAGTTCAAAGACCCGGATCTGTACATGTTGGGTCCTGACCGGAGCGAGTTGCTGCGTGCTACTTCTTTAGCAAAGTTGGTTTCAGGAACTTCCACGACTTTGATGCCTGTGGGTGTGGGAATATACTTTTTCACCATTCTCACCGGGACGTTGTTCGGGTCAGAAAGCTTCAAATCGCTCACCGCATGGTCATTGAAACTGTCGTTGAAGCTGCCAAAGCTATCGTTAAAACTGGAGTTATCGTGGTTACCATTAACATTCTGAAATGAACTGCGCCTCGAGTCTGTTCCAGGAGGTTGTTTATAATGATCCATTCGACGGCCCTGGTTGATAGATGGCAGTCTCGGAACCTGCCGGGCTTGGGGCAGCTGGCGAACCGAACCCAGGCGTCCAATGGTTTGATTTGGGTTTGTTTGGAATGAAGCCAGCCGGCGGACCTGTCCCTGGGGAGCCGATGGGTCTTTTAAGGATTGGCCAATAGTCAATGCTGCCGCCATTGCGTTGTGCGAGGGAGCCTGGGCGGGCTGCGGAGCATGGTTTACCCCCGTGTAGGCGGTGGCATGGGCGGTGCGGTGCTTACGACGGGAAAACATGATGTGTTGTTACGCTACAGCAATTTTAGAGACGGAGTGCGGGACTGTATGCAGGCAAGGGACAATGAAGACTGAAGGAAAATAAATGGGATATGAATGAAATTGATTATGTATGTTGAGTGGTGTGCTTAGTGGTGCTATGAGTTATACCGTCGTGAACTTTGGTTTCAAAAATGATGGTGGGCCGCCATTTAGGTGCAAAATGTTCGCGAGCCATATTCCGCACCGTTGGCCGTGGTTGGTGATTTGCCAAAGAATGGGTCCACAGACCATAAGGATTCCTGTCCAGAGGAAGCCCAGGAGAAGCGGCAGCACGATTTGGTCTTTGATTATGGCGTAAAGTACCACACTTGTGGGAATGGGAAGAGGTTTTGGTTGCAAATCGAGTTCTTCATCTGTCAATTCATGCTTATGGCGGCGTTTCTGACGACTATAAAAAGACGTCTGGGACTTTGCTTGGGCTGCTGCTTGTTCGGGGTGGGCGTAGGCGTTGAGAGAGGCCACAAAAGTCTCCTCGAAACGGAGATCGGGTATTTTGTAGTCCATGGAATAATCAAGAGACTCTCAGTGCAGTTAGTCTCGTTGTGCAGTCTCAAGTGGTGTGCGGTCTTTCTGTGCAGTCTAGAGTGCACATACCTACACCTCGCGAATTCACCTTTCACTCACTTTTCACCATGGAAGAAGGTGACGGAGGCGCTCGTGTGACGATCCGCCAGGCCGAGAGGGACCATGTGGATTTCATCCTCAAGGACGTGGACCTTTCTATGGCTAATTCTATTCGCCGAACCATGCTTGCTGAGGTCCCTACGCTCGCCATCGACTTGGTGGAAATCGATGTCAACACTTCGGTTTTGGCAGATGAATTTTTATCGCATCGTCTTGGTATGATTCCTTTGAACAGTGAGGGAATCGATAATCTTTCGTACTCGCGGGATTGTACTTGCGACCAATATTGTCCAAATTGCCTGGTAAAATTGGAACTCACTGCCAAATGTGACAGTGACAGTACCATGAGTGTATACGCCACTGACTTAGCCAAGTTCCATAATGGGTCCAAACTCGGTGACCCGGTGGTCAGAGACCACCACCAGAGGGGCCCGTTGATATGTAAGTTGAGAAAACACCAGGAACTTCGTCTCACTTGTATTGCCAAAAAAGGTATTGCAAAAGAACACGCAAAATGGTCACCATGCGCCGCTATAGGGTTTGAATATGATCCATGGAATAAGCTCAAACACACCGATTACTGGTACGAAATCGACGCCGACAAAGAATGGCCCAAATCTGCCAATTGTGAATGGGAAGAAGCACCAGATCCAGATGCACCTTTTGATTATACTGCTAAACCGTCTACTTTTTATATGGACGTGGAAACCGTGGGAAATCTTCCTCCAAACGAGGTGGTTCTCAAAGGTATTGAGACTTTGCAGTTGAAACTTGCTGGTATTGCCATGGAACTCAATAAGGACAGTATAGAAGCAAGCAATGCTACTTCGGGAGGATTCACCACCTATGGAAGATCTCCAGGAGGAAACACGCCCATGGGCGACGCTTACGGCGGCAATGGCTTCGGCAACTCCACCTGGGGTTGATGTATAATAGGAAGAAGAAGATGAAAAAGGCGAATAAACCTTGTAAAATGAGAAAAGAAGACTTGTAGAATGGAAAAGAAGATACTAAAATGAAAGAAAGATGAAATATTGAATAGAAAGGTGATATACCCTGTATGCCGTTGAGTCCTTCTTTACTTTTTTGAGTCACAGCACCCACTGTACCACATCAGCAAACTTCACCAAAGTCCCCCCAAAGATATCCAACGCACTTCCATACGTCAAATCCACTTTACCATAGCTCTTTTCGTTCACCTTTTGCAAATCTTCCACCAGTTTTGCTCCCCCAGCGTAAACGATTTTACCCTCAAATCCAGGCGGACACCAATGTCCTAATTTTTCCACCAATTCCTCATCTATACCATTGCAAAGACCCTCCACGTCTGCCGCATGGACCAAAAATTCGTCGCAGTATTCAGAAACCGTAGCCAAAAACTCTCCACTCAATACATTGGTGGTGAGAGTCTGCCATTTATTCATCGCAACCACCCAACTAATATCTCCTCCAACGACTACTCGTCTACAACTGAGGTCAACCACCAATCTTTCTCGTCCCACAAGAGAGGATATCTGTTTCAATTTTTCCCAATCCAATTGCTTGTCTGTAAAAAGCCAACTGGTGACAATGACATGCGACGCTTTATGAGTGTCAAGCCACTCCAAGGCATTTTCCGCGGTTATCCCGCCGCCCACTTGCAAGTGACCGGGCCAGGTACCACAGGCTTCCTTTGCTGCTTCGTCATTTGCAGGATTTGTTCCGAGTTTTATTACATGGCAGCCGGCTACCTTGTGTTGCTTGTATAAATTGGCATAGTAGGAGCTTGGTTTGGAGGAAACAAAGTTGGTTTTTGTGGTTCCAGCAGGATCTATATCGTCCAGATTGAGGGTGCCGCCGACGATTTGTTTGACTTGGCCAGAATGGATATCGATGCAGCCTCTGAACCTCGTCATAAAGTGAGAATTTCAGAGATTAGATTATGTGAGATTTTCAGACTGAGATAGATTATGTGAGATTCGCGATGCGATTGAGATGCGAAATTGAATTTTGTTCTAGTTGGTATGGCAGATGACGGGTATATGAAAGCGTTGGAACTACAAAGGCGCAACTTTGAGGCCCAATTTGGGAGCCTAGAGCTGTTGGGTTACGAAGACAAGTCCAAAAGTACCGAAACTAATCATACGGACTCGAATGACGATAGCGATGAGTTTGGTGGGTTCAGTGACAATACAAGCACCACCGCCTCAGAATCGTCTGAGGATGAGTCTGACAACGCTACGAATCTGAAGTTTGTACATGGAAAACCGGGAGCAAAAGAATTTAACAAAAACAGCCTGGTGACTGTAGTAAAATTATCAGAAACCATGCCAGCACCTCCCGTTTCAAAGGCAGAGGTACGCATGGCACGCAGTGGTCGTGCTCCCACGATGAAGGAAATAGCAGAGAAAGACAAACAAAAACCAGCAGCCAAAAAAATCTCGTCTAAAGAAGACCAAGAGAACTTGGATAACGATTTAAAATTGCAGCGTCTTTTGAGTGAATCCCATATACTCTCCAATCTGATGGCACATTCAGGTGCCGATTTGACTCTTCAAACCATAGACTTCGAGGACCCTACCGGAAAAGCTCGGAGAAGAGCTATAGACTCCAGAATCAGACAACTTGCATCCACAAATTCCGCTACGGGCGGCCTCCCCAAGACGTTAGAAAAAATGCCCATGTCCATGAGAAAGGGAATGATCCGAAAAAGAGATAGCCGTATATCCAAGTATGAAGAAGAAGCCAAAAATGCTGGTATAGTTTTGTCAAAAGTGAAGAAGGGACATGTACGAGACTTGGTTTCTTCGAAGGGCTCCACCTTGGTGAGTGACCGGCTCGGCACAGGAACGAAGACCAAGAACACAAAGAGAGACAAGGGTCTCAAGATCAGCTCGATCGGAAGATCGACCAGAAACGGTTTGATCATCTCACAGGAAGAAATAGATCGCATTGGAGGGAAGGGAAAATTTGGAAAAAAAATGGGAAAAAAGCATAGAAGATAGAGACGCATACAACAAAGCATATACACCTAGATATAATACAGCTCAGCTAATAATTGACCCAAATTCATTAACATCCATCTCTACTTGTCTCTTCCTGCACACATTCACACTCCGCGATAAATGTTTACGATTTCATTTCATCAAAACATGTCTCTGACTTTACCCAAAAGAAGGGTTGCGAGCAACTCTGGAGGCCAGAGACGAGTGGGTTCGATCCAGGAGCTCTCTCTGAGGGGGCGAGCCATTTCTGGGAGACTGAGAGTACCTTCTAGCCGTCATGTGAGTCGAGGTGAATTGTTCGTTGGAAGAGAAGGTGATCACGATGTATCGATGACAGAGGAAAATGCCATACATTTTGCCGAAAACAAGCAGACAATCATGTCCAACTTTGAAGAATGGATCAAGCTTTCCACGGATAACAAAATCACCACGAAAAATTCATGGCAGTTTGCCTTGATCGACTATTTTCATGATTTGAACGTCATAAAAGATGGTGAGAATATCAATTTTCAGCGTGCTTCAGCAACCTTGGACGGGTGTGTCAAGATTTACCTGGGACGTGTGGAATCTGCTGCTACTGAAACGGGAAAGTTGTTGAGTGGTCTTGCCAACAAGAAGAGCCAAGCACCTAATGAAGGTGCTGAAGGCGATAACGATGTGTCTGGCGACGAAGAGAACCAGTCGATTATGGAAGATGACGCCACCAAGAAGAAGAGAAAGATCAACCGAGTTTTGGAGTCTACATTGGTGGAATTCGATGCTATTAGAGTCAAAAAGTTGGAGCAAGAGTTAGCCATAGATCCGCTTTTCAAGAAGGCATTGGCTGATTTCGACGAAGGTGGAGCGAAGAGCTTGCTTCTCAATGCTCTTAGTATAGACTCGACTGGGCGGGTGGTGTTTGATGCCACTACCAACCCATCACAAGATATTGAGGAGGAAGAGGAAGTTAGATCACGTCCAGACACAAATATCGACGTATCGGGACTCCTGAAGTTTGTTGAAATGGATGCCGAAACCGAACTTTCCATCTGTCCTTCCTTGGCTCAACTTAAATTGGTGGTGCTGGATGTCAACCAGGCAAAGTCAGTCTTGGGTGAGGTTAATAACCGTCAAGATGACGACGATTTTGCGGGACAAGACCAACACCACAGTCTCAACTTGGACTTTGGCGCACCAGACGTGGACGGTGAAGCTTACGGTGAAGACGGAGGATTTGGCGAAGACGAAGATAATTTCGAAAACTTTGACAATCCGATCGATCATTTTGATGAGAGTATAGTCCAGCAGGCATTCAACGAGCCCGAGATGTACCTGGGGGCGAGAGAAAGAGTTCTTGATCAAGATTTGATGGCATACTTTGACTCCACCATGAAGACCAACTGGAGAGGTCCCGAGCATTGGCGAGTCACTGCCTTGAAACGGGCAAAGAATATTGATGGAAATGTGGAGCAATCAAAGCGAGCTCCTGATGAAACCCAAAAAACTGGCTCAAAGAAAAAGAAGGAACAGACCATCATCAATTTTTTCGAAGAGTCAGATGAGGATGAAGAAGAAGACCTTTTTGAGCAGCCCAAAAATGCATTATCAACAACCAAGAAACCAGATCCAGAAAACCTCCCCGTAACAACACTCCCAGAAGATATCCAGTTCAATTCCAGCCGGCTCACCAACTTATTCACAAAGCCCCAGCTGGCCATGATGACCTTTGTTAGGAGTTCCAAAGACAACGACACCTTCACTGACCAAAAGTTTTTTTCAGAAAAATACAACGAGCGAGATCAAGAGGAAGAAAAACGTCAACACCAATCATTTCAGCAGGCTGATTATGAAGACTTGTACGATCTTGGCAACGAGGAGTATGGTGATATTGACTTTAATGATGCATTAGGAGACGGAGCCGACGTAAAACAGGAACCTCTGGCTACTCAGTTGATCACTGGAGGACGAAAAGTGCGTCCTGAGTATGTGACGTTTTCTCGTATTGCAAAGCGAGTGGATGTGAAGTTGTTGAAGGATAACTTGTGGCGCAGTATCAAGCAAGAATCTGAAGAGAAAACTACTGAACAAAATGCCAAAACTGAAGAAAAAACCTTTACTGAGGTAGTGAGTTCAATTGCAAAAATGTACGGGGCCGAGGAAAGAAAGGACTTGTCCACGAGTTTCTGTTTCATCTGCTTACTCCATCTTGCAAACGAACACAGCTTGGCGATCGCCACGTCGGACAGCTACGAAGACCTACGAATTACCGGTTTCTAGGGCACTTGCAAAAATGTCGGACCCGAACCTCAGGTTGGGGTGCCGCTTACGTAATAGACATACCCATTAAATGCGCGCCGTCATCATTGTCGCCATCAAATGATCAGAGTAGGAAGTGTGGTGTCTTCTTTGGCACCACGTTTGAACCATATAAATCGATCTGCCGTCCGATTTTTGGTATCGTCGTCTTCGGCACACCATTTTGGTCGGTCAAATATTATATTAAGGCCTAGCATCGTAAATGGAATTCGCTCTAGTGTTCGTTTCGTTTCCGACAGCACATTAAATTTGTTGAAAAGGCAGGAACTGGCGGCCAACAACGATTTGGGAAATGCCGAGTCTCAAGCCGAGTTTTATAAATCGCTTTTGATGAATAATTATCCTCATTTGGTGGTCCAAAGATACGAAACTCCGGGTATCGCATCGTCGCCGGAATGTACTGCTTTGTATGTTGAAGCATTGAACAAGACGGGAAAGAAGGCCAAGGCATCTCAGGTTGGCGCATCGAGTGGTTTGGTGACTGCTTCGGCTGGACTTCCGCATGGGTTTGGTTCGAAGTATGAGCCTGTTCATGTGGTGGTTTCCGAGTCCCCGTTGTCGATTATTTCCAAATGGCTCAAGTGGTTGATACCGGTTGCGCTCCTTACGTACGGAGCGATGAACGCGTTCAACTACTTGGTGGAAAACGGCACTATTTTCAAGAACTCCGATGTCGCCGACAAGCTGGTTGATGTTAGCGAGCTGACGGTGAGATTCGAGGATGTGTGTGGATGTGACGAAGCTCGTGCCGAGTTGGAAGAGATTGTTGACTTTTTGAAGGATCCAGCAAGATACACTGGCTTGGGTGGTAAGTTGCCTAAGGGTGTTCTTCTTACTGGTCCTCCTGGTACGGGTAAGACCTTGTTAGCGCGGGCCACTGCCGGTGAAGCGGGTGTTCCATTTTTCTTCATGTCTGGGTCTGAATTTGACGAATTGTACGTCGGTGTTGGAGCAAAGAGAATCAGAGAATTGTTTGGTCAAGCCAGAGAAAAGTCGCCTGCCATCATTTTCATCGATGAATTGGATGCGATTGGAGGAAAGAGGAACCCAAAAGACCAGGCATATGCTAAACAGACTCTTAACCAGTTGTTGGTTGAGTTGGATGGATTTTCACAGACTTCTGGTATCATCATCATTGGTGCAACTAATTTCCCCGAATCGTTGGATAAGGCACTCACTCGTCCTGGAAGATTTGACAAGGAGGTTGTTGTGGATTTGCCGGATGTACGTGGACGAGTGGACATTCTCAAGCATCACATGAAGAATGTGGAGGTGTCGGAAGACGTTGAACCATCGATTATTGCTCGTGGAACCCCGGGACTCTCTGGAGCCGAGCTCATGAATCTTGTTAACCAAGCGGCCGTTCACGCCTCACAATTGTCTGCTCCTGCCGTGGACATGTCTCACTTCGAGTGGGCTAAGGACAAAATTCTCATGGGAGCGGCCAAAAAGAAGATGGTGATCACGGACGAGGCGCGTAAAAACACCGCGTATCACGAGGCAGGACATGCCATCATGGCCATGTACTCCAAAGGAGCAACTCCATTATACAAGGCTACTATTCTTCCCCGTGGTCGTGCGCTCGGAGTTACATTTCAATTGCCCGAAATGGACAAGGTTGATATGACCAAGAGAGAGTGTTTTGCTCGTCTTGATGTTTGCATGGGAGGAAAGATTGCCGAGGAGATGGTACACGGAAAAGATAATGTTACCAGTGGATGTTCTTCAGACCTAGCCAATGCCACCAGTGTGGCACGAGCCATGGTTACTTCGTACGGCATGAGCGACAAGATTGGACCGGTACGATTGAGTGATAACTGGGACTCGTGGTCGCCCAATCTTCGAGACATGGCCGATATTGAGATCCGGGAGTTTTTAATCGAGTCCGAGGCGCGCACGAGAAAGCTTCTTTCTGAGAAAAGAGTGGAGCTTCAACGGCTTGCGGAGGGACTCATTGAGTACGAGACATTAACGAGGGAAGAGATGGAGAAATTGGTGCGAGGAGAACCCATTAACAAGGCCAAAAGTGTCAGCAATACTGTGATCAAGACCAAGAGCGGCCGCACCGATGTGTTGGGGGTGCCTGCCGAGGTATAGGTATAATGGTGTACATAGGTTACGAATACATGGCCAAGGAAGATGAGAGTGCAGTGGAGTGCGCATCCGATGTTCCGCAGGACCGCCGCAGGCCCGCGACCGCTTGACGGTAGCCGCACCGACCCGTCACTACACAATAGCGGTGCAAGGTTGCGCGCGCACAAGTGAATGTCAGGCCCACGTGGGGCACAGTAGCCAGGTGCAATTCGACGGCTGTAATACAGTACTTTGGTGTATCAGATCGTAACGAACCTATCAGGAGCACCGGCAACAGCACGACTTTTTTTTCATTGTGATTCATTGTGATTTATTGGTGATTTCTTCGTGTTTAATTGGGATCAATTACCTCGTTATCAGCCCCAGATATTAGACCAATTTCATTAAAACAAATTCCATGGACCACGACTGGGCTCTATCTCCGTCCAAGCAGTCGTCACTGTACCTTCATGAAGTAGGTGGCGAGCCTGGATATCCAACACATCATGATGGTTTTGGAGACCAGGACCCTTACTTGTTACACCAGTTGGATAACAATATTTTTGATGGATCTTCGTCGACTCCTCATCACGTCGATAGTAATTATGGCACGCCAGTGACAGCAGGTGCGTCCACAGGCTCGAACTCTCGCATAGACACCACGCCAGGAGCATTTTCCATGGAGAGTTCCATGTTCATTCTTCCTGAAGGAGTGCCCATTGATGATGAACACCAACCACAATCCACCGCATATCCTCCCACCGGCGGCATTAAAACCCCCGGGCTTTTAGCTAACAAGCATCTTGCCCACGACTCGCAAAAGGCATTTGTTTCGCCTATTCTTCCCGGCCAAAATGAAAAATCTTATAATGACCAGCATTACTACCATACCCACCGGTCCGGAGGAGACACCCCACAACAGCACCAACCTCCCAGCCAGCATGTGCGTCCCGATGCCGTGTTCACGCCGTTGGTTTCTCCGGCAGTGACCCCCCACGACTCCCAAGTCAACGTAAATAAAGCGGCACCGGTCCAGACCAGTTTCGAGCCTTTGACGTCTCCAGCGCTCAATGCTCGGCCCGATATCGATAGGCGACGTTCGTCGTCGTCGGCATACGGCACGGCTGAAGACCAGCCTTCACACAAGCGCAGAACTCCCCATGGAACCCCGGTGATGGGACCCAATGGTTCGACTCGAAAAGTCAAGCAGTCGCCCTCGCTCAAGGGCCGGTCGCACCGGTCTGGGGCCAGTTTGAACTCGTTTGAAAAACTCCCAGAGTCGCTGGTGGCTCCTCCTCGGTCTTCGGGTGATTCTACTCCAATGTATCCTCCACAAAGAAAACAGGTTATGGACTTCTCTAATGGTGGTGACGGCGCGGCTCCAGCCATGATGGGGTTCACCATGGGCCGATTGTCGGAACAGCAGCCTCACGGCCACAGCAGGTCATCATCTTCCAGCGCCAATACCTCTCCAGTAATCGGCACCCAGGGCTCCAAGGGAAGATTTGAAAAACCAGACTACAAGCGCACATCGCACAAAATAGCAGAACAGGGCCGTAGAAACAGAATGAACACCGCCGTGCAAGAATTGGCGTCGTTGATACCGCCGTCCTTCAACAGCGAAGAGTCTGTGCCTTCCAAAGCCAATACCGTTGAAATGGCTTCAAAATACATTCGCACCTTGTTGAGCGAAATAGATGAGATGAGAAGAAAATGACAATAATAGCTAATGTATGTAAATATTGGGAATGGATGTAAACTACACCCAGGTACGTCATGTAAAAATGTGGATCGTAACACCGTCAATTAACCGTATCATATGTGTTAGGGTGGAAAAAAAATGGACGAGACCGGAGTCGAACCGGTGACCTTCTGCTTGCAAGGCAGACGCGCTACCAACTACGCCACACGCCCTTTTCTTATACGTTCACGCTACCGAGAGAATATCTAGCCACACACAGTTTCACCTATCTCTTCGTTATCTATGTACATATCTATTGTGGCCACCATCCCGGAACAAACGATTTGAGTCCAATTTCCGTATCATCCTCATCACCTATAGTTACCTTGAACATACTCTGGTGTTCAATTTCCCCAAGATTCATCAATGCAAGACCCACATTTCCATGGCGAGCCAAAATCTTTCCACTTCCCAGTTTTCTCTTTCTTACTGGTTTTGAGCTTCCAAACGGAGAGCTGGTTTGATGTTCCTCTGTGGCATCGCTGCCATCCATTCGCGAAATTACGAGCGATTTGAGATCGGTTTGTGTAATTTTTGATAGATGGTCAACCACAGCATCTTTCAAGTTATACTCCGGCTCGTGCTTTGCAGCCATAGATTCCACATTTTTGAGCTCGAAAAACTGTACTGGAACAACCCTCTTTCTTATCGTTCCACCATTAAAGGTTCGTATAGTGAGTTCCTGGCCCACATAGCATCCTTTATCGAGCGAGAGCCCGTTCGTGAAATCCAAGTTGGTCTCAAATGGAAGAATAGAAACATCTGACGATACATCAGCTTGCTCTAGCAAGCCATTGGTGTACCTACGAACAGCCACATCCTGAGCCAGAACCGATGGAGACTCAAACTGGCTCTTGAACAGCGATGAAAATGGGTCTTGGTTTTGCAATTGCTTTGTTAAAAACTTGATACCAAAGTTGGGAATTCTGTTATCCACAGCAAAGCCTACTACGGGTATATTGGGACCAAATATAGCTTGATCGTCGATAAGTCGTTGAGCCATTTCCCTAGCTTGTGACGGGTCTTTTGTCAAGATGTAATTATTTTGAAGTTCTTCCAAAAACGAATCGAACTCTGGAGTGTCGTTATAGTAATAATGGCTTTCGACGTTCTCAAGCTTTTCTATGTTGACTTTTGCCGCTAATTTGTGAAGCTTGAGCAACATCTGTAGCTTGGTACGTAGAGACTCATCCACTTCCACCACATAGTCGGGATGATCATTTTCGCTCGAATTTGCAAATGGATGTGCGTATATGAAACAGTCGGTGAACACCCTTCCTTTCGAGTTCAAAAACATCGAGTTGATTCCTCCACGCAGCACGTAGATAGTATTGGAAGGGTCATAGATATCCTCATGCATTAGGCCCCAATTTCGATGAACATCGATTATTTGCGATAATTCCTGATGAGAATTTTCATTTTCAGAAATTGTATGCTGTTTTTTCTTGACTATATCAGGAAGTAAACGTGTTGTAACGAGCCCGTTGACAAACTTGGTGGCGTCAGGACCATGAATTCGGATTAGGGCCTTTGGTAATGTGGCCAACCCAATTGGAGGAAACATGACGATTTGTCGCACGGATTTGTCAGTCGGTGCGACTTTACCCCAGGGTACTGCACAGAGAGGGTGTAGAGTGCTAGAGAGAAGTTAGCAAGAAGGATGATACCGGCAAGTAGGGATGAGATTGGAGAATTTGTAGCAACGAGTCAGACGAAATAGCAAAAATGAAAAAACATTACAAAAAAAATTGCAGAAAAAATTTGCAAAAAGTACATCTCATTCGGTCTAACCTGTTTCATTCCATGCCGTTCGAATACATATATAAGAGCCTCACCCCAAAAATTACATTGAATATCATGCAATAGCATGCAGAAACGGCGAAAACTTCAATATTTTCCACAGTATTCCACTTGAAATACACCGCGATGTCAAAGACAGTGACGGTGGAAAATACCACACAAAGTATCTTATAGTCGATGCGCTTGTCAAGTCGACGGGTGGTAGTTTGCGGTTCTTCCTCCTCTACTGAGGAAGTGCGGCGACAACTCCCTAATATATCCTTTAAACCGGATGAGCCATAGTTAATAGTAGCTTCTTCCCTTTCAAGATGGAACAATATTCTAGTGCCATTGGTGGAAATTTCGCAAGCAATACCTGTGATAGCAGCCTGAAGATTGGTGATTTCTGCTCGGTTCGCAGGCAAATGGCTGGAGGTGAGATCTTCTTTGTGCGAGCCATTCAAGACCGGTTCTTGATCCATTTCTGGATCCATTTCATCGCCTAGAGCCTGGTATTTAGTTGGTGATTTTCTTTGCGCCATGACCCGACCCCATAAAAATAATGAAAGAGAGGACACTAGCATTGTAGTAGTTGCCACTATACCAACAAACACCGATCCCAAAATTGTAAGCGACAGCAATAAGGAAAAACCTAGCAAAACCAACGATATTGGGGTTATGGCGTCTGGAAGATCCATATCACCTTGTGAGTTAACAGTGTGGGCGAGGCGCCTAAAACGAGAATCCCTCTCAATTCTTGCCAACAATGGCTGCAATTTCGAGCTAGCAAATGTAAAGACTTTTTTTTGTGGAAGATTCACGATACTATTTTCTGAAGGTTCGTCCCTTATAATTATCAATATGACCTCAGTATTGGGATATTGTGCAAGTTTATTCACGTATTTGGTGAGATGAAACATTTGCTCGGCGTATAAGGATCTATACACTGTCAGTGAAGAACCCACATTTATATCGTTCAAAGGAAACGATTGATAATCTGGAGATTGGTTCGTATCTTCATTGATTACTGTTTGTTGTGAGTTTCTGCGCTCAAATCCGGGCACCAGATTGTGTTCATACATAGCAAGATTTTATAGCTTGATGGTTGTGAGTGTGGAAGATAACAACTCGTAATGGTGCGAAATTAGGAGCCATAGCCGCCGGATGCAGGATATCAGTTTGACAGATAGTTGGTGCTTACACTACCTCATGGCTCTCTGATGGATATGAAGACGTCATTGTTGCTAACGTCATCATGTTCTTTCATTTGAACTGCTTTAGAGTGCTACTTTCCATTATTTTGCATCCTGCAACACCTAGTCTGTATAGCTATATGCGCAGTTAGGATAGACTTCCAACCCTACATTCTCAACAGCCCTAAGGCTTTACCCCAGAGTACTGCACAGAGAGAGGATGAGAGTACTAGTAAGAAGTATAGCAAGAAGGATGATACCGGCAAGTAGGGTTGCGATTGAAGAAGTAGTATCAACGACTCAGACGAAATAGCAAGAAAGAAAAAAAATTGCAAAAAGATTAGCAAAAAAATAAGTTTTTAAAAAAAGTTGCAAAAGTACATCAATCTCATTCAGTCTAAACTGTTTCATTCGATGTCGTTCGAATACATGTACAAGAGCCTCACCCCAAAAATGACATTGAATATCATACAATAGCATGCTGAAACGGCGAAAACTTCAACATGTTCCACAGTATTCCACTTGAAATACGCAGCGACGTCAAAGACTATAACGGTGGAGAATACCAAACAAAGCATCTTATAGTCTATGCGCTTGTCGAGTCGACGAGCAGTTCTTTGCTGGTTCTTCTTCCTCTACTGAGGAAATGTTGCGACAACTCCCTAATATAACCTTTAAATCGGATGAACCATAGTCAAAAGTAGTTTCTTCACTTTCAAGATGAAACAATATTTTAGTGCGATTGGTGGAAATTTCGCAAGCAATACCTGTGATAGCTGCTTGAAGACTGGTGATTTCTGCTCGGTTCGCAGGTAAATGGCTGGAGATCTCTTTATGAGAGCCATTCAAGACTGATTCTGGATCCATTTCTGGATCCATTTCATCGCCTAGAGCCTGATATTTAGTTGGAGATTTTCTCTGCTTAAGGACCCGTCCCCATAGAAATAATGAAAGAGAGGACACTAGCAATGTAGTTGTAAATACCGAACCAATAAGCACTGATAGCAAAATTGTAAGCGACAGACCTAGGGTAAAAGCCAGCAAAATGAACGATAATGCGGTTACGGTTTGTAAAAGATTCCCATTGCCTTGGGGATTAACAGTGTGGGAGAGTTGTCTAAAACGATGATCCCTCTCAATTCTTGCCAACAATGGCTGCAATTTCGAGCTAGCAAATGTAAAGACTTTCTTTCGTGGAAGATTCACGACACTATTTTCTGAAGGTTCATCCCTTATAATTATCAATATAACCTCAGTATTGGGATATTGGGCAAGTTTATTCACGTATTTGGTGAGATGAAACATTTGCTCGGCGTATAAGGATCTATACACTGTCAGGGATGAACCCACATTTATATCGTTCAAAGGAAACGATTGATAATCTGGAGATGGGTTGTCATCAATTACTGTTTGTTGTGAGTTTCTGCGCTCAAAGCCGGGTACCAGATTGTATTCATACATAGCAAGATTTTATAGCAAGATTTTATAGCTTGGTTTCAATGGTTGTGAGTTTGATAAGAACTCGTAATGGTGCGAAAATTACGAGTTATAGTCTTTCTCACCATTACGAGTTATAGTCCGCCGATGCAGGATATCAGTTTGTCAGGTAGTTGGTATTCACGCTACCTGGCTCGTTCACGGATTGAAAACTACATTGTTGCTACCGTGATGTCTCAATTTAAGTTTCGAATGATTGAAGGTAGTTTTTCATGAGTTTGCACCTTGCAACACCTAATTTGCGTAGCTTTATGTGTACTAGATTGGTGTACTGGTGTGCGCCAAATCATTATTCTCATTAATCTATTAACGTCACCGCCAGTTAAACCTCCACGAAAATATCTAGGCTTGTGTTGGGGCAGGATTTAGTCGATACTTAATACCCATAAGGAAACCCGTATTTGGAATATTACAATACCTTGACTCTGACAAAGAAATACTCAAAAACAGATAACGCTTTCTATCATTCCCCTCAAATTATAATTTGCCATGGACTTTGAATCGTCTTCAGCGTCTTGGATATCCTATGCGAAAGAGCCCATCTTGAATCTGCAACTCAATTTGGTGAATGGTTGGACATAGTTGAAAAAATCTTACGTTGGAATCCTACTTGATGGCTGTACTACAACGATAAATTGGACGAGGATTCAGGGTATTCACACAGTTCAGACAAAGAAGCCTTGAAAACCTCAATGGACATGGTCATTATTTCAGTTGTTCACAGAACGGTTGACTTAAATACTCTTTCCAATCCCCTATTTCTCGATGCGCCGCAAGGAAGAGAACAACTATACGCCGTTCGGGATTACTTTCAAAATTGCGGAGTGCTATCCCAAATGAGTGCTTATAAGGCTCTCCACGAGTTTATTAACAATCCGAACAACAGCCCCATCAAGAAGTACAACAAAATTAGTACGTTCCCATTTATGAATCTTGACGACAAAGGCAGAATCGTACTTTTGTTACAGGCTCTTGAGGCATATCCCTTATTCCAGGACCGAGTTGGTCACTTAGACCGAACGACGGAACTCAAGTACGCTGATTTAAGCGAGAAGGTTGATTGTTTATCATGGTCTCCACCAGCGATTTCGACAGAGACTGGAAACTTACAACCCAAACGCATCAAAAGGAGAAGGGAACGTCCATATTGTCATTTCTGTCATAAAATCGGCCACGACGATGAACGTTGTTACAAGAAAAACAAACGATTACGCACCGACCACCAGGCAAAAAGTGCCGTGAAAGACCTGAGCGAGCTGGAATATACTCTTGAGTCTGGTCACAGCAACCAATATCCTGAAAGTCAAGCTATTGATGCTAACGAGGCGGAAGCCGAAGCAACTTCAGGAAAGATACTTTTCAAAGCGGGCGCAAAACGATTTCTAGTCGAGGGACCCATTTCGTTTCTCGATCCCCGGCTCATGAACTAACGGAACATCAGGTGAGACACTAATTCTGTAGCTGACTTGGGATGAGAAATGGAAGAGAATTTAATTTCAATGTGATGAACTTCTGCCTACGAAACGCATCTACTGTTAACAGAAATGAGACAAAAAACGATAAGGAAAAGTCTATGAGCTTTGACTACCCGAAACATTCACTTGAGAACATTATCACTTTAATTCGTCATTTGTTAAGATAAACTTACGATCTCAACGCCTGAAACAAAACCTCCACTCCTTGACATTCATTTGCTACATGAACATCACTAATACAAACAATTGAAATGGACTGTGTGCTTTTCTACTTGCTAACGCTGATTCCCCTTCCGATCTCCTTTTTTGGCCGACGTTCTCTCTGTGGAGCATCCTCGTCGTCGCTCAATAACTTATCTCTAATTCTCTCGGAAAGTGACAACTTATGCTCAAGATCCTTGCTGGTATGACCCGCCAATGCTGCGAGATTTGTGCCTGAATGGTGCCTTGAAGTAAGATTTGAGCTACTGTTGAGATGCGATTCGTCTCTCGTAATTTCATTGGAACGTAGATCAATCTGTCCAAAATCAAAGTAGCCGTAACCTCCAAGAACATCGAAATCAGGTCCATCCAAAGAATCTGAGCGGGAACTACGTCCTTCGGAGTCTGAAGAAGCCAATTGCGGAACATCATCTGAGGAGAAATAGTCCAGCATTTTTGGAGTTGACAGACCCGGAGTCTGAGCGAGCGTCAATGTGACTGGGTGCCTTTTCAGTGGAGAATTTGCAACTTCCAGAAGTTCTTTTTGAACTCTCAACTTTTGAAGCTCACTCTTACGAGGCTCTGAGTCGGCGACTTGTAGCAAAAAGTTGGAATCTTGTCTTATAGAGCGCTTAATTTCGTTGACCACCAGCTTAAATGTATCCAAAAGACGGTTTGTCTGGCGGTGTTTTGAGCTAGCAGTAATGCAAACCTTGTCACGATGTATAATGTATCCTATTCCAAAACCCTGATCGTGAGCTGGAGGAATGCCAAAGAACCGCAAAGCGGCATTTCCACAGTTCGAAACCAAAAGTTCTGGAGAGGAAATTTTTTCAATGCTGGGATTCGAAAGAAATGGTATATGGAGATGTGGAATCATTGCAAGTTCAGGAATGGGCTCGAGACCTGCTACGTCCTTGTTGACTTCATTGAGATAGTCAACTGCTCTGGGTCTTTTAATCACATGAACCAAAGCCCACAAGTGCCTTTCGAATCCTTTGCCTATCATGGCATTGCGGTACCTTTCGTTATGGCTTGACACCGCTCTACGGAAGGCACGAAGCTTTTCCAGAGGTGTAGAATTGGAAATGAAAAGCTTTACGAGCCGAGAGATTTCTTCGTCTTGAACGGGAATCAATTCTGTGCGAGCATCTCGGAACTTTCTCGTGGTGATGGGCTCCAAAGTGTTGGCTATTCTGCCGTAGAGGGTGTAGTTTGCAATCTGTAAGCCCACCTGGAGAAACGAGTCAACGGAATACCCGCTTTTGGAGATGTAATGGGTGTCCAACTTGAGGTCCATGGTGATGTAGTCGTGCTGGTTGATGAGGTCTGCCAACCGAGTTTCGGAAAGATGGATGAGATTTTGTAGTTCTGGAGTGCGGTTCAAGATCAAACGAACAGAAACAGGTTTCTCGGCGTCTTCTCTTGGCGAAACAAATTCCACATGCTCGTCAAACAAAGTGTACTCAGAACCGTTAATATTTCTGGCCAACTTCAAAATCGAATCGGTATAGATATCACTGATGAACCGGAGAATGGCAGTGCTATCCATAGAGGTGGACTCCCATACAACTCCAGCCACGGAATTTTTCGTGACAATTAACTGTAGTTTGTCGTACCACCGCGAAGTACATGAACCACATTGAATACTTGTTCCTGGCTGAAGCTCTGAGGTTCCGTAGGAAATGACCTTGGTTTTATCCTGGTCGGACTCTGGAGAGTTGAGCACGTCCAAAACTACCACAAACAAGGCGTTGTCTATGGTTTCCAAAAACTTTGCATTGGATTTTTCAAGCTCCAACCGGCCCTGTTTCCACACATGATAAGTCTGGGTGGTTAGCGAGCCGATGGAATTGTTCACGGAGTCCAACGTGCTGAACTCACTAGACTCGTCAATGATATCCTGAAGAATGAGCGAAAGGTCGTGGTCGCCGAACCAAATCCGGTGCTTTGTCTTTGTTTTTTCATACGCTTCTTCAGTATATTCGGTCAATACCTCCAACTTGTAGTATTGGTTGTTGCAAATCACAAGGATGTGACGAGAGTCGTTGATATTTTTGTACTTTTTGAGGATAATATGGTGGGGATTATCATGAATATCTGGTGCTCTTGTAGTTCCAAAGAGGTTACGGTAGCAATTCATAGTCAATGGATTACCGTTTTTGGGCGTAACATCCGGCTTTAGTGTTTCGTTTCTGAGCGAAACAACAAATTTAAGCGACGAATTGATCAAGTTTGCTGCTCGTTGTGCCTGGGTGGGTGGGTTCAATGTCTTTGAATATGGATCTTGTTCCAAAATCAAATATGGATTTCGAGGCAAAATGTCTCCTCGAAGCTCGCCGTAGATTCCTGGGTTCGTCTCATCGTTGATGGAGTTTAAATAGCATGTAAAATTGGGATTGGCAGCAACTGCTTCCAAGTGTTTTTGGATAAGATTGATGATTTTGTGTTGCTTGAACAGATGAGCTTCGGCTACAATTTCGTCATATTCTTCGGTTGAAACCAATGGTTTGAGTGCAGAAAGGAGCTGGGTGGTGGTGCTCTCGATCAGCGGCACAGGAAGCCGAGGAATGTTCGGTTCGTTCAGAAAAGTTGTCATGAAGATTGGTGCGAAATCCGGGGTTTTATATGGGGGTTGGGTGTGGGGAAGCTCGCTAACTCCGAGCCAAGAGCCACGAGCCTACGAAGTAGGCGAGGAAGAGCAATTGAATAGTCACGAATTAGATGGATAATGTGATAGAGTAGTGGAAAATATGAGTAGTAAAAGTTTAGAATGATTTAGTGAAGAATTAAATAATGATGAGAATAGAATAGTGAATAATGATAGAATAGAATGATGGTGAATAACTCTGGTAATGGTGATTGAAGATAGTATTGAAGATAGTACTGAAGATAGTATCTGCTAGACAGTAATTCTTATTTGCTGTCGACGAGCTTGCGGGTCAATGTGGACTCGTAACTCTGTTCGGGCGTGAGGATCTGGGTCTGCGATGGGTAGATTGTCGTTTTTGAATACTCAGAATCCACATTGTCTTCTCCATCAACAGCTGAAGATGTGGTGGATGGTTCGGAACCCGGCGTCAGCATTGGAAGGTGATGGGATGTAGCGTCCAGAATTGCCTGTGTAGCATCGGTATAAAGTCCCAACGACCGGGCTTCATCCATAAACGGCTTGATACACAACCAGCCTGTTTCGGTACGAAAGTGTCTTGTAAGAGCATCGGAACGAGCAAACAGTCGGCCACAACCCCATTTGGTAACTCCATCTTTAAGGTACCCTTCACATTTGAAATTCTTCTTTCCCTCATGCAACAATTGATGCCGACGCATATCGTGGCTCCGAGCAAACGTCTTACCGCATACCAGGCACGCATAGGGTTTTTCTCTCAGATGCGTACGCATGTGTGATTTAAGATTGTACAGTTTCTGAAACACTTTTCCACATTGTGCACATGGGTACATGACTTCCAGTGGAGCCGAAGGAGGAGTAGATCGGCGGCGACGACGAGAAACTGTGGAGTTTGTGAATGAGACTAATTGCGAGTAGTCAATTTGCCGTTTAGATTCGGCAGCAGGAGGAGCATACGACTCTGTCAGGTAATTACCGTACCCCATGGTGTAAGGATTGTTGGGGTTGGTTAGAGAGTATGGCTTGGATTGCGAGGGCAGCATGTGTTGGTAGTAGTAGTAATCCATGGGCACATGTTGTGGGTATTGGAGAATTTGGTGGGAAGGGTGAGATTGGTGATGACTCTGATGGGCATGAGATTGGTGACTTTGGTGAAGATGGGGTGCTTGTTGGTTTTGGTTTGATTGGTTTTGGTTTAGTTGGTTTTGATTTGTTTGGTTTTGACTTGGTTGGTTTAGTTGATTTTGACTTTGCTGGCTCAAGTTGATCGACGGAAGCTGGTGTTTGTCGCCATAATGAAACATCGGTTGGGTATATTCAGGATACTGAAGAAACAGTTGTTGGGACTGTTGTGATGAAAGATGATAGTAAGGCGAAGGAAACGACATTGTAGGCGTGATGGTAGCAGCCACCATGGAGAAACTGGAAAAGGAAAGATGTAACGGATACGGACCCTGTCAATAGTTTACAGAGTCTTGGCAACGGGGCGTTATGAGGCACTTATATAGAGTTTTCAGGGTGGTGCAGGAAGCGTAAAAAATATTAAGCACGGGGCATAAACCGCGCAGCAGTTGTTAGTACAACTTGATTTAAAAATACCTTGGGCTGTGGAGCCGACGTTCCGAGTAAGAAATTTTGTGGGTAATATGCATGAAGCCGTATCTTTGGTAGTGGGTGCATGTTAGGCTGTGCGGCTCAATGCAATGCATGGGTGAGTATTTTTAATTTTTTATGCGTTTTACCCGGGATACCTTCAATTGTTGAGAACGATTTTTTTCTTTGATTGGAGGCGGGTATGCGGGAACTGTGGTAAATGTCTGCGTGCGGTGTTATTGCTTTTGGTTTTTCCAATTTTTTCTGGGGCAGGACGTGCACTGCCCGAGGTTTTACAGGTGAATCAATTGCAGATTGAGGCATTTTTTTTTGCGCCTCGCCCCTTTATCCCACCTCGTTGCGCGTCATGAAATGGACGATAAAATGTCAGTTTAATATGGGACGAGTTCGAGCTGTTATGAGTACTTATATCGTGATTTGCAGCCATTTTTAATCGAAGACTGCATCAACCTTCAATCGAAGCTTCATCGCAGCAGTTTTTTCTTGGCACTGGCGCGCCACCATTTGGTTACGAGGCTGGATAATCGGATATGCATATGCCACCCCGCTCGCGCAGACTAGATGCAGTACGGGTCGATGCAAGTCTACGCGCAAACTGCATGGATTCTGCAGGATGATGACTGAATCATTCGTGACATCTATCGTTGCATCGGGCCGAGGTAGCTTCACAAGGTCTTGTGATACATTTATTGCCGTTTCCATATTTAGTTTTCGGTTGTGATCCGATTTTGTATGGTTAGTTTTCGGTTAGGTTCCGACTTTTCATTGGTTTGTTCTCGGTTATGTTCCGGTTGTTCATCTCGGTTACGCTCCGGTTCGTAACGACATGGTCCAATGTCCTATGATGTAATTGATTGTCGTATGTTTCTGATGTTTCTTGATTTGTCCTATGATTTATTGTCGTATGTTTTTTATGTAATCCTGCTAGTATTCTTGCACATTATTATTCGTATCAGTCACCTTACACTTTTCAATCTCAACCACGACCAATGCATTATCGCAATCGATATAAGTCTTGGCTTGGTCCTGGTCAATCTGATTGTTGTTAGAATGTAATGACCGATAGAACCCATAATTAGGATCATCGGTGGCAAGTATTTGTGCTTTTCCATCAAGCATCACCGAAACGCTGCTGATTTCGTTTTTGTTAATATTGGCCAAAAGTTCATAGAGTGAGTTGCGGCGGCCCTCTCTGGGTTCTGTAGGAGCTTGCAGACTCTTTGCTGAGATCCAATCGTGAACAAGAAGCGAAACATGAGGATTTTCAACAATATTCTGGTATTTAGTGGAGTTTTCAGGGGTGCTGAAAATGACAAAATCTCCATCGCGATGGAGATACGTGTAGTTCATCAACGATACATGGGGCACGTTGTCGCGGCACGTACCCAAATGGACGTATCTGGTTGATTTGAGTAGATTTGTGACTGAATCCGGAAGCAGCGGTGCCATAATAATCTCTGATAAATCTGTGCGAACAGTGCGAATAATCTGCGAAATCAGTGCGAATAATCAGTGCGAATCAGTGAGGAACAACTGTGCGAAATCATAAATCGTGCGACTTGAATTAGGAATCAACTACTCAATTATAGTAAGCCAGTTCGAGTAGGTCAGTATTCCATGACGGTGGCCCACGCTTCTTCCCGGTCAGCCTCTTCCTCATGACTTACCGTCCCATTTTTCACCCACCGACATCAGCCGCGTCAAAAACCTCATCTTGTCCCAGTTAAATTCCCCCAAAGTGGCCAACTTTGAACTTTCCGGTCTCACAGACAAGTACAATGAATTGTGGGCCATGTTTGAGCACACGGTCCGCGATAGACAGGGGCTGTCTGTGCTCCTTATTGGACCACGAGCGGTAGGAAAAACCGCCATAATAAACCGCGCTTTGGACAAATTGGCAATTGACTATGATGGTCGATACATAGTGGTTCGCCTTAGTGCGTACTTTCATCCTGACGAGCACGCGGCTGTTCGAGAAATTGCCCGGCAATTGGATATTAATGTCAAAAAAAACGACTCTTCGCACCAGTCGCAGTTTCAGCAGCCGGCCATAAACGACACTTTCAGCAACATTCTCAACATTCTCGACCATACCAGCTCCTCAGAGTCCATGGCGGTGATCTTTATTGTGGACGAAATCGACAAATTTACAGACAACAAACAGACACTTTTATACAACTTGCTTGACCTCGCACAGACATCGCAAGTGCCCATTTGCGTGGTGGGAGTTTCTACAAAAATTACCGTGAGAGAACTTTTTGAAAAACGAGTACGAAGCCGGTTCAGCCAGCGGGTGATTTCGTTGGCCAAGCCAGGGTCAATTGACCACTTTTGGTCCGGTGCCAAACTCGCACTTTTGTTATCATCAAATAATATTTCGCAGTTGCAAGATGAAAATTACGGCCGGTTGTGGAACCAGTATATCGACTCGTTGTTCACGCAGTCGCCAATAGTAAAGAAGCTCGTTTATGAGTTGTACTATTCCACGAAAAATTACCGCCAATTCAACATCTACTCCACTTTTGCAATCGCACAAATTTCTCCACAGTGCCCGTTTCCTGTCGATACCCATTTTCTACACTACGCCAACGTCCAGCCTCCAGGAACTATCCAGGGCTTATTCCAGTCGCTCTCCACACTAGAATTGTTGCTTGCAATCGCCGCAGCCAGATGGATCGAAAAATTCGACTTGCAAACCATCAACTTCAACTTGGCCTACAAAGAATACGAAGAAATGATAAAACTGTTCAATATCAATTCCACCACCTTGGCAACATCGTCGCCGTCTCGAAGCGACACTCGCATTTTGACCAACATCAAAGTCAACCAAAAAGTGTGGTCTGCCAAAGTGTTGCGAAATAGCTGGGAGTCGCTCTACAGAATGGGTCTATTAATAGACCAGTCGGGCGTGTCCACCAATGCCGATGGCCATGTAATTTCCAATGCCCAGCTCAATAAAACCTACACCATTGAAGACAGCAAGATGGTGCAGCTCGACACAAACTTGGAGGAGATTGGCACCCGACTAGACGACCAGGACCCATTCAAGAGATTGACAAAGTTGTAGTGCATTTCGCATTTCGCATCTGTCAATTTTGTGCCATTTCGCATTTCATTTCACCTGTCAATTTTGTGTCATTTCGCTTTTGTCTGTCGCAGGCTGTCTCACCTTTTCCCACATTCTTATTGTGTGTGCGGCGCATTATTTTTTGAACTCGGCCGTGCATACTCTGATACACTTTGGGACAAATACTGCGAAACAGGCTTTAGGAAGGCTATGCATAAAACAAGGCTTGGACCCGGTTGGTGTCATTGTGGTCATGATCACCAAAACGACAATGTTTAAGGTCGATACGTTTACGGAAACAAAAGAATTGGTTCAATATGATTTTGTACCATACAAAGAGATTTGCAGCTTATTTTCTATGATGATTATTCAACTAAACCTCAAAAAGTTGCCCACCCTGCAGAAAGTGGGCTTTCGCAAACACTTGCCGTTTACCTTTGGGGTTGACGAGGCGCATGACGCACTCTCATCCATGACTTTGGCGCCTTCCAGGAACAATATTCTTTTTGAGATTCATTATGCAATCGATTCAAACCAAAAATCATCCATTCTACAAGCATTTTTCGATTGCCATTTCCTCCACTGTCCTCGAGCGAGAACACTTTCTAAACCCAGATCGGATGAATCCATGCAACCAACTGCAAAAGGTGTAGCAGTGCTCCATTCTTTCTGCATGCGTGTAGGCATGCCCACCGGTTTAATGCCGCAAATTATCAAGACGGCGTTCAATTCCATGCGCCTCTTACCCCTAGAACGGGATAAAAATAACCGCATAATATGCTCACAAGCACTCTTGGTGCATGTCCTTTGTAAGCTAGTTGGAGATCCTCCTCGGACTTGGCGACCTGATGCTGCGCCTGACCCGATCCTGTTTCATGTAGAGGATTCCGGCGATGAAATCGGGGGCTTATATGGCTTGGACGAGGCTTCGGCGTGCTTTCAATTGTCGGCGGAAACTTTCAAGCTGGAAACTTCCAAGCAAACGAGTCCGTATCACCATCCGTATTTCACCAATCCTGAATCGGACGCTCAGTTTCAGTATTATACGTCTTCATTTGGAGCTCGTTTTCACCATATTGACGGAAAATATGTGGCATCGGCAAAGACCCTAGCTCAGTGGATATGTGACTGTACAGCAGTGGCTACAAAAGGTGAAGCACACCGCATTGTCGACATGTTCATAAACGCTAATTTTTTGCAGGCTTTTGAGTCACAACCAGGAACTGTGGCTAAACTGGTCGGTGGAGATCCTCTCTACTTTGTCACAGAAATTGAATTGAGTTCAACCAAAGACTATGATAGTCGAATCAGTGGTTTACAACATGTTATTTCTGATCCAGGATACAAGCTCTTGTTCAAAGATTTTCTATCGCTGACTTTTTGCGGTGAAAATTTGGAAGCATATGTTAATATTAGCAAGCTCACCAGAGGAGTAACCTCATTGATGGCTAACGTTGCGCCGTTATTATCACAAACCAACCTCAACATGGCAACCCAAACCAAACTAGTGTCGGTTCTCAAGTCTCTTATGTTCAGAGCATACCTGATATATTATAGCCATTTCGATACCGATTCTCCCAGCCAACTCAATATTCCGTACGAAATGAGAATCAGGATTTCTCGAGCTGTTTCTGTTGCTAGATGTGTTCTCGATGACTCGTGCTCTGAACAAACCAGTGAAATTGTCAACTCGGTGATGTCGGAACCCATACGGTCGCTAAGTTCCGAAAGTTCATCGGTGGATACTAAAGAAGAGACTCCGTTGATTGCAGAACTCATTGCATTGTTAGGCAAACTAAGTCGAATTTCCAAGGAGTTTATGGAAGCTGAGGAAGCACTCTTGAGGCTTCTTGAAACCGACTCATTTCCCAACTTTATCCATAGCACATTGTACCAAAGGTTTCTACATCAGATTCATACACGTTGTTGAGATTAGGTTACACTATAAATACACAAGAAGAAATTATGCAATAGGGTCGAGGGTGGTACCCTTCTTGATAGTTGCCCAACCAATCAAACGCCAGTGCTTTTCGATACGTCTCGACAAGGCAATCTTTTCGTTAATCTCGGTACAGGCTGGAGAAGTCAATTGCAAACGAGCCATATCAGCCTTAACTGCCACCACTCTAGCACCAGTGGCTGTGGATCCAATATTCACCATCAACACCTCTCCAACTTCCAATTTGCGTACCTTGGCACCTTGCTTTTGGCCCTCGGTTTTAACTCCCAATAATCTTCTCAACAAAAAGTAGTTGATTTCAATGTCAGTGTAAATCGATGGAAGGTTGCCCTTTGCACCCACAACTTGACCCACCAATCTGTCAGCTCTACACAACGTAGGATCCACCTTTGTACCCAAACCAATCAACCCACCAGGCACGGCAAACTTCAAGTCATTGTGCTCGGCAAATAATGTGACAATATGAGAAAAGATGGGTTTACATTGAATCTTTCCATTGTCGTCCTTGGTGACGATTCCCGGTCTGATTTCTATTTCGTCGCCAATTTTGAACACACCGTTCAAGATGGAACCACCAGCAACACCTCCTTTCAAGTCATCGATCTCAGAACCGGGTTTATTGACGTCGAAAGAACGAATCACGATCAACCGAGGAGATGCGGAAAAGTCACGAGGAGGAACGGGGATCGAGTTGACTATGAATTGGTTCACGGCATCGATGTTGTACTTCAACTGGGCCGAGATAGGGACGATAGGTGCACCATCAGCGATGGTTCCTTTAATAAAATTCAAAATCGATTTTTGGTGCTCCAACGCCGATTCTTCTCTCATAAGATCCACCTTATTTTGCAAGATGATAACATGTTTCAACTTCATGATTTCGATGGCTGCCAAATGCTCCGATGTCTGCGGTTGAGGACATGATTCATTACCTGCAACCAAAAGTAAAGCGGCATCCATTACCGCAGCACCAGACAACATAGTACTCATTAAAATATCGTGACCTGGACAGTCCACGAAAGAAACGTGTCTTACAAGCTTATAGCGGCCTTCGCATCCCTCACGCTGACACTTGGGTCTAATTTCCTTGTCTGATTTGAACGATTTGTAGCAATCGGGCTCGGGACATTCTTCGTTGTCGCACTTGTATATCTTTGCATTGGCATACCCCAATTTGATGGTAATGTTTCTCTCCAATTCGTCCTTGAACCGCACGGTTTGAACTCCCGAAATGGCACGAACCACCGTGGACTTTCCGTGGGCGACATGGCCAATGGTTCCGATGTTAATTGTCGCCTGTCTATTGATAATTTCCGCCGACAATGGTGTCAACTGCGAAAAATCGGGGTTATCTGGCTGCTCCGGCAACCCACCACCTTCCTCAAACTCTTTTCTGGCCGCTTCCTCATCATATTCATCGTCTAAGCCGGCAAAAGCAACGGATTTTTTCTCTTTCGATCCTTCGGTTTGTGCATCTTCAACACCAGCTTCATTTTCACTCTCGATGTCGTGCTCATACTGGACGTCAAAGTCTCCGTCTTCCTCGAGATCGCCGCCAATCACAATACTGGGCGTGGCATTGTCAATATCGTCGTATGACATGTTGGTAATGAGTTGATCACTGAGGAAATTTTTCAAAGCATTTTTCATTCGCGGTCACGTGCCTACTACAGCTCTTACTCTATGTACTATGTATGGAACCCAAAGTCGTTCATAACGCTATCGACGTCCTTCCAGAGCAAGTCGCTGCTACTTATGTCGAGCGAGTCCATGTCGAAATGCTCGAGAGACTCATACATGGGCGACGGGTCTTGTTTCGCCAAGCCGGACGTCGCATTTTGGGCCATTTTTTGGTCCTGATTCGGCGACTGGTAAGATCCTTCAGATCTCATATGGGGAGACGTTTCGGTGCTGTTGTTCACCACGTTGAATATACTGCTGCGCTTGCTAACAGACATGGGCTGGGGATCCAAGGGAATTGTACGAATGATTTTTCTAGCAGTGGACTCAGCGTCCAAATTGTTGGATAAAGAACGAGGTTTTTTGGAACGACTAGATGTTGAGCTTGGTGTGGACTTGTTACTTTTCTGGTCCTCTGTGGGTGCAGTATCCTTATCCGACCCGGTGGCTCCGTCAAAGTCTTCATCTTCTTCTGAGATGGCTTCGTCGTCAACATTAGTGCCATTTCCATCGGTGCGATTATTGAGTTTTATCATGCCAACCTTCTCTCGGAGAAGATACAAGCAGTCAAAGAACACCGACGCTGCCATTCTTGTTCGGATACTTATGGTCCAACTGGATATGTTTCGCTTATCCAAAGTTCGGAAAAGCTGCCACATACTTTTCATGATTCCACTGGATCTATAAGCAATATCATGCTTCAATACTGAAGCTTTAGCAGCCAATGAAATTGCTGTTTGGTACGTCTGGCGTCCAGAACCCACATCCACCACTTTCTGGAGCGGCGAGTGTGCTAGCTTTCCAATGATAAATGCTGCTTGCCATATACTGAGAATGTACACTCCAGGAAGATATTTCACAAACCGCTTGTCTTTTGTTTGGCACGAATGGACATGATTGACGAGGGTTATGGCAGCATTGTACAACCGTACCAATCCCTTTTGAAGCTCGAACGATGCCACGCGAGAAGTATCCATGAAATGGTATGTCAAGAGGTGTACTCTAGCAGTGAGAATTTGGAATTTTCGGAATCCGTCAACGGCTTCATTTGCAAATTTGACCTCGAGATCGTCCAATTGACGGTTTAACACCTTGAGAAGTGGAAGTCTTTCCGTAGCATCGATCAAGCCATGGGGATCCATTGGGTTTGAATTGAGAGTTTTGGCAACTTGGTCTTCAAACTGGGCGATTTCTGTCATGAACATCAAAGTCTTGGGGATTTGCGCCGGCTGGATGGTGGAGATTGTGGGCTGAAGACTGGACATTGACGAGTCGAATTGAACAAACGCGGGAAACCCAAATGAAGATGCTATGGTTTGCGATACTATATTACACACGATCCAGGTTTTGGCTTGTTCCTGTGCCATTTCGATCTGCTGGGGAGTCTTGGTTCCGTCGGGATTTGGCGTTCTAGTATGGAGTCCGATTCTAATTGCTTGGAAAAGAGCCACACCAATGGTGTTCCACGACGAGTCGGCACTGAGCGAGGAGGTGATGGGCGGCCAGAACGTGTAGAGCAAGAAAGCCTGGACGGAGTAGACCGAGCAAGCGTTGAAAATGGGTTCGTCTTCTTCGGTGGGGTTGTATCTTGTGATGGGGGAGATGGTGATTTCGGAAAGGATGTTTTTGATTAATGGGGCAAGTTCGAGGAGTAGAGTCTTTTGCGACTCGTCTCGAAACCGTCGAAGAGAAACGAACATTATGACCCAGAAAAGGGCAGGACAGAGACGGTAGATACGCTCGGGTCCTTTGGTCACCTCAACGACCGGGAGGATGGGGTGGTAGCAGTCAACAAACTCGAGGTAAAGATTGCGAATCGTGTGTGGAGAAAGCGATACAGAATCGATGGTTTTTTCTTCACAAATAAGCGACTCTTCTTCGAGAACTGTTTGGTGGAATGGAGTCTCTGAGCGGTGGTCTAGAGGACGGAAAATCGACGGCATTTCCGGTGAGTTGTTGCTTTCAGAAGTGTTGTGTGACAACTCTGGAGCACGAATATTACCTGGAGAAAACACCACTGGTGATGCTCGAGGATGAGTTTGGGCCATATGCGACTGTGGTATTTGTTCATTACTTCCCAACGGGATACCAGTACCAGATCCAGGTGCCGACGCCACCTTGAGACGCTCTTTCAACTCCTCAAACTCTCGTTCAATCTGGGCTATCCGGGCTCTTTTATAGGTTCGTTTATAGTCACTCTTGAGTGTGCAATGGAGTCCTTTTTTGGCACATCTGGTACATGGTGCCGGGTGTTTCTGGTGCGAGTCACACCTGCTCTTCTGCTGTCTACAGTTCACACAAGCGATACGTTTTGGCCGGCCATTTACGCCAGAATTTGAAGATGGTTGGGTCTCAGGCTCGTAGGGTCCAGAACCAGAAGGAGTGTATCCCGCCGCCTCCTCGGCCTTGAGTTGACTATTCAACTGGTGTAGCTCCTCCGACATGTTGGCTATATGGGCCAAGTTGTCTAGAGAGCTCAGGGTCATTTATGTAGCCAATGTTCTTTGAGGTGATGACTTTACGATTTAACAAAAATATCGTGAGATGGCCTGCACATACCGCGAAAATCCAATTTTGCACCATGGGGTTCTGGGACACGATCAAGCAAACCAACCGGGATATATGGGTGCTATGGATCTCGGTGGTGTTTCGCATGGCTAGTTTTGCGCTAACCAACCAGGTATTGACGCTTTTTTTGAAACAAGTGGGAATTAATGAGAAAAAAATAGGGTGGTTTATGACATTGACCTTGGTTGGAGATGTGATTATTTCGTACTTTTTGACATGGTACGCCGACACTTTGGGAAGGAGAAACGTCATGCTCTTGGGTTCTTTGATGATGGCCGGAGCAGGCGCTGTTTTCTTTACTTGTTCCCGTTTTGAATGGCTTCTTCTCGCGGCCATTCTCGGAGTCATTTCTCCTTCCGGTGACGAAACCGGACCGTTCAAATCCGTCGAGGAAGCTTGCTTAGCACACTTGACTCCACATAGCCACCGACCCGAGATTTTTGCTTTATATGGATTATTGGCAAATTTGGGTTCCTCCATCGGTTCCCTCGCCGGCGGACTTGTAGTGGAAATTTTGAGTAACAACGGTATGGATTTGGAACGTTGCTACCGTCTTATTTTTGCAGTTTACTCGGGTGTGGGAATCCTCAAGTTTGTCTTCATGTGGTTTTTGACGGAAAAATGTGAAGTTCACCACCACAGAACTGAAGACTATGGTGAAGAAAATGGCAGTAGCGATGACGAATTGAGACCTCTCGTCGCATCCACGAGCCTCTCCCCTTCGTCAAAGCACCACTTGTACCCACTTTTGGCAGTTTTCATGCTCGATTCTCTTGGGTATGGGTTCATGCCTGCCGCATGGGTGGTATACTACTTTAGAACCGTGCTCAAAATGACAGCAGCGGGAGTAGGAATCTTGTTCTTCTTTTGCAGTCAAATCGACTCGTTTTCGAGCATCCCATCGGCTATGTTTGCCCGGGCTTTGGGTCCAGTTAAAGCCATGTTTGCTACCCAAGCTCCATCGGCAGTTTTTTTCATTAGTATTGGTTTAACGTCGCTGGTTCCTATCGCTTGCACTCTTTTGGTTTTGAACTTTGCTACCCAGACCATGGATGTGGTGCCTCGGCAACTCCTTCTTACATCGATTATGCCACCCCAGGACCTCACCAAGGTGATGGGAATTGTAAATATAGGCAAGACATTTGCCCGCTGTGTGGGCCCAATTTTCACCGGAAAACTTGCTACCCACGGAAAGTTGTTCTATGGATTCTTTATCAATGGTGCATGTGTGTTGATGGCGGACTTTCTTCTTGCAACCAACTTTCTTCATATGGACGCAGACATTTTAGCGAAGCAGTCCAACTACGAAAGAATTGAATAAAGAAGAAAAAAGAAGGAAAGAAAAGAAGAAAAGAAGAACAAAATAAATAGAATAAAATAGACTTCCTTCTCTAGTCTGTTCATGCATCATTATTCATACGAGAAAGTTAATCACCTTTTTGTACCAAGGCATAGCACGATATGCGGCTAATTTTTCATAATTTTCTTGTTTGACAAGCTCCAAATCGTTATTGCGTCTTCCAGTGTCAAGGTCCATGGTGTCCAATGGCACGATAGTATTTAATTTTCTGGAGTAGATTTTGTGACCCACAAAAAAGAGCAACACTACAACCGCACCCAAGTAATTTTCAAAGAATACTTTGGCATCTGGTTGTTTTCCAAGAGGAAAGAGAGCCGTCCAAAACTGAAAGCACAACACCACCACAAGGCACACACAAGAATAAAGTGATCCAATCCATCCTGTCAACGCAGTATATGGAAGTTCCATAAGGTCTCTGCCTTGTCTCTGCATTCCCCATCTAAATCTCAAATGAGCAAGACAAACACTGAACCAAGTGAATAAGGTGGAAAGTCCAGAAAGTGCCATGAGCCAAGCAAACACCTCAGACTGTTTGGGAGAAGCAGCACAGAACGAAAGAAGTCCCACAAATGCTGCTAATGCTATTCCTGCCAAAGGTCTGCCTGCGCGATCGACATAGGAAAAAATCGAAGGTGCCAAACCTTGGTCTGCCAATGCAAGTATAGTTCTTGAAAATCCGTAAACGGACGAGTTGCCAATCGCTAACAACGACACCAAAACCACCACGTTGAATATGGAAGGAAGAACTTTGATCCCACCGGCATTTATAGCAATGACAAATGGAGAAGCTGAAGCATCGGACGAGGCATGGCCCACCAATTTTTTAGAATCATAAGGAACCAAGAATCCTACCATGGTCAAAGTAACCATGTAGAACAACATGATTCTCCAAAACACCTGTTTGATAGCTTTTGGAAGAACAATCGAAGGATCTCCGGAAGATTCTGCTGCCGTCAAACCGATCAATTCTGTTCCTGCCAATGAGTAGACGGCAGTAACCAAAACGCTAACAACACCTTTGAACCCGGCTGAAAATGCACCAGGATGGTACCAGTACTTGGCTCCAATAAACCCCGACTTTCCTCCTCCACAGATTAACACAATTGCCAAAATATTGAATCCCACTACCCCGAGCACCTTGATGACAGAAGCCACAAATTCAGCCTCTCCAAACCCTTTATTTCCACACAAATTGAGCCCCAAGATGAACACGTAGAAGATTGCCACCCACACCACGGTATTTATATCGGATTGCCAGAACTGGATCGTCATTGAAGATGCCACTAATTCAAGTGGAAGAACAATCACCCAAAAAAGTGCATAGTTCCATCCTATGGCAAACCCCCAAGAAGGGTCGACGAACCTGGTGGAGTACGTGGCAAACGACCCAGACACTGGGAACACAGCAGCAAGTTCCGCTAACGATTGCATGGTACAATACAAGAAACTAGACACCACAGCCCATCCAATGAGAAGTGCTCCAGGTCCACCAGTTGCAAGTGCTGGTCCTGATCCTATAAACAATCCACTTCCCACACACCCACCAAGGGCGATCATTTGTAACTGACGCTTTTTAAGCGATTTATTCAAATTTCCGTCACTATTTTCGGCGCCTTCAATTTTTATATCAAGAGCCAGAGTGGACTCCGGAATCGTTGGAGACTCGGCACGTTTGAACGAGTCACGTACACGGTGCCATGTTGTTTGTGGTTCATGAGCTGTTGTACGCAGCGACTCCGACGACAGAAGTTTATCCATCAGTGAACAATAGGAAGAAATGAGTAATCAGCGCCGGTTTCGCAACCGTTGATGCGGCATTTTGCAACCTGTGCGCGGCGTTGGTGGCCGGAACCGGAAAAAGAAAAGAGCGCCGAAAAGAAAAAGAGGGCCAAATTGCGCCGAACAAAAATGATGTCATGTGACTTGGGTCACGCGCGTGTCTCCCCACACTCCGAAACGCTCCTTCTCGGCAACATCATGACGTACCAATTGAAAAGCAGCAAAGACGTTTCTGTTCTCGGAAAATTGTACGAGCTCTGTGGCACGGAATGGGCAGGACCTATTAGTGCCCAGCAATTTGGCTCTGCAGTGGCCGAAGCGTATAAATACACGGACCAGCCGGAAGGATTTTGGTTTGAAGATGAAACCGGAAATGTCATTTGTACCGCCACCGTAAAGCATATTCCGGGATTATTTAAAGCTCCTGACAAGTCAAATGCAATTTCCTCGGTTCCCGACCCGGGAGTGTTTGGAGTTCGGCTGGTAACTCTTCTTCATTTTGGATATGTTTTCACCGCCAAGGAGTATAGAGGCAAAGGTTTAGCATCGCAAATGATCACACAGGTCATTGAGCATGTGGAGAATGATATAATTGACCATCACGTGCGCTCTAGCGACGACAAGAACGACAGTTTCAAGAATATGGCGGTTACCGATGGCGAGGTGGACCGGCAATTGGCCAACTATTACTTGGGTAAGGAATACTTTTGGGTGTTATATTCGGGCGCAGGCACATTCTACGAGAAATTCGGGTTCAAGAGCTACCCATTGGACTATTATGACATTCCTACATCGATTATTGATGAGGGTCAAAGACTGTTACTTCACGGATTGATGTTTGGCGAAGACGATGCTAGGGTTGTTGGTAAGAAACTTCGTATGCTTCATCAGTCGAACCCCCAGGATGTCGAGTTGGTTCAGTTTATTCTCCAGAACAAAGAATTGGAAATTGTTACCGAGTTGAACAAAATGCTGTTCCACTCTGAATTGGCTGGTAATCATAAATCGTCTTCCTCGTTAACAAATATGACCAATGTGTTGCAAATGTCTAAGATTGGTCTGCACCCAGCGTTGTCGTCGATTACAGAGATGTCCACTGCCGGCACTGGCCATCAAGCACCCAGTTCTGGTCAGCGGAGAAGATCGTCAATTGTGCAACAATCTGTACCAAAAGTTGCCTTGAAACCCGAATTGAATAACATTCAACACTTGTGGACTTTGTCATCTCATGCTGCTGAAATAAGTGGAGACGAAGAGGTTATCAAATTTGACGATATGATGGGTGCCATCTTCACTAATGAACTTCAACAAAAGTCCCATTATGTGATTTGGTCCACCATTAAACAATCACAATTGGTGATCTTGGCGATGGGAGAGCTCAAGTTTGATCATTTCGGGGCTCTTGGTGGTACTCATGGTCGTCGTGGATCATCCTTTACTGGACTAAATGATTTGGGAGGCTACAATTTCCAAGACTTGGATATCTTGATTAGTGTGGCTTGTATTGTTGCCCATAAGCGGAAATTGTCCGAACTGAGCCACATCCTTGCCTCCGTCAACGATCTTCCCGCTGGGTATCCTGCGCCTGTTCTTCATGATTATTTTCTCAACTACTTGCCTAAAGCCTTTGAAAATGTTCATGGAGCTGAAGATGATGCTGATGCCTCAAAACAAGTGAGATTCATTACAGATGCAGCCAACGAGATCAAGATCCTTCCTATGATGCGGCGGTTTGGTAAAACGTCTCCGAAATTTGACTTAGACTGGGTTTCGAGCGGTATGTGGTCATGGTCGTGAACCTGTATATGAATATATATAAAAAAGAAAAATAAAACCCACGGCGGGAGTCGAACCCGCAATCTTTTGATTAGAAGTCAAACGCGTTAACCATTACGCTACGCAGGCTTTGGTCAGTTCGTTATATTTCGTCAGTTTCTATATAGTGCACGGTGCAAGTGGCTGCAAATCGAAAGTCAATCAAGCAAGAAAACGCAAATTTGCCTCTCTGGTATCAGTTCGCGCAATTGTAAAACGTGCAAAGCTCTCAGACTTGCTCTGAATTCTGCAAACCACAATTCAATTCACGACTTCTAAGATGTTCTCTTGACTTTACAAGAGACAATTTGTCCGTTTTACAAAGCAACTTTGTCGACACTGATTTGACTTTGATGAACTTATTCAAAACCCCCGTGATTCCTTCGTTTCTTAAAATTCACGATTAAAGTTTTAAAGTTTGCCCAAAATTTATTCAAAGGTGTTTTCTTGCTTTAACACAAAAAAGGTTTATAATACTTCTTCACTAAAATACTTAGATATGAAACTTTGAAGAGTTATTTGAATTATAGTCGTGCACCAGTTTAGCTATTCTGTCATAGTGGTCAAATAGCACAGGAATCGCGCTCATAATCGAGGCTTAGATTTAATGTGAGACATTCAGTATCCAAACTGTGAAGCGAAAAAAACATTTTTCAACTTACTAGAACGATAAAACGAGTGGTTTAAATGGTGAATAAACTAAACTCTGGCCAAATCAATAACAATTAGACTACAAAAAGTTGATCATCACTTATGATTGAGTTCGAAGATTACAAATTTCAGAAAATTTTAATGAAGTTAGTCTGCTTGACTTTGTCAGCTAATATGTGTTGGAGGCTGATATTTGTCTTTATCATAAACTGAAGAACAGATCACATGACACAAAACAAGAGGATTCAAGAGATCGAGCCATAACGAGAGTCAGAAGATATGAGGCGAAGGCGACAACGAAAACAAACAATAAAACAAACAGAAACAGATATGAATCAGAATCAAAGAGGTCAAATATGATCCAGTAGTGACAACATCGCCAGATTCAATCAGCCTAATCTATCCACCTACCACCATCCTTCCTTTGTTGTCATTTATTCTCTAGAATAACATGTCCAAAGTACAACAGATACACAACGCTCCCAAACATGCCATCAAACATCCTTCTGATCCTCCTCCTCGCTGTTGTTGTTGAACATACATTGGCTGCTGTTGTTGGTAATATCCTTGTCCCTGTGGAGGATAACCACCTTGTTGGTATCCGCCTCCGTATCCTCCTTGTGGTGGATACCCTCCCTGTTGATATCCGCCTCCATACCCTTGTTGATGATGACCTCCAAAACCCCCGAACCCTCGGTCTTGGTCGTTTGGTGTGTAAGCTGGTTGTTGTTGGGGCACATATCCGCCACCAGAAGTCAGATTTGCTTGGTTCCAGCTCGGGGGCGCACCCGTAGGAGCCTGATATTCTTGTTTAGACATTTACAGCAGTACTAATTGAGGGTGTAATTTATAGTGAACCGAGCCACTTTAGTGAGAATGACGTTGGGCTGTGTGCAGGCCGTTGGCATCGGTCTTGGCAGCTGCGGCAAGTCTAATCATATCTACTTTCATATAAATTACTTAAATTAACTATCATGTCAACCAATATCATCATGGTCATTAGTATATATATCTGAAGTTGGGGTGTTTATCTCCCGCAAGGATCTTTTCTCTTTCTGTTTTTTGATCCCATTTTTCAAGGTAAGCGTCAGTTTTCTTGTTCTTATTCAACTGGAAAACCGACAAGAAATAAAACACCATCATGGCAATTGCAAACGAAACCGCTGCCAAACACACTATGAGTCCCGGTCTGTACACGGGAGCATCCTTAGCCAAGAATATAAAGGTGGCGATGATTCCACCAATATTTCCAAATCCAATTTGCCATGCGGTTCCCACCGATTTTCTCAAATGTCCTCCAAAATTCAAAGAGCTCCAGCACACCAACAATGGCATAGCGGTGTATAATCCTGAAGCGGTCAAGAAACATCCAGCGTACCGTGCTTGAGGATTGGTTTTTTCAGCAAGAACCAATGCTAACCCAATGATGGCTAAACATGAAGATGCCAAAGCAAATGGCAATCTCATGCGAAGACGATCAGAAATGAACGAAACCACGTTGTTGAGCCCGAAAGCAGCAAGCCAGGGGTACACCGAGTGCTGGTTAGCGGAAACAGCAGTGTATCCCATTTGGTTAATAATGGTGGCTGCAAAATAAGCATAACCATAAGAGGGAATAATGAGACCAAAGTAGGCTAACGCTGGAAGCCAGATCATATAATCTTTGAAACACCTGGCCACATCTGTCAATGTGTTTTTCGTCTCGAATCCCGACTGAGCACCGGAATAAATCGCCAATTTTTCCTTGATAAATTTACGCTCATTCTCATTCAAAAATCTCGACTCCTCAGGAAAGTCAGCAATGGTGAAAAAAAGTATAATGGCACCCCCCATAGTGATGATTCCGTCAATGATAAAGATCCATCCCCATGCTGGAATACCATTCTTGCCGTCTATTTCATGGATTCGGTATGCAATACTTCCTGATGCAGCACCGGCTAAACAGGTGACGGAGAAAAATGCCGAAAACCGACGTTGAGCCTCGTGCACAGAGTAGTAGCATGAGAGAAGATAGAACAATGCAGGGAACGTTGATGCTTCGAAAATTCCGAGTAAAAACCGACATGCAGCCAATCCTCCGAAATTTTTAACAAATCCCATTCCTACTGAAATGGCTCCAAAACAAAGAATACATCCACTCAACCATATATGTGGCTTCACGAGCTTGATGGTGAAGTTGGATAACACTTCGAATGCAACATATGGAACGAAAAAAAGCGTCAAAGCAGTGTTGTATTGGTTTCCCGTCAATTTCAAGTCCTCAGCAAGCCCATAAAGTTTGGCATTGGAGATATTCACTCTGTCCAAAAACGCCAAAAAGTATAAGAAACAGAAAGCTGGAACCACACATACATCGATTTTTAACATCAACTTGCGCTGATTTATGCCATATTGCTCTGCAAGATTATTCACTTGCTCATCGGCCGAGAGGCTGGTATCATACTTCTCTCCCGATATATCAGATACCACTTCAGATTCCCTGTCTTTAATCGTATCAGACATATTTTTCGAATGGTTTTTTTTCGGGAATTTTATCTACTTATGATTCACCTGTGAGTAATCAAGCCGCTTACCGGATATAGGTGAAAAATGTCCGATACCGCACACAGAACGCCTAAAAATGCGGAGAACCCGCCGGTATCGGGCCTGCAGGTAATTTCTGCCAAGCTTGACAGCTAAAGTCTGAAAAATATACCAGTCCACATTTTACATTGCCTATTTGGGCGGATGCAGTAAAACCATCGATAGCTTGCATGCAGGCTACAATATAAGGCAAGCCTACGAGCCGAAAATCTATCAAAAAGACAGGAAAAGCGAGACTTCAGCTTCATACTTGCTTTAAATGGCACAGACCAAATTTTAGCTACTTTCAGCTACAATCTGTTGGATTAGCATCATTTTCTTGTTTTCACGTGACTTTCTTCCAGGGCTCCCGCCCTTGCGTTCCGCCCGTTTGGCCCAATTAGGCAGTTATGCTCCCTTTTACTTAGGCACCGCGGCATCTGCATATTTCAGCACAGTCCAAAAATTTTTCAAATCACGGCCGCGAAACTAAGCTTCTTTCTAGTAACACCACCATGTCTGACGTCGAGGAACAATACACCGAAGAACAACCAGTTGTTCAAGAAGAATTGAAATTGGTCGAGTTGGCCACCCCCATCCCAGCTGAAGTTCAAGCTGCTCAATCCGAGGTCAAATTGTTCAACAAATGGTCCTTTGAGGGTGTTGAGGTTAAAGATGTTTCTTTAGTTGACTACATTCAAATCTCTCAACCAGTCTTCGTGCCACACACTGCTGGTAGATACGCTGCCAAGAGATTCAGAAAGGCCAAATGTCCAGTCATTGAGAGATTGACCGCTTCTTTGATGATGAACGGTAGAAACAACGGTAAGAAGTTGAAGGCTGTTAGAATCGTCAAGCACGCTTTGGAAATTGTCAACGTGTTGACCGAACAAAACCCTATCCAGGTTGTTGTTGATGCCATCGTCAACTCTGGTCCAAGAGAAGACTCCACCAGAATTGGTTCTTCCGGTACCGTTAGAAGACAAGCCGTCGATGTTTCTCCTTTGAGAAGAGTTAACCAAGCCATTGCCTTGTTGACCATCGGTGCTAGAGAGGCTTCTTTCAGAAACATCAAGAGTATTGCTGAATGTTTGGCTGAAGAGTTGATCAACGCTGCTAAGGGTTCTTCCACTTCCTACGCTATCAAGAAGAAGGATGAGTTGGAGAGAGTTGCCAAGTCCAACCGTTAATGTACCTTATACATACATAATTCATGTCATCAATTTATTATGCTATACCCGTATTGGATAGAACATTCTTGTGAAATAATGCTGGGGTGTTAATAACCTATTATAGGTTCCTAATTGAACCTGGTTTATGTCTTTTTCTTTTTCTAGTTCATCTGTTTCGGACATTTCCTCGAGAGCATGGCGTCGGGTTTGTAATTTGCGCCGAACGAGCCATTCTCGATTAACCATCATAAGTAAAAATCCGAAAAAAAAGCATACTCCGGTGAAAATTTGTGGGTGCAAATATTGTCTTTTCAGCGACAGATTTACCAATTTCAATGCTATCACTTCAGCAACCAAGGAGAAAAACCCAACCAAAATATTAAGCCCAGACCATGCTGCCGGCAAATGAGCAGGAATTTCTACGAGATCCGCAGCCATTGACTGAGCCATGGTACTTCCCACTCCAACGATAAAGCCAATGAGAACGGAAAATCCAATAAGACTGGCATAAGTTTTAGCATTGATCCAGAATGCCAAGATTAGTATGCTGCATGTTAAAGATACAAGACCGGAGGTATTATTGCGGCCAATTGAGTCTCCAAAATAACCCATAATGGGTCTTCCAACCACTTGGGCTGCGTTCAAGATGGCGGTAATATTAGAGCCCTGAGATGCTGAGAGGCCCACCAGCTGGGCATATGGTGCAAGGGAGAAGAGAAGAATGATATAATTCATCAAAATGACCAGAAACCACAAGGCAAGAATCGCGAGTGGGTACCTGCGAAAAATCTTAAAATTGAACATGATTTTGGCATTGGCTAAAATGAACTCTTTGGTGAGTGTAGCCTTCAATGGGGTGTTTATACGCTTGCGGGGCCGTAATATTAACGCTGCAAACGTTGCTGCTGATCCAGTGACAATTCCACACATTCGAAGTGCCCATCTCTGGTCTCCGGTGGTGTCAATTAACTTGTTGATACTAAGTGAAAAAACCACTCCTCCAAGCCCAGCACCGCCCACTGTGATGCCCATAGCGGTTGCCATGCGCTTGTCGAACCACGTTGGAAGAATGAAGGTAGCGGGTATGAAAACCATGACAAAAGATATACCGACAAACACACCTTGAGCAAGGTATAAATGCCATAATTTGTAGCAAATGAAGCACAGATATACGCTGCGGTTTGAATAATGATTCCCAAGATAAACACCGGAGTAGTCCCGAAAACTCGACATGCAAGTCCACTAAATGGTGCTAATGACTGAGCCAAGAAAACCACTATACCTCCGATAAGTGCAAAGTCGTATTTTGACGACCCGGCAAATTGGTCCAGCGATAAATAGTAACTGAGGAACACTCCGAACCCGGCATTGGCTCCCCAGGTGGCGAAAACCATTAACATTGAGCAAATGGCCATTACCCATGCCATACCGCGGTCCACTGGTGGTCCATCGTCGTCGTCAATTTTTTCGTCTCCTTCATCTTCTGGGTCCTGTACTTCATCTAACAAGATAGACTCGGCCGCTCGTTGGTTTTTATAGCCATCGTACTCGATTTCGTCCATTTCAAGGTCATTTCTGATACTTGACATAAAACGAGAAAGTTCAGAAACATGAGATTGGGTGGTGCAAACCTTGGGTAAATCAGTGTCTGTGGATTGGCGTAAACTCCGAGGATGATAGGAGTCGCCCGAGTGCAAAGATAGCGAAGAATTCGCAGATTCGACCATTATTTGTTTGTATCAACCATATATAGTTTCACCTGTCAATATGTACAAATTGCTGCAATTAGATCTTTTTATGTAGCGCGCGATGACTAATGGTGCGGCTGAGGTTGACTCTGCGGCGGTGGACCCAACAAGAAGATATAGTAAGTTATTGTACTCAATGGCGTTGACGACACCTAGCGATAAAGGGGAGCGATAAAGGGGGTTAGGATGCTCAAACAGCATTCAACATTCTTTGAATTTGGCCACCTACGAGCTGTGAACTAACTTTCAACGCCGCATCGGAAATTTCCTAAATTGTTTTTCCAGCACCAAATTGAGCAATTGACACGAGTTTATTTGTTAGCAGGTGTATGTGTTGTGGTATTTGGTGAGAGAAGTCCACTCTTTTAATTTTGTTATCGTCGGAATGCCAGGCCCGTTATCGGCATCGGCTGCGATAAAGTGGAAATTGCAGCCGCGCACATAATTTGGCCAAGGAAAAAAGGGTAAAACGGTTAATGAAACGTGGGGAAAGAATAGCTGGAATGAAAATTGGAATGAAAGATAGATGAACATGACAAGATCGAGGGATGAGGATAATGTATTCAGAAGTGCAATTTCTTCCTAATTGTATTGGCTGCAAAATACCCTCTTCATAGTTACAAATTTCCTTGAGCATAATTAGTACAAAGTAGCCATCATTGGTGTGGAATAAGTAAGTACTTCAATCTTCTACAGTGCCTTTTTCTCAACCTTGTGGAATTCTCAAAAGTTGCAAAATTGAAAATTTTTGCATTTTCCATTTCAGTTCACCAAGATCAACAGCACACAATATAGCACCCACGTAATCATTATCAATACTATTGAGCCAAAGAACTAACCTTCTTATTCTATTTATTCGCTCTATACTTCTCTCCATTCCCATTCTCAATGTCTCGTTGCACCCAAACACCACCTGGTATCAACCGAAAGGGTGATCAAATCATTTAGGATCGCCTCCTGTAACTTCCACACAATAAACACATAATTTTCTCACTAAAAAATGTCCAGTGGCGACTTCCTCACAAAGGGCATCGAATTGGTTCAAAAAGCCATAGATGCTGATACAGCAACGAGGTATGAAGAAGCTTACAAACTTTACTACAATGGTTTAGATTATCTTATGCTTGCTATAAAGTACGAAAAAAACGCCAAATCCAAAGAGCTCATAAAATCCAAGTTTACCGAGTATTTGACTCGAGCAGAGCAATTGAAAGATCATTTGGAGAAGCAATCACAAAAGTCGAATTCCGCCGAAAATTCAGCTTCAGGAGGGTCTACAAGGGCCAAGAAGAATGGAGATGGAGACGACGATGATGCAGACACGAAAAAATTACGTGGGGCATTGGCGGGAGCCATTCTTCTGGAGAAACCTAATGTAGCATGGCTGGATATTGCTGGGCTTGAAGGTGCCAAAGAAGCATTGAAGGAAGCTGTGATTTTGCCAGTCAAGTTTCCACAACTTTTCACCGGTAAGAGAAAACCCACGTCGGGAATTTTGTTGTATGGACCTCCTGGTACTGGTAAATCATACTTGGCCAAAGCAGTTGCTACCGAAGCCAATTCCACATTTTTCTCGGTTTCGTCGTCAGATTTGGTATCTAAATGGATGGGAGAATCTGAAAGACTTGTTAAACAGCTTTTCACCATGGCTCGGGAAAACAAGCCTGCCATTATTTTTATTGATGAAGTAGATGCCTTGTGTGGACCACGAGGCGAGGGCGAAAGTGAAGCGCTGCGTAGAATCAAAACCGAATTGTTGGTTCAGATGAATGGTGTGGGAAACGATTCCAGCGGAGTTCTTGTTTTGGGCGCAACAAATATTCCATGGCAGCTTGATGCTGCCGTAAGAAGACGGTTTGAAAGACGGATCTATATAGCATTGCCTGATGCTGAGGCACGAACTCGAATGTTCGAGCTCAATATCGGCGATGTGCCTTGCGAGTGCTCACCGCTGGATTACCAGGCTCTTGCTGCGATGACAGAAGGATACTCGGGGCACGATATTGCAGTGGTGGTTCGTGATGCTTTGATGCAACCGATTCGAAAAATTCAGCAAGCCACCCATTTCAAGAAAGTGTTGTTGGAAGACGGTTCGGAAAAGCTTACGCCGTGCTCTCCTGGCGACGACGGAGCAATTGAGATGAGCTGGCAAAATGTGGAGACCGACCAACTCTTGGAACCAGACCTCACCATCAAAGATTTTATCAAGCTGATCAAGAGTAATCGACCTACCGTCAATGCTGCTGACATTGAAAACCATACCAAGTTTACAGAAGACTTTGGGCAGGAGGGGAACTAGAAGGAGAAAGCACAGGAAGAAGAGAAAACCACAAAAAGAAGATAAAACAGATGAAGAAGTTGAAGCAGATGAATATCCATCGTATTCATCCTACATTCTGGGTCGATGATCCGTTTCGGCTCTTATTGGATTTTATCCTACGGCATATTTAACATAGATACTGTTAGACCCTATCTCGTTGGGGACCGTTCTCTCAATCTATCGGCAAATAAATCGTCTTCTTCAGCGCGCGATCGGTGATCGAGTCTTTCAGCAAAAAGATCGGGCTCTTCCTCCCTTTTTCGGCCTCCGCGTGAACGGTTTTTGTTCCCTCTTCCTCTCCTCTCCCTGTTTCTATACTGTGGCGCACTGCGATCTGGTTCTCCATGAAACAAGTAGTAGCGAGAGTACGCCGAAGCGTTTTTTATTTTTCTGTCGGATTGAAACGACAACCGGAGAAAAAGCTCAATTGTTCGTGGTCCCTCGTCATCGTTAGTACTCTCTTCACCATTTTTATCGCCCAATCGGCTGGCTAAACTGATTTGTTTTTTGAAATTTTCAATCGCAGAATACGGCTTTCCCTCTCTTTCCTGAACCAATTGAGCTACGTACTCCTCTGTGAGTTCAGACGGGGGTTCCTGGTCTAAGTGTGGACCTGCAAACACCGAGAGTTTCGCCAAAGCAGCAGCGGCTTGTGCATGTGTTTTGAATGCCAAATTCACACTTTCATCATTGATCCATTGAACTCGAAATTGACTTTGTTCGTCGTACGGGAGCTGCTCGTACACCGGCGCTTCGTCGTCCATGGATTCGGTAACATTGTAGTTGATATAGTAATCTACATAGGCTTTAATGTCGTCGGTGGAAAGATTGTCGACACCACGAATATGTACAGCTTCTGGTCTGATAGTTTCTGGGGTTCCATTGACATTTATAGTGATTGCTTGTTGTTTGAGCTTGTTCTCTTGCTCCTTTTCGTCGTCCAAAGTCTTGGTTAGCAAGCCACCATAGGGTGCTGGTTCAGCCATTAGAAACGCGAATGAATGAAACTGCGAAAGAGTTAATGAGAAGAAATAAGTGAGAAGAAATATAAGAAAGAAAAATAAGTGAGAAAGAAGGTGGAGAAAAAGATGAAATGAGGTAGATAAGTACTAGACATGTGAAAGGGTCTGCTAGTAGATTAATGTCATTGATACTCTATTGTAATGGTGAAATACACTGAACTTACTTCAATAGCTGCATTGGTTCATTTAAAGCCATTTTCTGTTTGTCGTGGTTGATTTTTTCCGTGTTAATAAATTCCATTTGTACCTCTTTTTAGCTGTTCGTTCCTCTCATTTTGTTACTTGTTCCTATCTTTATTGTTCTGTTCCGAACTTTTGTAGTTGTTGCTCATTATCAACTCTCATTTGTCTGCTCTCTCACAAACAAAACATTGTTGCATCGTATGAAAATCTCTCCGATGGCCTCTTCCTTGAACTCACCGTTCTCCACCACCACCTCATGTGTATTTTCCAACTGCAAGTTCATATAATTGTCGATTGAAACCAACGTTCCTTTATACTCGGTTCTATTCCATTTTAAACGAACAACCACTGGCTTGTCTACAAGTGTTTTGAGAAACGGCTTGGGATTTATCGGTTGAAACTGAGTTAGTAAATCACTTTTTTTTTTTTGGAAGTATTTTACTTACTGTGGCCATTAGCTTGGTTCAGATTTCAATCGCATCTCAATGAAAGGCAGCGCACCCAATGCACCCATAATATGTTTCATGAACACTTCAGTTCGCGTTCACCACCATTCATTCCAACATGTCACGTCTCCAGGTGGCTTTGGGTCTTGGTGCCCTCCTCAGAGTGGCTCTACCTGTTTGTATCCCCAGCATCACCGAGTCTCTTTCAAATACCGTGGAAATCTCCACTCCCATAACATCTTTCAAAGCCATCAAAGAAGCTTTTTACTATTTGGATCATGGCATTGATCTTTATGATGGAGGTATAGTACATCACCCGCCACTCTTGGTGGTTCTATTGTCGTTGGTAAATGACTATGTGCCGTCGGCATTGACTCAATTGGCATTTAGCGTGATTTACACCGCCATTGACTTGTGGATTACTAACCGATTGATCCTCTTGAATAGGTGGTATAATGCAAGGGAAAAGGAAAACTACGAAAAAAAAAGCAAAGACAAAAGCAAATTGAAGGACGAAACCACTTTGGACCGCTCTTTTGACGGAGTGGCTGATTATATGATCGCCAGCGTTTTCCTCTTTAATCCGCTCCTTCTTCTCACCACATTATCGTTTTCAACCATCAATTTCACCTTTTTGTTTGTCATCGAGGCGGTAAGTCAAATTACATTAAATCGAAACTACGCTAGAGCAGTCATTGCATTGGCTTTAGCCACATACTTATCTTGGAGTCCGGTTTTCCTCATTGTACCACTCTTGGCACTTGGCCATTCCGAAAATGTTGCTCCTCTTGCAGAGTTGTACGCTCAAGGTAGTGGAATTTTCATAACTCTGTGTGGGCTCTTGTTGCTCACGTCATTTGCACTCACCGCCTCATTTGGGTTTGTCGAACAATGCTACGGTACAATCATTTTCTTTCTGAAAATCGTGCCCAATGTGGGTCTTTGGTGGTACATTTTTACCGAAATGTTCAATTTTTTCACTCCATTTTATCTTGGCGTATTCAACTTGTACTCGGCTATCTTTATCGTCCCTATAAGTGTTCGGTTCTTCAGAAGAGGTGGTTCGGGTGACCCCTTCTTAGCATATTGGCTCTCATACTTGTGGCTATCGTTCACAAAAATCTTACCCTGGAATCGCCGACCTTGGCCTTATGTTATCCATTCTTCCCATTTTTTACAACACAGCCCTTCCTCACTGCAAATTTTTGGTTGTTACCGCCTTGACATTGATTGTGTGTCTCGTATTATCACCTATCTTTTACCATTGCTGGATAGTGTTGGGAAATGGTAACTCTAATTTTTTCTACAGTATGAACTTGGTATGGGGAGCAGTCCACGTTTTGGTGTTTATGGACTTGACGTGGGGCAGACTTACATACGACTACTTGCTCAAGAACGGAGAAGGAGATGAACCCCGGTTGACCCAAATATAGCAAAATCAGAAATTGCATCCGTATAGGCACAGTCACGTGACCACAACTTTTACCAAAAGATAAGCTTCAGGTGTCGTTGAGAAGACGAAAGTCACATACAGTGGGCCCGAATTCACCTACTGCATTAATATCGGCTCACCGTCATCCTTGCCGGTTTTCCACCCATCTTCACCATACTCCAGCCGGCGGCTTGTCTGCAGTACCAACCAATCACAGCGCGACCAATTTTGTCAGAAAAACCAGTTTGAAAAATCACCTTTAAAACTATTATGTTGTCTCGCGTGTGTGCCCGTACATACAGCACTGGAGCTGGTGCTGTCAAAGTAAGTGCCAGAGAGTCTGCTGGAAACTTATCCGCCTTGACTGTGGTCGTAGACAATGCTGGTTCGAAAGCGGGTAAATCAGGTGTGGCCCACTTGTTGTCCCGGTTCAACTTTTTGAACACTGAGCCCAAATCTGCTTTGAGATTCACCAGAGAGAGCGAGCTCTTGGGAGGCATTGTGTCGTCCAACGTTACCAGAGATGCCATTGTGTTGAAAACTCAATTCTTGAAACAAGACTTGCCATATTACGTGGAAGCCTTGGGCAATGTTTTGGCTAAAACTTCGTTTAGACCCCACGAGTTGCCAGAACAGGTGTTGCCAGTTGCATTGGCCGAAACCGAGGCCGCCTACGCAAGCAATGAATTTACTGCTGTTGAAGAATTGCACCAATTATCATTCAGAACCGGATTGGGTCAACCTCTCTACTATGACGGAGTCAGTAAAGTCACCCTCGATGACATCAAGGAATTCGCCTCCAAAGCCTACACTGCCAGCAACGTTACTGTGTATGGATCTGGTGTCAATGCCGACGATTTGAACAAATTTATTTCTGAGTCTGCATTCTCTGAACTTTCTTCAGGAACCTCATCCACCCCAGCCACCAAGAGTTTCAACAACAAGGAGTCTCGCATCAGAGCTACTGGCGAGTCGGTGGCCGTCATTGGTGTTCCAGTGAAGCCTGCTGACTTTGGCAAGTATGAGCTTTTGTCTGCTGCTGTAGGTTCGTCAGTATTGGCTGGAGCTCCATCTCCATTGTCCAAGATTGCCGGTGCTACATCGAAGTTGTACAAGTATAAGGACGCTGGATTGTTCGTGGTATCTGTCAAGGGAGCCGATGCCAAAGCTGTTGCTTCTGGTATTAAGGAAGCCAAGAATGTTGTCAGCTCGGTTTCCGATGTTAAGGAGGCCACCAAACTTGCCGAGTTGGCAGTGGCCTTGCAAACCTCGTTCGACAACCCATTAGACATCAAGATCAGTGGTTCTGCATCCCCCGCCAAACTCACCAACTTTAACTACGTTGCTGTTGGTGACGTTGATGTGTTGCCTTACATTGACGAATTATAAATAAAATGCACATAATAAATGATCGTAAAAAGCTATGCTATTTGACTCCACCCTTTCCATATACTGACCACCATCGACGGCAAGAGATGTCCATTCATAACGGGCGAACGAAACAAGTTTACCATTGCAAAGCAGAGGATGCTTATGGTGAAAAATGCTGCGCATATAGCAACAGAGATGAATGTTACCGATGCTAATTTTGAAGATGCTTGAGGCGAGTAACCAGCTTGACTAAGGTGGAGGGAAATTCCGTGGATCAAGGTTTCGTTTTTGAATTGACAACTAACAAATGTGTCATTGTCAGTACTTAGTCCGGTACATGAAGCACCACATGATGCTACCACAAAATCCACTTTGGAGAGGAATAAGATGGGGACGATTTGAACCAACGCATCTTTAAAGCTATGAATGTTTGGCTCGTGTAGTATTCTTTCCTTGTAAAACCACTCAACCATGGCTTTAAAGCGGCCATTTTGCAGTCCCCAGAACGCAAGTAAATCGCCTATGAAAAAATCGGAATAGGTGAAGGTATTTGCACCAAATATCATGTAGACACCATAGTTAAAGAGCGTGTTGAGATAGTTATTGGCATAGAATATCGTCATGAGAAACACGCCTATGCTTCGTAATATCGTTTTCACCACCAAAACCAGCATCTGGAATGTTGGAACTGGAATTATTCGAAACCACCAGTGGACTCGAGGATGGTGATTTATGGAGAGGTCGGTGCTCAAAGCGCGGGACAAGCGAGCTATGGCATTGGAGCTGGTGTGTCGCAACGCATGGATCCAGATGAACGAGCTGGGGAAGCACAAGTCATGGGTGGTGTAGTCGACTTCCATGGTAGGAGAGAATGTGCGGATAAATGCAGGAAAGCTCATAGCCCACCAGTAAGGGATTGAAAGAAGGTGAAGGGAACCAAAGAACTGGAAAGGAGTGATTGATCTGATCTTATTTGCCGAAAGCTTTGACAAATATTCAGTATTTGCAGCAATTGCAGCCATGGACGCCGCCGACTGGAAACGTTCCACAAGTTCTCGCAGCCATTCGATGGAAATTAATTGTGCAGTAAATTGAAGCCGTCAACATCATAGCCAATTGCAGTATACAATCGGAGTTATTGTCAATGCTTTGCAATGTCTTTTTCATTGAGACCATAATTTTTGAAAAAGTCGATGGGATGGCAAATCGGTATTCAATGAATTGCAGTTATGTGCCAATAGAGACGCATTAACGAGACAATAATCCATTCCGCTTTTACTTCCAATCCGACATCCAGTGGTTGGTTGCTAAGCTTCTGGCCAGTCTAACCAAATCTCGTAACAAGACATTTCAAGATTGGCAACGATAGCATTAAAAATGCGAGAAAATAAATCAAAACGTAAAAACTTCCAACGTTTGTACATCTCTCAAACCAGAAAGAGCTATTAACCCTTTTATTGCTGTCCAAATCCAAGCCATGTTCATACTGTTATATTGATATTTGCAGCCACTCCAGTCCTGTTTTCGCGACGGCATTTATGATCCTCGCACGCCCACATTTTCATCGCTTCATTCTCATCTCCACGCCAAACACTGTGTGCCTTACATTAACAAATTATGATTAAAATGCAATAATAATTGATGCTATATGGCTATGTAGCTATGCTATTTGGGCTCCAGCCTCTCTTTATACCAGCCACCGCCGACGACACGTGTTGCCCATTGACAACCGGCGAACGTAATATATTCACGGTGGAAAAGAAAAAAATGCTTATGGTGAAAAATGCCGCCCATAATGCAACTGAAATGAATGTGGTAGATGCTAGTGTTGACGATGCTTGTGGGGAAAAACCAGCCTGATTTAGGTTGTTGAAAATCCCATGGATAAAGGTTTCGTTTCTGAATTGACAACTAACAAATGTGTCGTTGTGATCACTAATCGCAGTACATGAAGCACCAGATGATGTCACCACAAAGTTGACTTTACTCCAAAACATGTAGGGGAAAACTTGCCGAAGTCTTTTCAAGAAACGACCAGATGGCTGATGTATAATTTGTTGTTTGTAAACATACTCAACCATGGATTTAAAGCGACTATTTTGCAGTCCCCAGAATGCAAACAAATCTCCCACGAAATAATCGGAAAACGTGAAGGTGTTTGCACCGAATATCATGTAGGCGCCATAGTAAAGGATCGTGTCATAATAGTGATTGGCATACAACATCGCCGTGATAATCAAACCCATGCTTCGTACTACCATTTCCATCACCAAAACCAACATCTGGAACGATGGAACTGGAATTACTCGAAACCACCAGTGAATTCGAGGATGATGATTTATGGATAAATTGGCATTCAAAGTGCGGGAAAAACGTGCTTTGGCTTCAGAGACGATGTCCTGCAACATCTCGATCCAGATGAACGCGTTGGAGAAGTTTAAGTCATGGGTGGCGTAGTCGACTTCCATGATAAGAGTAGATGGATCACAAATGCGAACGTGCAGGAAACCACCTCAGAACCGATAACGAACCATGAAATTGCATTGAGGAGTAGCCAGCCAACAATTGAAAGAGGATAGACTGACCTATGCTGAACTATGGTAGCTGCGATTTGAAAATATTCTGTTATTTATGCCATTGTAAATTATTGCAACCATTGTTAATTACAGCCTTTTCAACATTGCAGCCATTTTCAATGCAATCGTCTCTAATAATGCCACCAACTCGTATACACTGCCATAGACCAATTGTAACTCTCCCTGCCAGATGAATGTTATTGAGCAAAAAGTAGAATCTGTCAACATTATTTCCCCAATTGCAATCAAGAGTATACATTCGAAGTTATTGTCATGATTCATAAAAGTGACCTCTTCTCTTCATTGAGACTCTTAAATAATATCATGATCCTGAACTTTCATGGCAGTAGCAATTGGTCAAGCGTAACGAATATAGGAAATACAGATGGCAGGTACGCTTGAGACAATCCAGGAATGCAAGTAACCTATTGAAGAGTGTACCCTGCTTTTTTTGGAATCTTAAAGATAACGGTAAAGACTCGACAAAACAGGACACACTCATTCCATTAAGCTCTTCCTTTTGTATTGAAAGAATAAGTTCAAATCACGAAATTTTCATGGTCCGCAAATCCACTTGATCTCGCACCCAGTGGTCGGTGCCCATCAGTCCAGTCTATACACCAAATCTCGTACTAATATAATGGGGATATCAGTGAAGCGAGACTATTGAAACACAAAGAATAGGTCAAAGATCGTAGAAGCTCGTAAACATCGAAATGAAAGATAGCCATGACATGTAATAGCAGATGAGAAAAAGTAGAAAGAAGCAGCCAAAAAAAGCTGAAAAAGTTCTTTATCGTATCTAACCAATGGAACGACCACGTAAACCCCAGATGTTTGTATAAATCCTCAAAATTAATGAAAAAGTATACCTAAGGTACTTTTGATTTGCAGCCATTCGGTTCCCTTTTTTTCGCGACCATATTTATGAGTCGCGCACGCCAATTCTCATCGCTTCTATTCTCAATCTTCAACCTCCAAACAACCACCACATGTCGGACGCCGAAGAAGCCTACAACGAGGGTCCAGAAAACTTCGACGACTTTGACCAGCCCGACCACTTTTCGGACGATGAGTTCCAGGAGCCAGAAGGTGATAATGATGCCCAAGCAGCCAACGGTGATGTGGAGATGAAAGCCGCCGATGGAAGAACAATTGTTAATGGAGGTTTGGGACCTGAAGATTCGTTACGTCGAGCAAAAACCGCCAAGGAGCTCTCGATCCCCAAGGAAAAGCGTACCACTACGCCATACATGACCAAGTATGAACGAGCTCGTATTTTGGGAACTCGAGCATTGCAAATTTCACTCAACGCTCCTGTATTGGTTGATATTGAAGGAGAAACCGACCCATTGCAAATAGCCATGAAGGAATTGACCCAGAGAAAGGTTCCGTTGGTGGTGAGGCGGTACTTGCCAGACGGATCGTATGAGGACTGGGGGTGTGATGAGTTGATAGTGGACCACTAGCATGTAAAATAGGAAAGAAAGAAGAGAAAAAAGGAAAAGAATAGTAGGAGAAGGAAAAAAGAGAGAAAGTAGACAGTAATAGTGATTTCGTGTTAAGTTGTTTGGTATGTTCATAGGGCTTAATTCATTAGTCTGAAAGCAGATAGCCTGATAAGCCAGTAAGTAGTAGTATAGTCATTCTGTCATTCTGTCATTCCATTGACTTACCATCCTTCTCTTTTTTTGTTCATTTTCTTCTCTTATTTCTCTCATTCTCTCTTTTACTCAATATACGCATTGATCCACTTTGAAGCCATAAACAACTTCTTTCCATCATTTTGTTCTCGTATAAACCCATCCACAAGTTTATCAAAACGAGCTCTTTCCAAGCGATGGTCACCCGAGCCAATGCCTCCCAACTGTACCGAACAGCACGCATCTTTGAGCTGGTCAACATCAACTACAATATCGTTATTTTTTGTGTCTTCGGAGAACACTTTTACCGCTTCGTAGATTGCTGTTACATCGCCAAATTTTTGAACTTCTTCAGCTATGGTGCTCAGAAACAGATTAAACGTAACTTCGCCGTTAGAACCAATAGATAACATTTGTTCAAGCTCCTTATTTGAAGGAGTTGCAAGTCCCAAAGATTGGTGCAAATGAACCAAATCTTCTTTTGTGATTTTGGAGTCTCGAGAATCGCCGTCTATCAAGGTGAAGGCATTCCGAAGCTGTGTCTTTTGGGCGGGAGTGAGGGTGCGGAGCGCCAGCATGGTAGGGGTGGATTATCTGACAAATGATGATAATGTAAACATCGCGAGCGCGAAATGATTTGATCGATTTGAATCGTGAAATCGAATCGATATACTGGGATAATTGACTGGATAACACTATAAGCTCTAGGGTGGAGTGTACGGAAAGAGTAGTGTTAGAATTCCGGATCAGAAGCTTCAAGCAGAAAACTTCAAGCACAAAGTGAACCAAACCAAAATTCGAGACGTGTATAAGAGTGAGATAATATCAAGTGTATTGAAAAAACAGAAAAAATTCATTACTGAGGGTCAGAAAACTCACACAGCACCACAAACAACTCGTCTTTGCAAAGCATAAAAGAATTTGAATTTTTACTTTGTTTTCACCTTGTTCACCAGCTATAATCCACCTATCGTCAATTCTTTAACCTCATTGTCACCTTTATACTTTATCCTCATTAACATGGAGCTCTACAATGAGCCAATTGTCATCGACAATGGCTCGGGAACCCTTAAGGCTGGGTTTGCTGGCGAAGACAAGCCAAAAGCTTTCGGATCTGCCATCGTAGGCAGACCAAAGTACCAGCGAATAATGGCTGGGTCGCTAGGAGATGATACAAAATGGCGAACACAAGACGAGGTTTTGGTTGGAGAAGCCGCTCAGAACAATCGTGGGCTTTTGAAGCTCAATTATCCCATTGAACATGGAATTGTTACAAACTGGGATGATATGGAAAGACTTTGGTATCACACATATACTCAAGATCTCAAGGCTGTTCCTGAAGAACATCCAGTATTGATCACAGAAGCACCATATAACCCACGAGCGAACCGAAACCAAATGTGCCAGATCTTTTTTGAGCAATTCAATGTTCCTAGTGTCTACGTTTCCATACAAGCTACCTTGTCGCTTTATGCTTCTGGGAGAACCACGGGAGTAGTGGTGGATATTGGTGATGGAGTAAGCCATGTTGTTCCCGTATATGAAGGCTTTTCGCTTCCTTCTTCCATAAAACGCATGGATATTGCTGGACGAGATATAACCGACCAATTGGCTTTGCTCGTTCGACGAAATTCCGGGGTTGTTCTCCAGTCCAGTTCCGAGCGAGAAATTGCTCGTCTAATGAAGGAAAAGTGCTGCTTTGTCTCGAAAGATATTGTTAGAGACGAAAAGTTGTATTCACCAGGATTGCTTCATGCTGGCGTAAGCACCACTTCTGAACTTTTGGCCGAATATAGACTTCCAGATGGTCATGTTATCCACCTTGGATCCGAGCAGTTCAGAGCTCCCGAAATCCTTTTCAACCCACAGCTCATTGGCGAAGAAACTCCCGGTATCCATCGACTTACTTCTTTGGCAATTGCAAAAACCGACTTGGATCTTCGTCCAACCCTTTATCAAAACATTATCTTATCTGGAGGCACCACACTAATCCGAAACATTGGCGAGAGGCTCTTGAATGAGTTGAAAGACGAACAGCAGCAATCTGGGACCACTTTGTGGAGCTCAAAGAACACTACGTTGGCATATGATACAAAAATGAAAGTCAAGATTTTTGCTCCACCTGAACGCAAGTATACTACCTGGATAGGAGGCAGCATTCTTGCGGGGTTGTCGACTTTCAAGAAGATGTGGGTGACTGCGCAGGAGTACGCCGAAGACCCGGATATTGTCCACAGAAAGTGCATGTAGAAGAAAGATCATCAAAAACGGAATTTGAAAGAATCAAAAAGCTAGTTGAGAGTCAGTCAGGCAGAATTCTTAGGGTTCAAGGTCAGAACTTAACGAACTCAAGTCCAAATTTTTCAGAGAACCATCCAAGAACCGATACATCAGAGAAATAATGAAGGCATTGCATTGAGGTACCAACTTAGAGCTGCTATCGTCATGAATAACTAACCAATTACATTCGAAAATCTGACTGATTCTAACAGATCAATTAAAGATGAAAACTGTTCTCGACTCAAATGAGTAGCCGTGGTCATGTGGATTATACACAATAATATCTATCGCCAAAATCACCCAATCCTGGCACAATGTACTTGTTTTCATCAAGTTTCTCGTCAATGTCTCCGGTGATGATTTTTATGTCGGGATACTTTTCTTGGAAAGCTTTTATTCCTTCGGGAGCCGCAAGCAAATTCAAAAAGAAGATTCTGTCCATTTTGACACCTCGATTCAACAACACCTCGACAGCCATCATAGCAGAACCTCCGGTAGCAAGCATGGGATCCAACAAGAAAACGTACCTTTGACTTATATCTTCAGGCAATTTTTCATAGAACAACTTTGGCAATGCAGTTTCTTCGTCTCTTTGAATCAAAATTTTGCCAATTCTCACCGATCTACAACAGTCTCTAAGACCCATTTCCATGGATTCTCCAGCACGCACAATCGATACTCCACAAATCTTACCGAGAAACTTGGCACCTTCGTACTCGTAGTCACCATGACACTTAATTGTAGCCTTTTCTACAGGCAATTGGTTCAAACCCTCTTCCACCAAAAGACGAATTATTCTATCAGAATAGAAAACAAAGTCTCCACGCTTAGTTTTTTGGTCTCTGATGATCGAGTATAAACCAATAAGCTGGTTTGTTTGTTGTAAAAGAATCACGTTCTTCGACGTTTCTGCCATGATTGATGATCTTAGCGCGATGAGATGAGCATTGGTGATGTACGCTGGTGTATTGATGGGACAGAGACAAGAATTGTGGACAAGAAAAAGCTGGGGAAAGAAGAATAGAAAGCAATCTATGCTTGGCATCTACCTTTCTTGTTTTCTTTCCTTTATTTCCTCTCCTTTCTCTTTTTCCTTTTTTCTTAACTTTTTCCTTTCTTTATCTCTACTCGTAATATACATCTATTCTTGTACAAAGGGATTATCTATCTCTTCACTTCCATCGAAAGGTCCCAATGTGAGCAACGACGTACCCCTAACTACCACACGACCAAACTTTCTCTTCTTGGCTGGCGCATCTTCGGCTGCTGTTAGTATTAAATATTGAAAAAAAGTATTGAATGTCAAAATAAAAAAGTTAGAACGTACCTGTGATGGTCTCTTCCACATTCTCCAATACAAGGTTCATCAATTGGTCAAATCCAGTCAAAACACCGGTGATTTGACGACCACCAATAAACTTGACTCTGACTTTCTGGTCCTTATATTTGTTCAAGTCCAAGATGGCTTCTCGCTTGGGTCCATCATGCTTGGAATTGTTGTTGCGCCTCCTGTTCTGGTTCTGATTCTGACCCTGGTTGGTATTATGGCCGTGATTATGGCTTAGGTTTTGGTTCTTTTCTTTGTTCTGGTTTGACTGAGACGTTAGTATTTAACTGTTGGGAAAGATGGGTGCGGTTTGGTGAGATTATATGAATTCTTAAGGCGCTAGGAGCATATATAGCCCGTTTCAGCGCCTGGAGTAGCCTCAAAGTCGGTTTGTACTTACCTCCTCCATGATACTAAAGATGATTCCAACGACGAGTTTTCGTTGCGACTTTGTTCCTGCAGACAAGAGTCTGGGGAAGAGAAATGGTAGGACAAGAATGGGAAAAGGGATGAAGAAAAGGGTGAAAATGGTTTATTTGGCGATAGATTGAGCTACCAAATACCCTAATCCTCTGATATTGGCTCCACAAGTTCTTTATTTGTTCTTTGAGTTACTGTAGAATGAACCTCTCACCTGCAGTCCCAACCACCGCGATATTTGAAATTGCAAATTGCAAATTCAAACTTTGGTATGGATTTCAATATTTACGTAACCTCTTATTTGACGTCTTCCGAGAGGCGGATCTCGCCCCAGTGGGACCTTGCGTACCTCAAACGACGCCTAGAAGGAATAACCGGTATTCCACCCTCGGATCAGACACTTCTTCATTATCCAACATCTACCTCAGACGAAGTTAGAATACTTTCTGATGGTCAAAAATACTCGGAAGAACGTGACCAAGCCACCAGAGTGCTGGACCTCAATATAGCTCCATACAGTCGTGTACATGTTACGGATATCACTGGAAATACTGACATGAACTTGGACGAAGAGAACGAACAGAACGCGGGTTTTGAGCTTTCCGAAGAAGATTACGCAAAGAGAACCGACTCAGTCCTCAATTGGAAGCGGGAAAACAAATTGGGCCGGTTTGACCCTACAGTGGAACAACAACGGCAAAAAGAGGCGGCTCAGAGCGAAGAACTCACATCAAAAATGACCGTCGGCGATCGTTGCCGCGTCATAAGCATACAAGGAGAACGTAGGGGAGTCGTTCGGTTCATTGGAAAGATCCAAGCACTCGATAAAGGCGAAAATACCTGGGTTGGAGTGGAGTTTGATGAGCCTGTAGGCAAGAACAATGGTGCCATTGGAGACGAACAAATTTTCAGTTGCGGTCCTAAACACGGCAGCTTTCTCAAACCCAAACAAGTGGAAGTCGGCGACTATCCTCCCATTGATCCGTTTGAAAGTGATGACGAGTTGTAACCACCACCTATAATTTGCAACCGGGTATACCGATTACATAAGCCGCACCATCGATCTCAATTCGGTTCCCGTAACTTCCATAAACCAACATAACAACAATGTTTGAGTTTGTTTTTGATTATGTTGACCGCGACGAGTTCACAAAGTACATACGCTTGCTCATCATCGTGTCGTGCTACATTCTCTTCCGCAAGTACTACACAAAGTACGCTTCGCTGAAACTTATCAAGCGCCAATTGGAGCAGGACAAAAAGGAAAAAGAAGAGAAACCGGCTCGAGACAGTGCTGAGCGTCAAGCTTTGCACGATAAGTTGGCTGCGGAGGCGGAAACGATTGGGTGGGGAAAGAAAACAAGAAAAAATGTCCAGGTGCACCAGCTGATTTTGGAAGCTCAGGCTGCCGAGCTTCGTGAGAGACACCAAACTGCGTACGATGCCGCCGAGGATAATGATATTGAGGATTTGCTTGAGGATTAGCCAAGGACTAATTAGTGGATTGAGTGGATTGATAGTGGGTTTGAAGGTGATAAACAGGTAAGAGGTGAAAAAGGAAAAGAATTGTAATAGATGTATGAAGTAAACACGTTTAGAAGAGAAGCATCACGAAAGAGAGGAGCCTTTCATATCTATGTATCGTAGTTTTTTATGATAGACCTGGTCAGCTCCTCTTCATCTCATCGCGCACGTGACTTCTCACTGCGTGAAAATTTACAATACATCAACTATCTACTTTCTAATGGCAAAGGACCGTCTTCCGACCGAATCCGGGCGCAAAAGAAAGCAGAATAATCATATAGGGTCGCGTAAACAGGCCAAAACGACAAAAACAACCACCCCTGCCACGCAAAATGACGAAGAAATTTCCGGTGTAAGCAGTTCCGAAGACGATGAGTTTGGGTCCAATGGTTCCGAAACCGAAAATATAGAGGAGAATTCCGAATTGTCTTCCGACGAGGAGTTTGCGGCCGAGTCTGCCGCCGACAAGCGCCGAAGATTGGCCAAACAGTATTTGGAAAACTTGAAAGAAAACGAATTTGGAGACGATGATTTTAATGCCCAAGATTTGGATGATGATATTGTTTCTAGAAGGTTACAGGTGGATGTAGCTGAGGGAAAAGGGTTCATATACAAGTTTCTCGGCGACAAGTTGGAGGCACAGATAAACGAGGTGAATGCTATTAGTACCAGAATTGGAAGCAAGAATGTCACTGGAGTTAGTGTACGGTATCCACACCTTTATACTGTATCCAAGGATATGGAGCTTGTCAAGTGGGACGTGGAAAAGAAACCACAGCGAGTCAAACATACTAGAGGAGGCAGAAAACACATCAATTTGCGCAGGGAGCAACATATGAACCACCACTATGATCAGATTAATTGTGTGGCAGTTTCGCCCGATGGAAAATATGTGGTTACTGGAGGAGCTGATGGTCGTCTTATTATCTGGTCGTCAGAAAACCTTGTCTGCTTAAAGGTTCTTGAAGTTAGAAGTTCCATAAATTCGATCACATTTCGTCGAGGAACAGACCAGTTATACGCAGCATGTCTGGATCTCCGGATTCGAACCTATTCGATCAACCAGTTTGCCCAGCTCGAGGTGTTGTATGGACACCAGGATACAATCACCGATATTTCGTCTTTGGCGAGAGAAACCTGTGTTTCCGTGGGAGCTCGCGACAAGATGGCCATGTTCTGGAAGATATCGGAGGAAAGTCGTTTAACTTTTCGAGGAGGAGATTCTATGGAGAAAAAGAGAAAGAATGAAGAAACACCAATGTATGCCGAAGGCTCCATAGAAGTGGTGTCTATGAATGATGAATCTCACTTTGTTACAGGGTCCGATAATGGAAATGTATCGCTTTGGTCTTTGGCCAAGAAAAAACCATTATCCACCCACAGAATCGCCCACGGAATCCAACCGCAACTTACACCAGAACAAGCTAGTGGAGAAACCCATCCTGAAGCTTCGTTGGTGGTTCCACAGCCGCAACCTTACTGGATCACCGCCGTATACGCCGTACCATATTCGGACATTTTTGTCACTGGATCTTACGACGGAGCCATCCGAGTGTGGAGAATCGAAAGAGAAACGATGCGGACGTTCAAATTGGTGGGAAGCGTGGCGGTTCGTGGATGCGTGGTGGGTTTTGATAGTGTGGAGTTGAAGGGTAAATTGATCATTTACGCTGTACTCAGTAAAGAGCATAAGTACGGCCGGTGGATCAAGGTGGCAGGACGAAATAGTCTTGTGTCTATAGCATTTGATATATAGTTGCATAAACGATAAGAAAACAATTAAAAGGCGGCTTCATCGTCTCCTTCGTCTATACCATCGTCGTCTCCATCATTAAAGTATTTTTCAGCATTATAATCGTCGTCTTCGTCTTCTTCAAACTCATCGTCCATATCCGGCTCCTCCTCTCCGTTGTCTTGTATGCTGGCGTCACCATCTTCCAAATTGTCTGCCAATTCTTTGAGTTTTTCAAGCTGTGCTTGTACACTGAGTTCATGGTCATTTTGATTAATTTCATACTCTGCAAGCCCGCCATTGTGCTTGAACGATGATAACGAAAGTAGTCTCTTTTGCTTGTTGGAAATTCCCATCACCAGGTATAATTCTTCAGGAAAGTATTCGAGTTGATATGGGTGTTCTTCGACGGTTCTTCCGATCTTTTTGACTGGTTTATACTTGTCTGAATGTCGCTCTATGCCGTCCAGCGATGTGCCTACGAGTGGTTTGTCCAAGGACTCTACGTTGCCCGTAAAGAAGGGTCCGTTGACCAACAATTGTGAAAAGGCCATGGCCTGTTTCGAGGCATCGGATTCGTTTTCCAAAAGTGGCCAATTTACCGGAAACTCGAGGGTAGGAGTTGCGGACCCTGAGGACGAGCTGGTGATATCGCTGTAGTCTAGCCCAAAAGGAAGGAGGGTTCGGGCATTATTCCTGCCAAAAGACATAAAGAAGTGGTGATGGAGATCCTGCTGGATGCGAAAAGTTTGTGGTGCATGGGTGCAAAGAGAGCAGAGGAAGAGAAAAGGAGAGATAATAAGTAAGGGAAAAATGAAGAGATAAATAACATACACAAAGATTGAATGAAGACGAGATGAATTAATGCGTATGGGCTTACCTTTTTGTTCTTTCTTCTTTTTTTTTTCTTTCATTTTTCTTATTCTTTCTTATTCTCTGATCTCTTCCACCCGTGCACCAGATCGCCGCAAGCCGCACTCGATCACAACACAACTATCAACATCACAGCCTCAACCTACAAATGCTCCAAGACGATTTTAGTGACCAAAGTGGCGACGATTTGGATAATATTGGCCCCGGGGAACCCAAATCTGTGGTAGAATCTGCAAATGGAACATTGGTGATAATTGTTTGTAGAGGAAAACATTTACCAAACCGAAGAAAACTTGATAAACAATCGCCATATGTCTCTTTGAGACTAGGAACAATAGCCAAAAAGACGAGCGCTCATTTCCGGGCGGGACAAACTCCAGAGTGGACCCAGGAGATTCGGTTTGAGTTGGAAAGAGACAAGAAACCCATATTGAAAGTCGATGTTTTGGACGAAACTAAAGGTGAACCAACGCCAATTGGTTCTGTTGAGATCGATTGTGCTGTTCTCTTTGCTGAGGAGAGGTGTCAGGACGGAAAATATATCTTTGATCAGTGGCACGAGTTGATGTTGAATGGAAAAAGAGCCGGGATGATTTATTTGGAAATGACATTCTACCCCAGTTCTCCACTTCTTCCTCCCAAATTGCCAGCTAAGACTTCTGGTTCTTATAGCGTGGGTTCCACGTCCGTGTCGCCGAGAAAGCAGCTTCCTGCTCCTCCTGTACACCCTTCACAGCTGCGTCCCAAGACGGTAGCCGACGATATATTTGTCACTTCCGAGTACGAAAAGAGTCGAAAACACTCATTTTTCGGCTCGCCATCTCCCAAAGAACTCACCACGTCCACAACCAGTGATCCTCTGGAGGAAAAAAGTCCCAAAAAAGCCGGTCGTTTTGCCAAACTCAAATCCAAGTTTCAGTCTAAAGAGCCCATATCGCAGTTTTGGGACCTTCCAAAGAAACGAGCAGGACTGCCCAAACGACGCTCCGACTCGCCAATCAGCGAATATGGCTTTGACGACGAAATCGAGCCGTACCCAGCTATGGGCCTTTACAACGACGAAGATATCCCGCCACCTCCTCCACCACATAGTGTCTGCGATATGCCGCCACCCACGCCCCCACACTCTACCCATGGCCAGACACCATCATATAACCAGAACCTCTCTGTCAGTCCTGATCGGCGGCCTCGCAGTCCGCAGAGAAAACCTCCACAAACAATAGACCTTCACCCACCAAATCACTCACCTAACCATACAACTGAAACCACCCTTAAAGGCACTGCTCTTCCGTTTTCAGCAGACACAATTGGCATTGAAGACGACGACGAGCCGCTTCCCACAAAAGTGTTCTTATTGGGCGAACAAATCAAGTCCTTAAGCCACTCTGGAAACCACACCGAGCACAAAGCCGCCGACCCAAATCATATTGATCCCAAGTACTATGCCCCCACGCCGTCTGAGCACTTGGCTACCACACTCCGACTCCAGAATGGAGGTGTAAAAAAGGAAGACGTTGCTGTGGATCTCAGAACTGACGAAACCGGATACTTGGGAGACGGAAAATGGAAACAAAGATTTTCCCCTTCTGTGTTTGACCGAGCTATGGAGCACGATGAGAATCTTGGATTTGAGCACAAGCCCAGAGTTCCGCCAAAAATACCTCGAGGGATGTCGGAAATGGAGTATTATGTGTTGGAGAAGGAGAAGTTTTTGAAGGACCTCAATGGCAGGCGAGCGTAAACGACAGAAGACAAATAAAGAAGCCATAATCTATTTAAGGTTCATTATCTATATATATGAGTCTACGACTCATATAGGTCTACGTCAATCAAGCGTAAGTATTATTGGATATCTAGTAGTAGTTACAACGTTAAAAGATCTATGGATCACAAAAGAGCAGCAGCCAAACCCACAAGGCCAAGAGCAACTCCGGCGGTGGCTTCCATGTGAGCAGCACCACCCTTTGACGACGTTGATGCCGCCTTTGTCAGTTGTGCAGTGGTCGATTCAGCAGCCACAGTCGACAAAGAAGACTTGGACAACGTCTTGGTGTGGGATTTGGACGAGTGAACTGAAGTGGAGTTTGCCCAAGTCGAGTTGGAGATTGCATAGGGAGCCTTTGTCAGAGACGCCGTGGCGTTACGAGAAGCCACGGCCACCACGCCTTTAAACCCGTCAAGGGTAGGCTTGGCCTTGGCCGAAGCCACAGAGGCAGCGGAAGCGGCCGAAGCGACGGAGGCAGCCGAAGCAGCTGCGGCAACAGAAGCAACAGAAGCAGCCGAAGCAACAGAAGCGGCAGACTTAGCAGAAGCCGCGGAAGCAACAGAAGTGGCCGAAGCAACACTGGCTGCACTGGCTGCAGAAGCTGCAGAAGCTGCAGAAACGGAAGCTGCACTGGCTGCAGAAGCACTAGCGGCCGAAGCAGCACTTGCTGCACTTGCAGCACTGGCAGCGCTGACCGAGGAAAGCGATGCGGCAGCCACTTTTGCCACTGAAGCTGCCGAAACCGAGCTGACGGAAGCGGCACTAGCAACTGAAGCAGCGCTTATCGATGATGACTCTTGAGGAGTGAGCAAAGTTTTGGTGACGGTGATCGTCAGAGTGAGAGTGCTGTCATCTGCAGCGACAAAACCAACCAAAGAAGCGGCCAAGACGGGGAAAACGGCGGCGTTGAAAAGCATGATTTTCAAAGTTTTTTGCAGCTTGATATTAAGGAAAGACTAGGGTAGGTAAGGAACGTACGTCAACAAGAAGATTCGAGCGACAAAATTAAGGAGTACTTTAAGCTGGGCTAATGAGTGAACGAAGGAAAAAAAAAACCAGAAAACGTACAGTTGATGACTAAATAAACAAATTGCAATAGCCGTTCGCGATTTGTTTATGGTGCAATGCATATGCATAGTTTCGTAGCGCGGACCGTGCACCCGAGCGGGTTTACGACATTGCCCCATTCGGTAGGTGTTTAGCCCTTTTAGGGTTGTCATATGCACGGTGGTTGGGTGTATATGCAGCCGCGTCGCTAGACTGTGGCGACATCGTCTCGAAACGGCGCGCCGTTTGTGGTGGAGTGCATGCCACCTGCCAGATTCAGACTGTACTTCATTATATCGCCGTATTGGGAACCATTGTTACTTGACAAGTTATTGATTGGTTCACCTTTAAAACAATAAGCGATGCGATCAAATAGTGTCGCGTGGTGTTACGGATCAATGGCCAATTGTAGTAAAGTATTGTGTATTTCTGATTTTTCCAAAAACGGCTTTTTCAGATTTGGTTGATTTCTGGCCAGAAATGGTGAATGCCGTGCACCTAAATGATTATCATCAACCGGCTAATTCGTGGGATTTAGTGGTGGGATTTTGTTGTCGATGCATTGTGGTAGGCGCACGATATTTTCTACAAAAGTCCCGTGATTTACAATCACGTGACTCTCTCTCTTTACTTCATTCTCAAATTTTTCATCTCTCAATCCTCCATGTCTCGTTTGATACGGTTTTCCACTGGGGTTCGGGCTTATTCCCAAGTTCCCTACGAGTCTGTGCCCAGAAACAGATACAACGCCAAGCGCTCAGCATTTAATTTTAAACCTAACCCCACCCACGGCTTGGTTCACAATCCACCAGCGTCGGCACCTTCGTTGAAAAAAACTCCTAGACCATTTTTACCTGCCAAAGATCCTCGGATCAGCGTTCTCGCGGACACATACAAGGTATACTCTCCGGAAGAGTTGCAAGATATGCCATTGATAGTAGGATATTCTCAAAATAGAGACTACTCTGTTGATGGAGAAACAGCGTTAAAGATTCAAAAATTACGAAATGAAAATCCTGGTCAATGGACTATAAGCAAATTAGCCAAAGAGTTTGGTATTTCGCAGAAAATAGTAAATGTTATTGCGGGCACCAATATTCAACGTCGCAAACAACTCGATGGTGAGAATTTGCAACTACAAGCAAACTGGTCAAAGGACAAAATTCAGGCCAGAGAAGACCGTAGGAAGCGGGTACAGATGTGGTTGCGCAACGAATACTAGTCATAAATAACGAATGAAGGGTGTACATAGTAAATTTAATCGTATGCATTATACTACACTATGGTACACTAATGTACACTTTGACTTTGGTCAAAGATATGATACAGATAATTACTGCTTAGCTTGCTCCTTTTCCAACTCTTCCATGGTCTTCAAGTCCAATTCGTGCAACGACAGTTGAAAATGAAGTTTGAACTTGATGATCGAATTGATTATTCGCTCCACATTATCAAGTAGAAGCTTGCGGTCCTTCTTAATACTATGCTTCACTTCTTCGTATTCCATTTGCACGCCTTGGTATCGGTTTTCTGCCTCGATGATGCCTCGATTGGTATTAATTTTCATTGCTCGAAGATCTCTCTCGAGTCGTTCAATCTGCTCAGAATATGCCATAGACTCGGCAGTTATAGAATCGTACGTTGCTTTGTATGTAGCCTTGCTGGCTGTGAGCTTGGCTTGCAAGTTATCGGCACTTTCCGTCTGCTCTCTGACCGTTTCAGATAGCACATCTATCTGATCCTGTAGTCGACTGAGTTCGTCTTGATATTGATGTATACGGGTGCTGATATTCAGCCTGAATTCAACGAGACTTGCTTTTTCGGCCTTGAGGTCTTTGTCAACGATTTGTTCTGGTTTCAATGGTTCGGCGCTGGTCAAGATATTGGGCACCACGGCGATATCAAACTCGTGCTCGGTTGGTGGCATGCGGAACACCATGGCGTTATACAGTACAAGAAGGTTACTGAGACTCTCGTGGTGTTTCGTGAGCTCAATTTCGCGAGTACTGACTAGATTGGCGGTTTCTTGGGCTCTCGCAGCCACCAAATCAACCTGTTTCGATAACTTGTCACGCTCGCTGTTGAGACGGTCAATATCGGAGATCAGGAAACCACGTTCTGTAATCGAGGCTTCTATCTCGCGCTTGGACGTTTCTAGCTGAGCACGCTCTTTATCGCAAGTATCGATTTCTCGTCTTATCTTGTCAAGAACGTCGCTCCATTTTGATTTCCGAGACTCCATCATCTCTATGTATGCCTTGAACTTGATCAAATCGCTCTCGAGCGCCCGGCCCTTGTGCACGGCGTTGTCTACGGCCGACAATTGGCCCTGGAGCTCGGAATACCGCAGGGCAAGTGAGGAGTTTTCTGCAGTGATGCGATCTATATCCTGCGAAGTGCGGTCGTTGAGTTGGTGGAACTTTGCTTCGAGCTCGGCGTACTGCTGGGAGTAGTCGTCCACGCCATCGATGTAAGCCAGGTACGCTGAGCGCATATACGAGATGTAGATTTTGTCAAACTCGTCGTCAGCAGTTAGGTACAGGTCGGGATTGACGCCCAGCGACAAGAGGATGATCTTGACGAGCCAGTAGAGCACGCCGAGGAACGCGGGCCAATTCTGACCTCCAACGGCCGAGATCTGTGACCGGTTGATGGTGTCCAAGTATGGATAATTGAGGATTTTTAGGAGCAGAAACACCTCTGTTTCAATGCTTCGTGTGAAGCGGTAGCATGGATCGAGCTTGTTATACAAGAACTGGAAGATCACCACAAAATCTTTCTGGGTGGGTTGACGAAGGGTTTTTGTGGTGAGTGGATGATTTGATTCCAACTCGAATTTGTTGGCCAGCAAAAAGTCGTGGATTTCGTGTTGGAGCAAAGCCTGGTAATTACGGTCACGAAGCGGACGAGGATCGAGGCGAGAATCCGAAGCCAAATTAGTTCCAGAACCAGTTCCAGACCCGGTTCCCATCAGACTTTGGCGTCTTTTGGACGCGGGAGTGGATAACAAGGAAGGTCTTTTTGCGGGAATTGCATCTAGAATCGAGTTCCTGGGATTGGAAAGGACCAGGGAACGGGCGCCTGCAATGGAAAGACGACCGTTGCCCCTTCGTAAAAGCGACAGCGGCGGCACCAGGCTCATGAGAATGTTTGTTTATGCGAGTGCAGGAGAAATGAGAAGAGGGTGCAGGGTGGAAGTGAGAAGTTATCTGCAGTAGTTTGGGGTTGCCTGCAGTACGTCTGATTTTCGTGGCCCCTGCGCGCGCCGCCCAAACAAACACCAGATTGGCGATAGGTTTACGTTAGTGTACGGAAATCGATCATTTTTGATTTTGGACGCTACTAGTGTGTTTGTGTAGTGGTAACTAGTGTCCGTGCAAAGTTTCCGTACTTGGAGTTGTATTTAGCGTGACTTTTCCGGCCCACGTTCCTCCTGCTGGTTCTATATTTACGAACAAGTTTTGCTGACGAAGGATAGACGGTCGGTTAAGCAAGATAAAGTGAGATAACTGAGAAGCAGACGAAGTCAGACGAAGTCGAGAAGTATCGAAAGAAGAAAAGGATTAGTGACTGAGAGTTACAGAGAAGTCAAAGATAGCATTCACCGGCAGAGAGTTACTAAGGACTATTCTTGTAGTCGAGAGAAACATTGATAGGTAACAGCGACAGAAACTACTGACAACTGACAGAATCTACTGACAGAATTACTGACAGAAATTACTGACAGAAACTACCGACAAACACCTGACAGAATCTACTGGCAAAGTACTGACAGAAACATTGATTGGTATTAGTGACAAAATCTACTGACAAATAACTGACAGAAGTCATTGACGGAATCTATTGACAGAAATTACTGACAAACTACTGACAAAAACATTGATTAATATCACTGACAGAAATTGCTGAAGGGTATCACTGACAGATATTTACAGAAACTACTGAAGATTATTGACAGAAACTATTGACAGTACTGACTGTGGACTCAACAAGCAATATCTGACAGAACTACTGACAGATATTTCCAGTATTACTGACAGTTTACCGACTGATTTCTGACTCAATACTGACTTGTTAAAAGAGTTCAACAAACCACAACCACGCGATCACCACTAAATCACCAGCTTATTCATACCATTGCATCATGTCCATTAACGACCCAAAGTCGCCAGTGTCATCGCCTACGCCAAAATCGGTTCGTATGGACGCACCGTCCACTCCTCCGCGCCATAAACGGCTCTCGGCCACCTTTCTTCAAACCCCCGACCTGAACTATGACCAGGTTCCCTACTCGCCGTCCTTGAAAAGAACAAGCTCTGGAAGCTACAAGTCCCCCGACGACAAGCTCTCGTCGCATAATGTGGCGTCGCCGGCGCCGGGGAATATGCTCAAGACTCCACGGCCCTCTGGCTATGATTCTGACGACCAAATAGAGCCTCGGAAAGTCCCGAAAACTCCCCAGTTTTTCTCTCCTGCCAAAAAACTCTTTAATGATGACGACCAGCCGCCCGAACTTGCGGAAATTAGCCTGCAACTCCGGTCTCGTTTGAGCTCAGCAATGGGAAAACTCCAACAGAATAAGCTGTCGCCTACAAAAGTCGACTTGGTCGATTTGTCATTTACATCCACGGTATCCCCGTCAAAGAAACTCAAGGTCAACGGACGCCTTGCTCATAGCGCACCGCTGTTGCCCCAGGGCAGTCCTACTCGGCACACAGACGTTTCGGAATCGGTGTCGCAGCCGACCAATCTTAATCTCCAAACACTTCAGCATTCTCCCGTGCCTCGAGGCACTTCTTCATTTCCACATTCGCCCCAGCCCGGCCTCAAACAGTCGCCGCAGTTCGCAGACCAGGAGCGGGTGATAAACGTGCCGTCGCCGGACGAGGAAGCCAGCGCCCATAATGCCCTTATAGCTGCAATCTCCAGACAAAGACGTAAATCGAGGACATCATTTTCGTCAGCCGAGAAACGACGGCTGTCGTCGATAACTGAGGCGCCGCTCGGCCTCAACCTTCCTCCTATAAACATGCCTTTGAAACAGGACAAAAAACCCATCAACGAGCAGGACGCAGTGTATTCTCTCATGTCGCTTCTGTCGCCGCAATCGATGAAGTTTGGCCACAGTCGATCACAAAGTTTGAACAATAACACCACGTCGACGTCGTCGTCGCGGTCTTCGTCGGTGGTGAGTCCTCAACTGTCAACGGTGTTGCCGCCTATTAGTGGACTCATCAATACGACATCGGCATCAGCTTCTACAGGCTACAATAACGATAATGACGCTACCGATATCGAGAATGATTCTACGGACGAAGACGTGAGCGGGCCCGAATAGTCCAACGATACGTATGCATTTGCAACCTAATAGTGACGCAATATAGTATTTATTTTTAGACGTGCATCTGGTATTCCAATTTATATGCAAACCTGCTCCCCCTTTCGATACATTTGTGGGGAAGTTTCCGAGATCCTTTTTCATGGGTTTATTTGGCAAGTCTTCTCTACCGGGCCATCCAGCAGTAGAACAGACAATTGGTCTGTGGCACTTCCGTCAGTGCGGCGAGGCGAGCTGGAGAAACGCATCCACTTCCACCAATGGAAATCAAGTGCATCTTGACTTGTTGGAAAATGGCGATATTTCGGACCCATTTATAGATATGAACGAGAAATCCGTGCAGTGGGTCGGCGAAAATGACTGGGAGTACCAGACCACATTTGACGTCTCTGATGCAGCTTCTGCATGTTTGACGCACGAGATGCATTTTGACGGGCTTGACACATTTTGTGCTGCAGCTCTCAATGGCACCGAGATTCTTCGTTCGGATAACATGTTTCGGGGCTATGTCGTGGACGTGACGAAGCATATCAAGGAAAAGGACAACGAGCTCGTTCTTGTGTTCAAAAGTGCATTGAAAAAGGGAAGAGAACTTGAAAAAAAGAATGGAGTCCGGTTTTGCTCTAATGGTGAAACTTCTCGAGTTCACGTGAGAAAAGCTCAGTACCACTACGGATGGGACTGGGGACCACTTCTCATGACGTGTGGACCGTGGAAACCTGTTCGATTGGTTTCTTTTTCGGCCGGCAAATTCTTGGACTTTTTCCCTCGGTGCTCAGTGGACTCTGATTTGAAAGCTACGATAAATTTTGAAGTTGAAGTCGAGGTATCTGGGACCTCTACGGTATTTGTGGACATATTTGCACCCACGGGTGAGATAATTGACACTGTTGAGCAAAAAATTAAAAAGTCCGGTGTTGCAAATTTTAAATACAAATTGAAAAATCCAAAGCTTTGGTACCCAAAGGGGTATGGGGAACAATCACGGTATCGATTTTCTGCTCGGTTGGTTGATGGAAATAACTTTTTGCTCGACACCAAAGACAAATTAATTGGTTTGAGAAGAGCAGAGTTGGTCCAGGAAAAAGTTGCAGATGAAAAAGGTTTGTCGTTTTACTTTCGGATCAACAATATTCCAGTGTATTGTGCTGGAAGCAACTGGATTCCCGCTCACTCGTTCACTTGCAAATTGACAGAGAAGGACTACAAAGAATGGATGCAATTGGTGGACGAAGGAAACCAGAATATGGTGCGAGTTTGGGGAGGGGGAATTTATGAATACGATTGGCTTTATGAGGAGTGTGATAAACGTGGAATACTTGTTTGGCAAGACTTTATGTTTGGCTGTGCCGTTTATCCTGGAGACAAAGAATTTGTGCAAAATGTCAAAGAGGAAGTTGAGTATCAGGTCAAGCGATTGAGACAATTTTGCAGTATAGTGATTTATGCTGGCAACAATGAGGACTATCAGGTAGCGGAGCTGCTTGGGATCAGGTGGGATTCCAACGATCTGAAGAAAAATTATTCGAAAACAGAGTTTCCAGCTCGTACTTTATATGAGGTGGTTTTCCCCAAATTGGTGTCTTCCTTGACGGATGTTGCATACCACAAAGGGTCTCCATACAGTCCTGGACACAATATTCCCACCAGTGACCAGACTGTGGGAGACTTACACCAATGGAATGTTTGGCATGGAAGCCAGGAAAAGTACCAAGATTGGTATAAACTTGGAGGACGATTTGTTTCCGAGTTTGGCATGTTGGCGTTTCCCAACGTCAAGACAATTGACAAGTATGTCACTACGGACAAGGACAAGTATCCCCAGCTGGAGGTGATGGACCACCATAACAAATCGGACGGTTTTGAGCGGAGGTTGGCTCTTTACGTTATGGAGAATTTTCACGTCCAAGATATGCGATTGAAAAATTGGGTTTATATCACTCAATTGATGCAACTGGAATGCCTCGCGTATGCTTATAGGTGCTGGAGACGAAACTGGGGCCGGGACGGAAAAAGAGCCAGTGGTGGAGCGTTGGTGTGGCAGACCAACGATTGCTGGCCGGTGACCAGCTGGGCAATAATTGACTTTTTCCGGGTTCCAAAACTAGCATATTACGCTGTCAAGCGGGAGAGCCAGCCATTGGCTTTGGGAATATATCGAAACGAGGTTCGAATCGCAAACGAAGGAGAACCAGATTTGAGCAAGCAGACTCCATACCATGACTATGCTGCACGAGAATATTACGTTGATATCTGGGGAGTCAATTCTTCGTTGTTTGAGTTCCAAGGGGTGCTCCGGGTGGAAATCTACGACAGCGAAAGTGGAAACTTGGTCAAAAAGCTCAACGACAAGAATGTTTTATTGGCTGCAAATCAGACCACAGAGATTATTTCGCGGCTCCATTTACCAGATTTCAAGCAAGTTGTACTTGCCAAACTTGTAGGACAAGACGGTAACATTGCATTCAAGGCTGGTGACTGGCCGCAACCTCTCAAGTACATCAGATGGCCCGAAGATACAAAAATTGACGTTTTGGTTGCGGAAGATGGAATCGTGAAAATCACCGCGAACAAATTGGTCAAAGGTGTGGAGTTGATAACGGACTCGAAGTTGAACGATAATGGCTTTGATTTGTACCCTAATGAGACGCATGTGGTGTTGGCACCTGGAATTAAGGCGGGAGAAAAAATCGAGATCAATTACTTGAAATAAGTGAGAGGAAAATGGAAATTGAGAGATGTAAAAGATGAAAATGTAAGATGGAATCGTAAAAGATGGAATTGTGAAATTGGGAAAATAAAATTGAAAAATGTAAAATTGAAAATGTAAACCGAAAAGTGTAAAATGTGAAAAATAAGAAAAATACGAAGTATGAAAATAAATTTACGAAACTGTAAAGTGTGAAATATGGAATGTGAAAAATGTCGAATTGAAAGGTGTAAAATTGAAAGCATGAGGTGATAAGTGTAATATATCAAATGTAAAATATACAAAGGTGAATTGTGAAAAATGTAAGAGCTGAAGAATGAGATAAAAATGTAAACACGAAAATATAGAAAATCTAAAAAATGGAAAATTTCATAAACTTCATAAATCACAGAAATGAGAATTCAGAAACATGACGTCAGATGAATCAATTCCACGTCGTTTCTTCATCATATCCAATCGCACCACTGTCCATGTCAGCAGCCTGTGGAACTGCACAAAAGACTTCTTTCCTGCATACACCTATTGTAATCCGGACCTTGCGAATAGCGTTATCTGGTTTGCGATATGTGCGAAAGTAAATTCCTGCATCTAGGATATCGTCGCCTGTTCCGGCGCGACATTGCACGAAAAAAAAGAGAAATCATTAGATTAGTAATTTCTGCTATTGGCTACTATTTTACGTATAAGCAAGCTATAAATTTGGCGCTTGTTGCAAAATAATCTTGGAGGTGCAAGGAATACAAAACACACCAAAAGTCACCCAATAATATTAAACCAAACCAAAAACTTTATCGAACAGAATTACCTCAGAGACCAAATGGCGGTTTTACTTCTTCTTCACCCAACGGTGGTCACAGATCCCGCTCTAGCTGAAGCCAGCAAGAAAAAATGGATCCAAAATGACGAAGAAGTCACACAACACATCATAGATCGAGTCGCTAACAACATAGTGGAGGTGCCTCAAAATCACTACTCAAAAGTGGTTTACATCAACCCCAATGAGGCCCAGCATCGTGGGTTGCCAGCACAGACGATAGAACAAATATTTGGCTTTTTGAAGCCGGAGGGAAAATTTTGCGGTGACTTGCCAATTGACCAAAATTTGGATGCGATAATGTCGGGTTTTGTGGTGGAAGATGAACACTGGTTGAAGCCAAAACCGATGGCTTCGGTGGCGATTCCGCTTAGAAAGAAGGAAAAAACCGACAAAAATGAACCCAAAAAATTACCCATATTCAAAAAGCTCAACCAAGATCCGGGAATGACCGACACTTCTGCCAGCAATACCGACGAGGAAGAAACGGCAATCAAGCGGAAACTCGAGGAGTCCAAGTTGTCGTACTTTTCTGATGACAGCGACGGAGAAGATGACCTTGTGAACGAGGATGAATTGATTGACAATTCTGGACTCAACTACAATTTGGTGGTGCCCAAAAAATGTGAGCTTCCCAACGGAAAAAGGAGAAGAAAAAGCTTGTTAAAGATTGTACTTTGTGGACTCAAGGAAGTTGGAGGAAGAGCGAAAGACAATAGACAGAGAACATTACAGGATCAAATTCTTGGATCCATGGCTCAAACTGGCCACCAAAGAAGCTATTGAAATCGAAAAAAGACTTGCTAAATCGGTCAAATTCACTGAAGATGAACTTACAGAAGTCGATTTTACCGTGCAAGGAAAGACTGGAGGTTGTAACTCTTGTGCTTTGGGAGATGCTTTTCGCTGTGATGGGTGCCCATACTTGGGACTTCCACCTTTCAAGCCAGGAGAGGCAATCACCATTGATGGAATAGATGAGGACTGGAGTTAAGGAGAACAAAACAAAATGTTGAAAACTGGAATGAAAGAATGCTGAAAAAAGTCAACAGAACTCATCAGTATTTTATGATTAACATAATTTAAGAATCCACCAACATCTCTAACTCTGAGCTTATGGATTTAGACTTATGAATTAAGATCTTGGACTTAAGACTTTATGGACTTAACAACTTATGAAAGACTTATAATTTTTCTCATCACTGGAGGCCAAAGTTCTGGAATCTTATCTGTTGGTAAGCTAACAATGGAATTTGTTCATTTACGAAGTTGAATGGAATTGTGATCATGTTCTATGCAAAGACTCTGTCAAGTTTTCAGAGCCTAATAGTCCAATTTCAACCAATTTTACCAATACATGGGAATGATGTGTATGCTGAAGATTTGATTTTTGTTGGCTATCCGAGTAGCCATCTATTACCCGAAAGTTTAGAAAATTATTCAGAAAATTATTTAAGATTTACCTTTAGGGTATTTTATGTGCATGTATTTTTTCCATCAGATATTTTTCACAATTGTCTTGTGTGGTGGACAACCATCTTTCCTTCATCTTTTGCAATGTAACATTTACGATGGTTAAGCTTGGCGACCTCTCCTGTATGCAATTAGTAGATAGTTGTAGTATGAGAAGTTTTGAAATGATGGTGGGGGGCCATCGAGATGCAAGCCACCTCGTGCTAATGCGCGATCGGAAAATAGAACAAGTGAAGTTGCTGCCCCTATGGGTAAGTAAGGTGGCACCCATGCATGGTGACTAGCGAGACGTGCATAAAATAGATAACAACACAAGGAAAGATCTGCCTGGGTCTTATTCTGTTATGCCCGCTACATGCATTAAGAGATTGAAATATGCATATGCACCCATCAACTTGCATTGCATTAAAAAAGCAAAAGGTAACAAGTAACAAAACAATCTGCACCTGCATCTGCTGCACCTACACCTACATGATTTTTTTTTGTTTTTTTTTTAGTAGTAGTAGTTTGTCCAGATGCAACCTAGTTGATGCATTCTGCAATATGCAACTTTATATGTACATCCAATTCCTGCAACCTGCATCTACAACCCGCGACGAGCATACCGCCCGAAATAGGACGTGCGTCAAGGTCACTTGTATATTAGACAAAATTCCTTTTTGTCTTCACTAACAAAAATGGTAATAGTATAGTCGTAACCATTGCTATGTTTCATTTATGCTCAAAGTCCAATTATGAAATGGATGAGAGGGGAAAATGATTTTTTTCGCCATCATGCATGAATTTTTCGGCTTTTACGTACCTTATTGTATTAAAAGTCAATGCCCTTAGTTGACGTAACCTTAATAGTGTACGTCATGGGGATCTATCTGGCCCATTGTCTTTTTGTCGTCATGCATACGGATAAGGAGAGTCAATAGCAGGAGCCCTGCTCTAAGTACCAAACAGGTAATTCGGGTGCCGCACAGCCTTTGCGCATACGGCTGATGACGATAATTCCGAGGTGAGTTAGCCTTACCCACAGGTACGACCTACACCAAACGGCAGGCGTAAACGCAGGGCAACTTCAACCGAAGGTCGAACAAACTCATGTGAATAGAGTTTGAGGGGACACTGACGCACCCCCACTGACGTAAGCACTGGGCTACTATGCGATACGGGGCGAAGTCGAGGACGGATTAGTGAGACATGATTGCAACATTGAAGTTCGGAGTAGAATAGAATGTAGAATGTTGTGATTTGAATTTGGAGAGAATTGAAAAGTAGATTTTTTTATGTAATTTTGTTAAGCGAAAGACTATTATTGTAGAAGATAAGCGAGATAACCATACTAAAGCTAATAAGTGAAGAGTCAAAAATAAAAGGAAAAGTTAAGAGTCAAAAGTTGAAAGTCAAAAGTTGAATTGACTAAAATCCAAACAACCTAGAAATTCAGAATTGATCAAGGCTAGTAATTATTGATTAATAGCTAGTAATGATCTCACTAATAAAATTGAGAGCTAGAATTGATCTCACTAATTCAATTGATGTACAGTAAAAATTGATCAGATCGCTACAGTTGATTGGGTCAAGCTAATAACTCTCTACTTCTGAATAGGTGTATTAATGAACAAGATCATGAGTATTCATCGTATCAATAATCGTGAATGTTTCCATCAGTCGTCCGTATTACCGTATTATCTATAGAATCACACCTGGTGACTAGAATGAATAGGATCACGACTGATGAGGCATCATTGTCTCAAATGCATAACTGGCAAAGTTATTGGGTAACGAGCTGAACCTCGGCGGATTCGGATTGGAAAGATTGACATTTACGCTTGCTGGATTTGGAACCGAAATTGACTGCGACGCCGAAGGTGCAGATTGCATGCCGTTATCGTAATGGAACTGTGACGATCCCAATTCGGAGTTGTGGGCAAATGGAGACACATGATTGGTAGCATTAACTGCAGAAGAAAGCGGCGAGAGTTTTTCCTGGTGAGGAGCCAGCACCAGGACTTCCAGATTGAACCCGAATTGCTGAAATTGCGGCACCATCAACGGCATCCCGGCCATGCCTGCACCACCGGGGTTGGCTGTGTATGCCGGCATAGGAGCCATGAAGTTGGTATAGTGTTGATTTTGGTTTTGAGTTTGGTTTTGGGGCTGGTGTTGGTTTGGAGGCTGTTGGGGTGGTTGGTTTTGCTGAAGATACTGCTGCTGCTGCTGCTGTTGTTGTTGTTGTTGCTGCATCATTTGCATTTGCTGCGGCAAAACGTAGCCGTACAGTGCATCAGGAATAGGTGCATACTGCTGAATCAGCTGTAATTGTTGGTGCTTTGCAGCCTTCTGGCGGCACGCAGGACAACTTCCCTTTTTGCCATTGCGTCTTGGGGTGTACCAGTATCCCGGAAATCTCTTTGCATGGTTTGCCTTCTCCTCTTCCGCCAACCGGTTCCAATGCTCTTTTTCCTGCGGAGGTAAACTTCGCCACCGGCGACCCAACTCTCGTGAAACTTCCGGATTGGTTTTCACCTGCAGATCCTCATCCAAAACAGCCTGATGGTACTTCTGACGAAACAAAATAAACGCATTTCGTGGCCTTGGAATCCGATTATGATTACTCTTACAGGTGCATTTGTCAATCGATGGCGATGCCGAAGTGATCGCATAATGTGAACCAACCGAAGTGGGGGCGCCACTAGCTCCACTGAAACTGGACGCTGGTGTGGTCCTAGTACTAGAATGTTGCGACGTTGGTTGAGAAAACACCTCTGGAGATGCTAACGACGATTGAACTGGTTCATACATGTCTGACTGGGGTAAGTGCATAAGTTGATTTAATGGAGGGAGCGGTTTTGCATCTTCGTAATATACGGCACTACTCATAATCCAAGAACCGATAAAACTAAGAAAACGTTGCAGGCGACATCACGATTATATAGTTATCGGTATACAAGCCACACCGGCGGTTTGGGGGAAACCCTACGCCGGATCTTACAGCATGCACCTTACTCTTGGTTATGCACCCTTGGGCAGTGCGGCTTTGGAGTGTGTGCGCGCGGGCCCCCATCGATGCGGCTAGTCGGCATTTACTAAGTTACATGACGCATTAAAAAATTTTATGAAAAAAAGGTTTTTAACCCTCGGAATTGAGATATATACAGGTACGATTACCCAATTGGGAAGGCACTGGATCAGGTACGGACGAAAAATTTCTTCACAACCGGTAACCATGCATAGATCTGACGCACAATGCGGGCTTCATCAAAAGGGGTTAAAAACGGATCCCACCGTTGATTTCCCGCTGTGCGTAAAATGATAGCCACCAATGATGTTTGATTTGTCGGCAATACGGTTATTGGTTTGTTGGCCGTTCGTAACGAGACGATCGCCAATGCTTGACTTGGCTCAACTTGTCCATAATTATTTAGTTTTATGCATGTGGAGGTGATACGGTCTGTGATGGGATGGTGTTATGGGCCCGCGGCCCGCCGATACCTCAACGATGTTGTCACCCCCACGCGAGAAAATGCAGTCATTTTTAAGCGGACCAAAACGTTACATTAGTGTGCGTGGTGCGTCTTGACTGTCGTGGGCAGCTTTGGTATACTTTGCAAGTTGTTAGGTCGCATGCAAGGCAACAAGATATTTTTTAACCGGTCCAGAGTCGTCGGAATTAAGATACAATATTATTTAGCAGTAACGCGAAGTCGACGAAGGGACAACGTTTGTAACCAGACTCGGCTAGTTTAGTTTATTTCTCCATTAGGATCCCATGACGCATCATCGATATGCGCACCTTCCTAAACTCTTGACATGTATCCACGGATGCGTAGATGCAGCGGTTGTGCACCGTACCTGATTTGGGGCAAAACGTCCAGATTGTATTGCGGTGTTTTTTCCGGAACCGGTCATGGTTGCAATAACGTGCATCATAGTGATGCGTCAAAAATGTACCTGGGTCTTCATGCAGGCGCCAAAGAGATTGCGCTCGTTTTCGCTGACCGCGGGGCTCGTAATCAGGTGCCCGTCACCAATTGAGGTTCTTATTGTATAGCAGCAAGCCAACAAGACGAAGTTCGTCTAACTCGCCTTTGTTTGCCCATTTTTTATCATGCATGCGTAATATGCGGGACTTTACATGCATATCATACACCACGCGTCATCAACGTGTGCTGGTTATCGTAGTCGCCTTTATGCATCTCCTTTTGGGAGTGTCTCTTCTCTCCGGAGTCAACTGTACGCGGTCCGAACCTCGTTGCGCCGCTACCTTTTTGGTTATCCTCTTGGTTGTCGCTATCACCAACTGCACATCCAATACACCACGCACACTCAAAACTGTCAATTATTTCGCGAATATGCAGTGAAATCTAATGTCCTCGTTCCCATATCCTACTGCTGTTTCTAGGGACGATTTTGCTCCGACGGAAGAAGAGTTTAATGCTGATGCTTTTTTGTACACCCACCATCGATATGCGTCGTTGGATTCTCTTTTAAAGGACTTGAAACGACTTTCTGACAGTCTCAATGATGAACTTTTAAATCTTGTAAATGTCAATTACGCCGAATTTATCCGTTTAGGGAAGCTGATAGACGGCGGGTTGGACGTGGTTAACAGTATCCAGGTGGAAGTGAAGCGGTTTTCGAAACAACTTCATGCTACAAATGCAAATTTGACATCCTGTTCACAAACAGTCAAAGACCTTATCGGTGCTCGCAAACGTCTTTTGTCGTTGAAAACAAGCATTAAACTTTGTTCTGTGCTCAATGACCATGTAACAAACTTCCAGACCCTCTTGAACCTCGATATGGATACTGCCAACGATGAAAGTCTTCTTCAACATTTGAAAAATTTGACTTCACTTTATCTTTCATTTAGTCATTTATTTGGAGTGGTTCTGGAAACTCATGGGGATGTTGTATTTGTTAACAAGATTTTGCGGGACAAGATCATGTCGTGTAAATTTGAGTTCAATGCTTATTTAGACGAGGTGTCGCAGAATAAGCTCCGAGACCGGACCAAATCCTCAGAAATTATTCTTGAACTTCTTAATATTTACAAGATTACGGGTCGAGAGTCTAGCATGACCAAGTTGGCGAAGCGGTGATATAAATGGAGTCTTGGAAAAACGATGCACCATTGTTCAATACGAACGGCTCGCCCAGCAAAATGAGAAAAAGTGAAGAAAAAGCGAAGAAAAAATGAAACGAAAATGGACTATATTGTCAAACAGGTCTATCAGATATGATTGTTCGGCAGTAGGACCATTAACTTGACTATTGATTGATACTAAGAGTCTTTGACCAGCCAAATGTCAGCATATTGTCCCCCTTTTTATGGCCCTTGGCTATTGTTCCTATGAAGTTTTGGCTATTATGATACCCAAAAGATCACTCAAAGGGAGATAATATGTCATTTGATCTCTTGGCTACCATTGTTTCATTTCTAGCAAGATATCCGAATGACCAATGAAAGTGGAGATAGAAATCAGTGAACGAGCACAATCTGTTTCTCATGGCTACCATTGTTCGGGGACCAATCAGAGAGTTTGAAACTCAAAGGAGATTTCTCCAAAGTCAGCAAAGCGTATTGTTGTACTCAGGAAGACAGAAATCGCCATTACTTTCATGTCTAGACTTTTGTTCGGCGATAGTGAATGAGTATTAAAAATCACTATGTCCAATTACCATGAAGTTTAAAGTTATCATTAATCCAAGTTGACCAGGAGAAAGAAAAACAGAAACTAAAAGTATCACGTTATTACCTCTTGGTTTGAAGTTTTTCAGAGTGAAATCGAGTCCTGGTAAAAGTAGCAGTTGATTTGTCCGGACCGGACCAAGATACGATTGAGGAATACTTTGTCTAAAGTTTCCTTTGTGTCCATTGAGCACTGACTAGTCGAACCACATGTCTGTCAACAGAAAATTTCGAGTCTTTGTCTTCAACCAATCAATACAATATGAAAGTCCAAATCTATTGAATCGTTTATGATTCTTCAGCATGCAGTTGGTGCCGATTCTGTAAGAGACTTCTAGATTGTGTCTTAATTGGCAAAAAAAGAGTAAACAGTGACCATTTCCTTTTTTGTCGAATCCATCTTTTGCTTTGTTATTCAAGAGTCTGTTAGAATGGTAAAAAGAGCCGAAGAGAACTTGCATCCACAATTCCTATCTTCCATTGTTTGAAAAGAATGACACCTGCCCATTATGGACTGCCGTACAAAACCATATATAGATACGAACCGGCAAAAATAGACCAAATCATAAATAGCTACAATGAAATAATGGCATAATAGAGAGCAAAGATAGAGCAATTACAGCCATACCCAAAGTTTGGAGATTGACCAAATTGTCGATACCCCTTAACGTCGCCTAACCCCTGAACTGTAAGGGCTGTTTCCCCTTTCATTGTAACAATGGGCATCGTATATCGAACCTGTTTAGTCGAGCCAGTACACCAGTCTTCAAGTTGAACTGAGTACGGTGCTGAGTGGTGCACCAGTGCACCAGTGCACTGGTCCAGTCTGTTCCCACATTTACGCTGCGACCCCACCCTGCGTACATTCCTGCACCAACCACGACACGCCAATTCGCTCTCTCTTCTTCATCATCATGGTGTTGGGCGATATCTCTATAGGAAGACACCAATGGGAAAACCAGGACAAAAACCCATTGCCTCTGGATATTCCAGACGTGGATGAAGTGGGCGCTACTTCGGCACCTCTTCTTTCCGCTTCGTATTTTATCGGCGCAAAATGCAAGCCTTTTAATGATGATTTTATGATGTGTAAGGATGAAAATAATGGTGGAACTGTGGAGTGTTTGAAAGAGGGCCGCCGGGTCACGCGCTGTGCCATCTCTGTGTTGAAAGATATAAATAAATACTGTTTTGATGAGTTCAAATTGCATTATGACTGTTTGGAACAAGAAAATCACCGGTTGGGTCATTGCCGAAGCTCGGAAGCTCTTCTTAACAAGTGTGTGTTCCAGAACTTGAAACTCGAGAAAAAGATCCCCGGAGTCGAAAAACAAATCTTTTTGAACGAAAATCCAATTTTTCAAGGCACTTCCAAAGACAAGGCCAATGTGGCCGAGTTTGTCCGTGCACGCGAGCAGAAGAACACTGCTGATAACGCATAGATAGAGCTGCGAGGCAGCTGTGCATCGAGGTGATAGACGCCAGCTGAGCCTGGAATACACTTCTTCTGAAATGATGTAGCGGTCCATACGCTTGACCTTTCTTAAAGTTCATTATTCATAAGAGATGAGATCCTCGGTCTCCTTATCCCTTGCTCTTGCTACCTATAGCTCTTAGTTCTACTTATGGCTCTCACTCTCTACTTCAGCTCTTTCTAATTCTTAGCTCTTCTATCTGTTCCTCTATCTCTACCTCTCGTTCGCACCCAGCCACCACCGCACAAAACTGCGCGCCGATTCTGTTTTCACATCGATGTTTAGCCAACCTTCCAGCGGATCTCCTTTTGGATCCACCGCAGCTGGAACCACGAATCCGCCACAATCGGGCACGTCGCAGCCCGGGTTTTCATTTGGAAACAACACAAACCGCGCGGCTAGCTTTCTGTTTGGTTCGCAGCCGGCTCAAAACTCGGGCTTTGGTCAAAATAATTCAACAAATCAGCCGTCTCTTTTTGGCTCTAGCGCTGCTGGAGGAGCCAACCAGACCCAACCACAGTCTGCTGGCGGCTTGTTTGGTCAAAACAATCAAAATGCTCAAAATAAACCAGCTTCTGGGGGTCTTTTTGGCCAGACCAATAACCAAAATAACACCGCTTCAGGTGGACTTCTCGGCCAAAACAACACTCAATCGTCCGGAGGTCTCTTTGGCCAAAACAACAACAACACCCAATCTTCTGGAGGTCTCTTTGGCCAAAACAACAACAACACTCAAACTTCTGGAGGACTTTTCGGTCTGAATAACACCCAAAATACTCAGAAAAATCAATCAGGTGGCCTTTTTGGACAGAATAATAACCAAAATAACCAAAATAATCAGTCTGGTGGTCTTTTTGGATCCAACACAACTAACTCCAATACCAGTACCTTTGGCAAACCTGCCGGTACTTCTACACAGGGAGGTCTCTTTGGCGGACTGGGAACAACATCCACAAACAACACTCTGGGCGCTTTATTTGGTGGATCTAACACGAATACTCTGGGAGGTTTATTTGGAAATAATTCTAATAATACCGCTACTTCGGGGCTTTTCAGTCAAGGAAACAACACGAACAATTCCCTTTTCAACCAAAATAATAACAGCCTGCTTTTCGGCCAGAATAATCAAACACAAACCAACACCACCGGTCCTTCAAACAACTCGCAACCATCATTTGGATGGAACAGCCAGAAACCTGCTGCTCCCGCCGTCAAAAGTATTATGCAAGTGTCTCGAAATGAGCCAGCAAAGAACAACTACACCCCAGCTATCAGCGATCAATTACTAAAAATTAAAGAGCAATGGGATCCGCTGTCTCCCAAGTTAGCATTAAAGACTCATTTTTACAACAAAGTGAGCGATAATGAGATTTCTGCTGTGCTCAATCAGCCTCGTCCTCAGAACGAAACTCCCGAGGATTGGGATGCGGCCATGTTGAATCGTCCGTCTGCCTCGTATTATCCCGTCAAGGTGACATCTTATTCGGATGTGGCTCAAAGAGTAGAAGTGCAACTCGATCACGTTGCCAAATCACGAGTTGTCTTGAACGAGATTTTGCAAAAACAATCGGCGCTTTCGTCCAAGCATGACTTAGACAACACCACACGCATACTAAGAGCCAAAACGAAGCACGCCAAACTCCTGCGGAGACTCTTGCGATTGGCAACGATTTTAGCGGTGCTCAAACTCAAAGGATACCCACTTTTGCCTGAAGAAGAGGAACTTTCAAAGCAGTTTGATTTGTTGAACGGAATGATTTCTGATCCCAACTCACCTTTGGGCAGGCTCAACGATATCTTTGCTCGCGTCACCATTCTCAAAGAACGATCCGAGGAACTCAACCGTCAATTCGACACCACTGTGAGGAGCATGAGCAGCAAAGACGAAGACGAAGTGAACAATGAAGAAATCATCAAGAAGGTGTCGCAATTGTTGCTCAAGCAGCAAGTGGGCTTGAACCACTTGAACAAGGTCATAGCGGAAGATACAGAGAAAGTGGACAAGCTCAAGCAGTAAAAATGAAGCAGAAAATGAAGCAGGGAAAATCAAGCAACGATCATTCTTGACTTCTTCTTTCTTGACTTATATACTTAGATCGTTAATTGACGCACGGCATCTGAACCCACGTCAATTGCAAATTGTAGTTTATGAAACTTTTCAAAGTTGTGTCTTATGCTTTCTTTGAAAGTTTCACAGGTTTTTGGGTCGATTTTTTTTTCTCCGGCTGATATAATGCAAAATGGTTGTTCAACGGACGAATCCGAGACGGAAAAATTGTTGAATTGCGACTGGTTTCGTATTAATTGATACTTGTATGGAAGGGCTTCGGCACCTTTCAAGTAACCAGCAAGATTCTGGATGTAACTATGTCGAGGAATGGCACATATAGAATGTAATTTGTTGCAAATTTGCAGTTGTTGAAACTGAAGAACCTCGGTATATTGCGAGTCTGTAGAAGGCACACTTACAAACTCTTCTGGCAAGAATACTTTATTTATATCATCGTAAGGATTTAAGTGGGTAACACCGCTACTGAAAATCACCTTTAATTGAGTTCCGTATGGGTTTCCCATCGAACCTTTTGAGAAACGAAAGTACTCAATTGGAGCGACTTTTTGAAGATTATCGTAGATGAACTTGACCTCATGCTCATTCACTGGACAGGGATGGGCTGACACTCGCGCTGCTATATGGTAGTGGAAGTAGTTGTTGGCATATTTTCTGAGAGACGCTTCTGCTGCATGGAACCTCATTTAATGTGCGTTTAAGCTCATCTCGCGCGCAAACAGTGCATAACATCTGCAGTCGCGATGCAACATTCGATGCAACATTCTTCGATGCTTTTACCCCAGATTCACGAGCGACTAAAGCACGGCCTCAACCGGCCCATTAACGACACATTCACAAAGACCTTGGTCCGCAAGTACTTTGACAACAACAAAAAGGAAGATTTTTTGGTCTATGCCAAGGCCTTGGGAGTCCCCGACTCGTTGGCTCTCGATACCTATTCAATGATAAATGAAAACGCCAGCTCTTTGGATGAGGAATTGAGCCACGAGCCAAAGGTGAAGAGCCACAAGAAGACAAAAAACAAGCTTGATTTGGGATTGGAACAATCTGATGAACAAGTACTGGTTCCTCTTAAGCGCGAGAATCAACTATTGGATCTTTTGGAAGAAGAACAAAAACCAAAAAACCAAAGCATGAAATTCAAAAAAATCAAGAAACAAGACGCAATTCGATTGCGTGGATCGCCAAAAGAGCTTCCTGGCTTACAAGAAACCGAAAGCACCAAAAATCTGAATGGCCCAGTCAATCGCAAACCACAAACGATAGCAGAAATGGCAGCTTTGGAAAGTAATACCCAACCACAAGAACCAGAAACCAACCTGAAGGACTACGAGCTGTCTGACGATGACATTGACAAGGTGGGTCAAGACAGAGATTGGTATATGACAGATGAGATGGGCCATGCCATGGACTACGATTATTCTAATTTCAACCAAGAACCTATCAAACCCACGCCTAGACGTAAGATGAACGCTACTGGTGGTCATTTCGACTCACGAACGGGAGATTATATTGACTATGACCACGATAACCAAAATTTGCACAGAGTTCCCATCACCACTCACCATTTTGTTCCTCCATTTTTACAAAGCCTTGAGAGGTATTTGCAGCCCAATTTGGTAGAGAAAGTCAAGGAAAAGGGCACGATCAATCCTATCAAAAACCCAAACTCAGAATTGGCCATTTCTGCCAAACGAGGAAGTTTCGTTGTCAACGAAAGACGAAGCAAAAATGAACGTGCGAAACAAGCAAAAGATTCAAGCAGTTTACAAGGCACAGCTCTAGGAAATGTTCTACAAATCAAAGAGGAGAAAGAAGTTTCAGCCACCACATCTGGTGCTGAAGAAAAAGTGGACAAAGAATTGATTCAAAAGCAAAGAAAGTCACTACCTGCATTTGCAGTGAGGCATGAACTACTTCGTACAATTGCCGAAAATCAAGTAACAGTGGTTATTGGAGAAACTGGATCTGGTAAGACGACTCAATTGACTCAATTCCTTCTTGAAGATGGGTTTGGGAGCAATTTGGCAAAAAATGGAGAGCGACTAATGATAGGGTGTACTCAGCCAAGAAGAGTGGCCGCCATGTCGGTTGCAAAAAGAGTAAGTGAAGAATATGGGTGCAAGCTAGGAGAAGAGGTTGGATATTCCATTCGATTTGAAGACGTCACAACCAAAGAAAAGACCATTATCAAGTATATGACAGAAGGTGTTTTGCTTCGAGAAATCTTGATGGATGCGAATCTTGAACATTATTCTTGTATCATTATGGATGAAGCTCACGAACGGTCTCTTAGTACAGATGTGTTATTGGGGCTCTTTCGAAACTTGATAAGGCGCAGAAAAGACCTAAAACTCATCATCACCAGTGCAACCATGAATGCCGAGCGGTTCATGAATTTTTTTGGCGATGTTCCTCAGTTCACCATTCCAGGCAGAACTTTTCCAGTAGATACCTTGTTCAGCAAATCCACCTGCTCGGACTATGTTGATGCTGCCGTGAAGCAGGTGATGACAATTCACCTTCAAAATTACAGCAAATACAAAAGAAACGACGGTGATATTTTGGTGTTCATGACCGGTCAAGAAGACATTGAAATGACGTGCGAGCTCGTTCGGGAAAAGCTAGCTCTTCTAGATGATCCTCCACCTCTCGATGTGTACCCCATATACTCGACGATGCCTGCGGATTTGCAAAGAAAAATATTCGACAAACCTTCGGAAACAAGACGAAAAGTGGTGGTCGCAACCAACATTGCCGAGACGTCGCTCACAGTCGATGGCATTAAATATGTGGTGGACACGGGATTGGTCAAGTTGAAGGTTTACAATCCAAAACTTGGAATGGACACTCTTCAAGTGGTACCCATATCTCTTGCCAATGCCCAGCAAAGAAGCGGAAGAGCTGGTAGAACTGGGCCTGGTTTGGCGTATCGTCTTTATACAGAAAGAGCCATTGGGGAAGATCTGATGTACATCCAGCCAATTCCAGAGATACAGAGAACAAATCTCACCAATGTGATGCTTCTACTCAAGTCGTTGAAGGTTGAAGATGTCACCAAATTTCCATTCCTCGATTCTCCTCCAACAGACCTATTGAGTAACTCTTTATATGATCTCTGGATCATGGAGGCATTGGACAATTGTGGAAACCTAACGTCTCTAGGCCATAATATGATGGTTTTTCCCATTGAAGCCACCTTGTCGAAACTCATTTTTCTAAGTTGTCGTCCCCAATTTTCGTGTTCTTCGGAAATCGTTACCATAGTTTCGATGTTATCGGTTCCCTCCGTTTTCTTTAGACCCAAAGAACGAGCACAAGAAAGTGATGCTGCCAGAGAACGATTTTTCGTTGCAGAATCTGACCACTTGACCCTCTTGAATGTGTACAACCAATATGAAACCCAGCGCTCGAAAGGCAGAAAAACTGCTGCTTGGTGCTCCAAGAACTTTCTTCACCACAAGTCGCTTTCAAGAGCCCGAGATATTCGCAACCAGCTTATCCTCATCATGAAGAAGAACAAACTACCAATCTTAAAATCCACCAATAATGATACAATCAGAAAGTGTCTCTGTGCTGTGTACTTTCACCAGCTGGCAACGCTAGCTAAAACAGACTTTAACAAGGGCTCAGTGTATACCCACTTGCGGCAAAGTTATATGAACATGCATTTGCACCCAACGTCGGCTCTTAATAGTGGAGCAGAAGCCATGGCAAGCCATGTGATTTACCATGAGTTGATCTTGACAACGAAGGAGTATATGAGCTGTGTTACCGTGGTGGACCCAGTGTGGTTATTAGAGTTTGGTGCCATTTTTTTCGATACCACTCCAGCTGTCAAGCAAAGAATTCAAGAGCAATATGGGGTAAGTTTGAGGAGCAAAGAACAGGTTATAAAAGAGCTCGAGCGGGACTCACAGGCTCTTCTGGTTGAGGAAGCTAAGGTGAAGAAGGAGTCTAAGCATTCGAGGTTGGGGAAGAAGAGGGCGTTCTAAAGCTTGCGAGCGCAGCGAGAAAGCGGTATTGATTAAAAAGGCCGCGAAAAATGATCAGATTGATCTGTGAGTGTGCAGGAATCGAGCGCGGCTAACTCAGACAGTTGAGAGTGAGAACTTCGATCAATCGCTTAGATAAGGGTTCAGACTTATAGGATAATGAATGAGAAGTCTACTTCAGACTAAGACAAGGAAGGCAAGAATGAGTAGTAAAAAGTAGTGAAGGAAAGTGTGAAGGAAAGTAGTTGAAATTCACTATAAAGTAGTTCAAATTCACTATTAAGTAGTTGAAGGTCATTATAAAGTAGTTGAAGGTCATTATAAAGTAGCTGAGACTTACTATAAAGTATTTGAAGGTCATTATAAAGTAGTTGAGACTTACAATAAAGAAGTTGAAGGTAACCATAAAATACTTGAAGTCACTATAAAGTAGTTGAACGTCATTATAAAGTACTTGAACTCACTATAAAGTGGTTGAAATTCACTATAAAGCAGTTCATGATAACTATAAAGTAGTGAAATTCATTATAAATTGTTGAAGGTTGTTTTAAAGCAATTGAAGAAGAGTAGTTTGGTACATTGACTTCATCGCTTTGGAACTTCTTTTCTATATACATGCTAGAGCACAACATTATCTATGAGTCTCGCTTCTCCTCCGGACTCCCTGGGTACCCGTACGGCCGTGGAGAGAATACCTCCCAATTCCTGGTCCAACAGCGACACATCCTCCAAGGTTTCTGGATGACTGAGCGAAACGTATTCCACTGTAAAGTCACTGTTTGCCAAAGTTTGTCTCACTGCAGATATAATGGATTGGGCAGAAACAGGCCCTTCAGCTTTATGACTATCAAAGTAGTTTTTTCCTTCACAAAGTGCCTTGTATATTATAGCACTTTCATCTTTGGTTTTTTGCGACAAGTATTGGTTTCTTGAAGACATTGCCAAACCATTATTTTCTCTAAAAGTCGGCAAAACTCGTACGTTCGTGTCTATGAGAAGGTCCCGGACCAAGTTTCGTATCACCACACACTGCTGGGCATCTTTTTGGCCAAAATAAATATTAGTAGGTTGTACAACATTGAGTAGTTTGGTAACTACGGTTGCAACTCCTCGGAAAAATTGTGGTCTTTGAGCTCCTTCAAGCTGCTCCGAACATCCTTGGACAGTGACAAATGCTCCTGACTGCTTTTCAACGTCCAATGGTACTCCGGCAGGGTACATTTCGGACACTTTCGGTACGAATATGGCATCGACTCGACGTCCATCGACGTCCAATTTTTCTAGCATTTCCAAATCTGTGTCCAAAGTACGAGGGTATTTGTCGAGATCTTCATGTGGAGCAAATTGCGATGGGTTGACAAATATAGACACCACGGTTCGGTCGTTTTCGGCAAGCGACTGTTGCACGAGCGAGCAGTGGCCAGCATGCAAAGCACCCATAGTGGGTACAAATCCCACTTTTTCTTGTTTAAGCAAGCTCAGCATGCGCCACAGCCTCATCTGAGCTACATTGCGAAGTACTCGCACTGCAGAAACGGTCATGGAATCGTACAACGGTGGTTTGAAATTTTCTCCACATTTCGCGCGATGGGCCTCGGGGTGCATATTGACAGCTGCAAATGAGATACGGTTGCAGACAATTAAGCACGATTACAAGAAAAGAATTCAATGGTCATAATTTCTTCTTTGAAATTTATGAATCTCATTTAAGTTTTTATAAACGTCATGGCATATGTAGAATTCCCGAATAAACTAGTTCGGTAGCTCTAACTAATACGAGTATCTAAAAGAGATGATCTCGATTTGCGGTGTCAGTCAAACACACCTTATCCAGTTTTGGATTACTGGTCAGTTTCGTTTCTTAAAGCTTTCCGCGAACAGGTGCCTCGAATGTTGTACTTTCGGCAATTTGGCCGTCTAAAACCTTAGCGTATTGCGCCTCAAAAACCTTCTTTGGATCATGATTGTATTGCAAATCAGGAATGTAGTCCTTGTTTCTAATAACAGCGTCAACTCGTCCACTGATATGCTCAGCTATAGCACCGACTGTTTCGTCTGGAAGCTCACCGTTGACCAAGTGCTCACCTTTTTCAATATCATACGTTTTCCACAAATTACCAAGATTCTTTCTGATACTTGGTACACTTTCTGGCGGGTTCCATTTAGCAGCGGCTCCAACAATATGGGTCAGAGGGATTGGGATCTGTTGCAAAACTTTGTCAATTCCTTGCAAAGAGATCGCACTACTCACATAAACGCTCACCTGAGACTCAACCGAGGTTTTGGTTTTGTACTTTGTTTCTCCACTTTCAGGGTCTATCACGGTATAGAGCTCATCGTCCATCAAGTCCTTTAGCACCGAAGGATGAAAGTTCATATAAAACGAAAATTTTTTGAAAAAAGTTTCATAGTCCTCCATGCTGTCAAAAGTGTCTAGGAGCATGGTGGCTATCTTTCTGAAAATTGCAGCATACTTGGTCTGGTATTTGGGGTCTGGATTGTAGTAGACTACCGGCTCAATTAACACCAAAGAATCGAATAATTGAGGCTCAAGAAACGAAGCGTAAGCCGCACCATAACCTCCAAAAGAATGGCCAATAACAATGTTTCGGGTACTTATACCGTTTTCAAGTGTCTGTGCCCACAACTTTTGTTCGTGCTTAACTACCAGAACAATATCACGGCCAAAGTCCGGCCAATGGTAACTCCACCCAAGCTTGCCTTGGTTGGCAATTGCCGAGTCTCCGTGGTTCACGGCATCTACAGAAACCACCGTAGCCAACTTCCATGTGCTGGACTTGGCACCAATCTCAAAAAGCTTGGTAATATGGTAATTCCAAAGAGATTTGTTCATGCCGGTACCATGAGCGAAAATCAAGTTGATGGCTATTTGGTTCTCTGGAATAGCGTAGTTGGCTGTGTACTTGTTATAACAAATCTTGAGTCTCTGACCAACAAGTAAACTTCCTCCAGGATGTCTTGGATAGGCGGCGTCTGTGACTTTCAATTCTTTTGTGAAAGACATTGTGGGGTAATGAAATTTTCAGAAACCAATGGATGAGAGAAATCAGAAACAGGGTTCTATCTTGAAAAAGTCACTGAGTTCAATTCAAAACTTGATTGTAAGCTCGATCTAAAACTGAATTGAAACTTAATCGAGAACTTGAATAGTAATTTGATTATTCGGAATTTAACCGAGCTTCACCGTGCCCCGCGGTGCCGTGGGGTGCACGTGAACCCCGCAATTCGGCTCTGTGCTAAAATAAGAATTGTAAGCGGCATGATGGTTGTACTCCTTAATTCACGATAGTATACTCTTAAAGAGTTTAATGATCATAAATGTCTTTTTTCAAGGAGTTGAGAAGTTTTTGGCCTTTTTTTGACTGTTAACTAATTGGATCACTGATTGTGATAGAGAGCCATACTTTGCTTTGATGAGCTTTTGTCTCGGAGGAAGACAAGTACGTAAGGCAATTCCACTATACTTATCGAATATTTCTTAGAAGATGAAGAATAGCAGTGAATTGACGTGCCGTCGTAAAAAGTATTGCCCTTTCATACAAGAACAAATTGGTGTGTAACCAAGCACTTTTTGTGTTTATATTTCAGACAGAAAAACAAGTTGTTCAGACTAGTTTATCCTCTGTTGTATATGAGCTCATTGAGCTCATGACACAACGCTTAGCTTAGTCAAGATATCTTGCTTATTGATCAATTGCCATTTATGATAGTGTAGTATTGTCTTGTCAATTGAATCTTATAATGTAATTGATAGTACCCGATTAGAAGCTGGTTTTGTGATATACGCACCCTTTCATTCCAGTATTGTGACACTTCCTCAATTTGAATAAGATTGCAAGAAACTAGCAATGGCTGCAAAATCGAATAAAGTGTGTCTCGATCCATCTCTGCAAGAGAAAAAAAAAACTGAAAAAGCTATCGTAGGTTGTTGTCTTCTATGGTAAAAAGCTCAGTACCCTTTGACGTAGTCTTTCAATAATAGACTAAACAAGTTTTGTTCTTGTAAGACATCATTCGAAGAAAAAGTGTTGCCGCACCTGCACACAGAGCACTGCACCTGGCTCGAACATTTTTTTCGCGATAAGATGGAAAGCTCATCGCATTGCAACATGTCTCAGGAGCTCGTATTGAGTGCCATTTCGGCGTACTTGAAGAACCAAGAAAACTTGCAGTCGTTGAGCAAGGCTTTTGATAAGGAAGTAAAGAAAGCAGGCTTGAAATTGCTCGACCATGACGGCGACTTGAACGCATTATTGGCAGCAGCTGACGAAGGTTCATCGGTTGAATCAAGTGAGTCCAGTGACGATTCTGGGTCATCTGACGACTCTGGCTCAGAATCAGATTCCGACTCAGATTCGAGTTCCGACTCCGACTCCGACTCAAGTGATTCTTCTGATTCTGATTCTGACTCGAGTTCCGACTCAGACTCCAACTCTAGTTCTGATTCAGGCTCCGACTCTAGTTCTGACAGTTCTGATTCTGACTCCGACTCTAGCTCTGACAGTTCTGATTCTGACTCAGATTCTAGCTCGGACTCCGACTCCAGCTCCGACTCCAGCTCCGACTCAGACTCAGACTTAGACTCCGATTCCGACTCCGACTCTAGTTCAGACTCAAGCTCCAGTTCGAGTTCAAGCTCCAGTTCGGATTCTAGCTCAGACTCAGACTCGGATTCGAGTTCCAGTTCAGACTCAGACTCAGACTCCTCAGCCAACCCCCGCCAACCCACAAAGCGCCCAGCAGACGACTCCCCCGCCTCCAACAAAAGAACCAAGACAGACTCGTCTCAAACAGAATCCATAGAATCTTCGGGCTCCGTTTCTCCAGTTCCAGAAGAGACTCTCAAACCAGGCCAACGCAAGCATTTTTCTCGTATAGACAGATCCAAAGTGTCGTTTGAAGACTCTACTCTTCAGGACAACACATACAAGGGAGCAGCAGGAACATGGGGCGAAATGGCTAGTGAAAAGCTTCTCCAAGTTCGTGGAAAAGATTTCACCAAAAATAAGAACAAGATGAAAAGAGGTTCTTACCGCGGAGGGTCCATCACATTGAACTCCGGATCTTATAAATTCAAAGATTGAACGTAGCGCATTAGCATAATAGAGTGTTTCTCGAAAACGTAGAATTGGCCCTTAGGTATTTCTTGGCTGCAAATAGTCCTTGCACTGGGTGCAGGTCCGCGAATTCTCTTCTGCAGGACCTCCATCATAAATCTCCTCTGTTCGATCTGACAAATCCATCATGTCTCGTCGTCAAGGAGAGATCAACTACGCCGAACTCGAGCAAGGAAACTTCTCGGACGAGTCATTCAGTGACGAAAATGGGCGTAATGACGACGACGATTATGGTTCCAGAAACAAACCGGGAAAACGGTCAAAATCATCTTCGGCCAAACCGGGTTCTGGAAGTGCCAAAAGACGTAATGTTAATTCTGCAAGGGATAATATGGAGTCTCTCAAGCAAAAGGCTCCACGACAAACATATAATGAAGACCAGTTAGTGCAAATAACTCCTGATATGCCGGCAGATTATGTTCCCGATGCCGTATCCAAGGCATTTGGAAGACTGGACTTTTCGTATTTGAAGCTCAAACCTGACCATTTTACCCGTCCGTTGTGGATTTCACCCACGGGAGGACGCATCATTATTATCCTTGAGTCGTTTTCGCCGTTAGCTGAACAGGCTCAGGACTTCCTTATCACCATTGCGGAACCTATCTCTCGACCATCTCATATTCACGAGTTCCAATTGACGGTTTACTCGCTATACGCTGCGGTTTCGGTCGGTTTGGAGACAGAAGATATCATTTCCGTGTTGAACAGATTGTCCAAAGTACCTGTTGCTGAGTCCATTTTGGAGTTCATTCGCAGCGCTACAGTTTCATATGGTAAGGTGAAGTTGGTGTTGAAGCATAACCGGTACTTTGTGGAAAGCACCCAAGCGGATGTGTTGCAAATGCTCTTGAAGGATGAAGTTATAGGTCCGCTTCGGATCCAGTCATCGGAAAATGCCGTTGCTAGCAATGGTCTAGTACAATCCGCTGCCCCAGTTTCAAACTTGTCGATTCCTGGAACCAAGAAAAACCATGCTGAGGGCGAAGAAAAGAAGGATGTGGAGGATATTTTCGCATCTGTGGTGGGAAACAAAGACGACGAGGACGATGATCTCGATACAGTTCACTCATTTGAAATCGCACCCGAGTCGGTGGAAATTGTCAAGAGACGATGCCAGGTGATAGACTACCCTGTCTTGGAAGAGTATGACTTCCGTAATGACGACCGTAACGCCGACTTGAACATTGACCTAAAACCATCCACTCAAATCAGACCTTATCAGGAAAAATCACTTTCTAAAATGTTTGGAAATGGCCGTGCTCGTTCTGGAATTATTGTCTTGCCCTGTGGAGCTGGAAAGACATTGGTGGGCATCACCGCAGCATGTACAATTCGGAAATCCGTTATCGTATTGTGCACTTCGTCAGTTTCTGTGATGCAATGGAGACAGCAGTTTCTTCAATGGAGTACAATTCAACCAGAAAACGTTGCTACTTTTACGTCAGAAAACAAGGAAATGTTCACCAGCGAGTCGGGATTGGTTGTTAGTACGTATTCTATGGTTGCCAACACCAGAAACAGATCGTACGATTCACAAAAAGTGATGGACTTCTTGACTTCGAGAGAATGGGGTTTCATCATTCTTGACGAAGTGCATGTGGTTCCAGCAGCAATGTTTCGTCGAGTGGTGACAACCATCGCTGCTCATGCCAAACTTGGGTTGACTGCTACATTGGTTAGAGAAGACGACAAGATTTACGATTTGAACTTTTTAATCGGGCCCAAATTGTACGAAGCAAATTGGATGGATTTGGCCCAGAAAGGTCATATTGCCAATGTTCAGTGTGCTGAAGTGTGGTGTCCAATGACCTCTGAGTTTTATCAGGAATATTTAAGAGAAACTTCGAGAAAACGAATGCTTTTGTATATTATGAACCCCACCAAGTTTCAAGCATGTCAATTTTTGATTCACTACCACGAAAAGAGAGGAGACAAGATCATTGTGTTCAGCGATAACGTTTATGCATTGCAAGAATACGCTTTAAAACTCGAAAAACCGTTCATTTATGGCTCGACACCTCAACAAGAAAGAATGAAGATCTTGCAAAACTTTCAACACAACGACGAAATCAATACCATCTTCCTTTCAAAAGTGGGAGACACCTCTATTGACTTACCCGAGGCCACATGTCTCATACAAATATCATCACACTATGGTTCGAGAAGACAAGAAGCACAAAGACTCGGTCGGATTTTGCGTGCCAAGAGAAGAAACGACGAGGGATTCAATGCATTTTTCTACTCGTTAGTCTCAAAAGATACCCAGGAAATGTACTATTCTACAAAGAGACAAGCGTTCCTTGTTGATCAAGGTTATGCTTTCAAAGTGATCACACATTTGAGTGGAATGGAACAGCTTCCAGATTTAGCATATTCGTCACCAAGGGAAAGAAGAGAGCTTCTTCAGGCGGTGCTACTTAAAAACGAAGATGCCGCGGGATTGGAGGTTGGAGATGATTTGGATACCAATTTCATCACCCAAGAAAGACGGAATAAGATTGAAAGTGAACAAAGCGATGCTGTTCGTAGTACCGGATCTCTTGCTGGCTTGGCTGGTGGGGAAGATATGGCATATGTGGAATATTCGAAGAGCAAGAATAAGGAGATTCGCGAGAACACCATGATCAAGAAGTTGTACAAGCGGAGGTAGAATTATAACCGCTTTTCATGAATGCAAATTTTTTATGAATCTGCGCCCACATACTCCCCAAAGTCGTCATCATCGTCGTCGCCGTATCCTTGGTCGTCTAGACTGAGTTTTGACAGCTTTCTAGCGAGCTCCTCATATTCCATGTCCCCTTGCCAATCTTTATACCTTCTTTTGAATATATTGACGCTCTCGCCAAATAGTATGCCTTCGGACCGATCTCTAAACTTGAGTCCAAGTGCTACCCGGGTACATTCTCCATCACAGCCAGTGCCTGGAAATTGCGCAATTACCTTGAAATATTGTGGGGATTCTGTGCACATTTGTATAGTTTCATCATAGACATTGTCTTGAGGGACAAACCACACCTCGGCCCAAAGCTGTGGATGAGTCTGAACATGCGAATGGTGACCGAATGAACGAGTCAATGCATTGGTAGCTTCAGAATGAGAAACAATATTGTTGAACTCACCAGACGGTCCATTAGTAATCGGTTTATTTGTAATTGGTTTATCTGAAAGAATAGAACCACCATTATTTTCGACATCTTCGTTATCCTCATTTTCTTTGCTTTCTTCGTTGTCGCCGTTCTTCACCATATTGTAAAACTCTACTTTACATATTAGCCTCTGCTGAGTTCCCTGTGCTTTTGGCAATGCATTTATCTCGTCTTCGTCGTCACTGGTATCTTGGTACTGCTCTAAGAGCGACAGTCGGCCCTTCCACACAATATTTTCTGGATCCAAATTCCAGTTGGAAATACTAGGACGGCCTGGAGGAATCTTGAATAGAGCCACGTCCCAAGACTGGAAGAGCTCGTAGTTGCTGAACATTACAAAAATTGGAATTTCAGAGCAATTGACCGATTGAGAATTATTGCAATCAATGAGGATTGCGGCAACTTATGATGTGCGCCAATGCACCGAGCGCGAACGGCTGCAAAAAGGGAGGAACGAGAAGAGAGAAGAAGAGATTTGTACATGGTAATTGAAGAGAAAATAATATAAAGATGAATGAAATAAGGGCATTGATACTTGAAGATAAAAAGTGTAAAGAGAGAAATATAGGGAAAAGGTGACAAGATTTTTTCAATTGATAATGCAACAAGTTGAATACAGATTCGAAGATGGGAGTTAAATAAGAACTTCAATCGAACAAACTTTTCACTTGGTTCCAGAAGAGTACACTTCATTATCTCTTTAATTAGCTCATAAATTTACTCCTAAAGTGCTGCTACAACGGCACTGCCCAAAGCTGCAACACCTGATATACCCGCCCAAATACTAAAGAACCTTGATGGTCCACTAAGGGTGACATCGCCCACTCGACCAAACCAGAGATTTCCGTTGTATTGATCCATCGACAAGCCAACAGCCTTGGTTTTTTTGTCGTTGAATGGTGGATATCTCAATGAGAGTGTTCGCTCGTTCCGCAACTTTTGCTCCAAAATGGTTCTTTCGTGGGTAAATGCCCTGAATGAGTAAAAGCCATGGTAGCTCAGATACCCTGAGGTGCCAATTCCTCCAAATGGAGCGTTGACAAGTCCAACATGGATAATCACATCGTTGACCAAAGTGGCCCCAGACCTCAATCTTCTCATAATTTTGTCAACATTTTTGTTCCCTTTCCTCGAAGTTAGACCACTTGTAAACAAGTACAGAACCAACGGAGTATCGTGGTTTTTTGTTACATTTTCGATTGCCTCGTCTAACGTTCGGTAAGTGAGAACTGGCAAGATTGGGCCGAAAAGTTCGTGCTTCATTGAAGAGTCGCTCCATGTAACATTGTCAATGATGGTTGGGGAAAGGTACCGTGAGCTATCGTCGGTTTGTCCACCAACCACTATATCTCCTTTGGTGGTTTTGAGGATATCCTTCAAATTGTCGTATGCTCTTTCGTGGATTATATGGGTATAAGAGGTAGTGTTCTCATTAATGCCAGCATAGAAACTTTCTTGTACTACCCTCTTCATCTCTGCAACTAACTTGGATTTGAGCGAATCATGGACCAAAACATAATCCACCGCTACACATGTCTGACCACCATTGGTGAATCTTCCCCAAACAATTCTTCTCGCAATGGTATTCAAGTCTTTGTCGGAAACGTCAGGAAGCACAAATGCCGGAGATTTACCTCCTAGCTCCAATATTACTGGAGTCAAAGTTTCAGCTGCCTTTTTGGCGATAATAGTACCCACTGTGCCGTTGCCGGTGTACATTATTTTGTCGAATTTTTGTTCCAAGGTAGTTGTAGACTCAGGAATGGCACCGTTAACCACATAAAAAAAATCTGGATCCAAAGCTTGAGTGAACAATTTGGTTATCAACGCTGAAAAACGAGGTGTAAGTTCTGTCGGTTTGAATACTACAGCATTTCCAGCAGCAATGGCACCTGCAATTGGCGAAAGCGAGAGTAAAAGTGGATAATTGAACGGCGACATGATCAAAATAACCCCCAAAGGAATTCTTTCCAAGTAAACCGGGTTCGATTTCATGGAAAGAGACAAGTGAGTAACCTTTTCTGGAGTGATCCATTTGTGCAACAGAGACATGGTATGAAGCAATTCGTTCAAGCTTGGAGATATTTCCAAGTTCTGAGTCTCTGAAGGTGATCTGTAGAAATCTTCTTCCAAAGCACCACAGATTGCTTCTACATTATCTTTGATTGCAAAATAAAGGTTCCGCAATTGGTTCAACCGGAATTGAACCAGTGCAAGTTTGTTGGACTCTGAGTGAAACTTTTGGTGTAATCGGGAGACATTGGGCTTAATTTCGTCTAGCGGAGTATATTGGAGCACCGGAGCCGATGCCAAGGTGGAAGAGGGGCGCAACTGGGGCAGATCATTGAGACTCGCAAAAACACTTTCTTGGGATTTTCTGGACATATCGCTTGAAACTGGGTTGTTACCGTAAGTTTAAATAGTCTAGAGACCTTATCCCCGCCATGTGGCCCTCATTTCAGCACATGCGGAAATCCATCTATGCAAAACGCGGGGATTGCTCCGACAGGGTTCAAAGCAAGCGAGTCAGTGGCAAATAAAATTGGAAAAATGGGTTGAGAAAGAAGATTGAAAAGTGATTTGAAAGCTTGAGGATGTAATTGGAAGGGCTCAACTAAGCTTCTAGGAGTTGCAAGTGTGTTTTGTATTGCACCTTGAATTATTATTTGAGAAATATGAACCAATTAAAATTTCAATAATATATTCCAACTCATTTGAAAAAAGGTTGTGATTCGAGAACAAGTAAAGGTCTACTATTCTTGAATCTTTTTGAATGGAAATATTATCCGATTACTACCCTCTCCTTCTAAACTTCAGGACTTATTTCGCAGTCATCTCACCTGCTTCTCAGTCCCTTATGTGCACACTGCGACAGTTCGCGGCCAGAGTGAATTTTTCATTGTCGTCTTAAACACTCTTTCCAACATGCTTCGGTTCGGCTACACAGCCTTTCGAGGCCCTTCTGCGCTTCCCAGACCTCCAAGAATGTCTATAATACAAAATCGACTTCTTTCCACCTCGAGATTATGCCTCAACAACAACACCCCATCCACCGGCGACAAGTCGAAGTCTCAAGCCATCGCTGATGTCGACAACCTTTTGAACGAAACGTCCAATTTTCACGCCAACAGCTTCTCCAACCGCTCAAAGGACCGTATGTTTGATATTTCCGTGAAACACCCCCGCGATGTGGCAAAACTGATTCGAGTCCAGGGTCCTGTTGCTGGTCGTTCTGTAGACGTTCAGTACGGCAACTTTGCCCGGTCTCTCAGCTCGATGTTTTCGGTGGTCCGCAGTAACAAAATCAGGTATCTTAAGAAGATCCAAGCCCGTCATATTCCTCCTGCTAAGCTTCGCAAACAGAAGAAGAGAGAGTGGTGGAGACGCAAGTTTTCGCTGGGATTCAAGGAATTGATGGCCCAGGTGAGAGACGCAAAGAGAAGGGGATACTAGCTGTAAATAGAAAACAAGAGGAACTTCATAAATTCAAAGTGAGTTTCAGATGAGATTGATTTCACAGATGAGAACACAATACATACAAGTCATTGAATCAAAGAAAAATTGGGAAAGTTATACTGATTTATTCTACTTTCATATCCTCTGCTCGAGATCTGCAGTTTTACTTAGCAACATTACCGCTCTGGTAACATTTTTCAGCACCCTCGTATTTCCTGTATCTTCAGCCGTTGGTCCGCGCTTATCAGTAAATTTTGCGGGCTTCATCTCACAGCAAACCGTAAATTGCACTTCTGATCCCGTTCCGTCGAGCCTATAAAAAGGTGTTCCGGAATACTATAGACCACCACTCACTAGTAGCAACTCACATCATTGATACAATAATCTTTTTGATGAAATAGAGTTGACTTCCGTTTACTAATTCCAAACCAATGCACCATAATTAACCTAAAATGTCTACAATCGAACAAAAATCCCAGAACTCTCGGTCTGGAGGCATCCCTGCTATTACTGGTACCATAGACTACTCTAGAGCTATCCATTTGTTTCCACCTCAACTCCAGCCATGGCGATCAACTATTCTCGCATACGGAGCTTCGTTCGTTTCGACAACAGTCGGATTTCCGTTGGACACTGTCAAGACAAGAATGCAGACCCACAAGCAATTCAACAGCTATTTTGATTGTATAGTGAAAACCTACGCAAAAGAGGGGATTCGGGGCTTTTTTCGTGGAATTTGGGCACCATTAATTTCCACATCTTTTTCCAAATCCATAAGTGTTCTGTTGTTCACCGCTTCAAAGCCAGTGTGCTACTCGATGCTCTTCTCATCATCGGACTCAACGACTCATCCGTTCATTCAGAACATTCCAGTATGTTTTCTATCGGGAATGATTGCAGGAAGCGGAGTTTCCATTTTTGCATGTCCTTTTGAATTCACCAAAATATATGCCCAGATCGTCAAGCTCGTCCAAAAGAGCTCTGTGGCTGACATTCCTATTACTCCAGGAAAAGTAAGCTCTTCATTGACCACAACGCAAACAATTCGCCAGATCGTCAAGCACGAAGGTGTGCGAGGTCTCTACTCTGGCTTCAAATACCATTTTCTCAGAGACTCATTGTCTTCAGGAATCTACTTTTCGATATATGAAACATTGAAATGGGCCAGCAATAGTGTTCTCAATCCTGGTTCTCAGGAAACTTCTCAGTTCTCCATCTTGTTAGCTGGTGGTGCATCGGGAATGCTTTGTTGGGCCCTCATCTTCCCACTCGATACTACCAAGTCTCTTGTGCAAAAGGATGCTGTTACCAATATCCTTCGTAAAGATCATGGCTTGGAACCACTACCACCAAAGAACAGAAAACTTCAAAAGATTACTACCAAGCTTTATCGTGGTCTTGGAATTTCCATGAGTCGTTCATTCATTGTCAATATGATATTCTTTAGTACCTATGAGTACTTAATGGCGCATGTGGCATAGCGCTGCGTACACATATTCATACCTTATAGACTGTAAATAGTTTGTACAATTATAGAAGTGTTTAAATAGAGCTTTGCTGAGTTTCGCGAGATTATCATAATTCGATAAACAATTGTATGTAAGTATAGTACATTCATTAGGGATTACCTGTCTTATTATCTCCTTAGTCTTGACCTGGTATGATTTGATCTTCTGCTTCCTTGCGTCCTATTTTCCGTCGTCCATCCCATCATTTTCATTATCAGGTGCTTTCATCTTCTGCTGTGCAACTCGCCGCGACCTTCTTCTTGGTGCAATAACATCTTCCTCCGTGGATATTATCTCTTGAAGTGAACGTTTGAGAGGAGACTTCGACCTGGTTCGGAACGCAGGATAATCCTCATCTGGTCTTATGGAAGTGTCAATAAGTTTTGGTACATTTTGTCTTCTCATTCCACGCTTGGGGATTCGCAACTTGGGCTCTTCAGGTGTAGACTGCAGTGAACCAGGTTTCCCGTATGTGTGGCCGTTGCGCAAGGAATGACTGGGCTGCAACATCTCCTCAGAAATATCCAAGCCTTGAAGCATTCGTGGATGTCTTTTCTTTAGAGTTTGAATCGCTTCAACGGTAGGAACTGATTCAAGGTCCTCTTGAACATCAAAGCGGTTTTTTCTCTCTTTCAAGTTTTCCTCGTCGCTGACTTCAGTTTCCGCTTCAGAATCATTAACCTCATTATTGGCGCCTGCGTCAGAGTTTGAAGAGGAACGTTCATCATTTTCCTCAGATTCAACAAAAGCATCTCTGTCCTCAGTTTCATCTTCAGTATTAATTGGCAATTCAGATCCTTCCGAGTCCTCTTCAACTTCCGTCTCTGATTCAACAGGTGACAAGGTTGGAGGAGAGATTCGAGGCACAGAAATATCTTCAGCTTGATTCGAACTTGGCTCCCTTTTCTTTCCAAAGAAGCTTGATACAAAGGTACGAAATCTCTTGAATGTTGACCCCGCCAGATGCTTGTCTTCCTCTTCTTCAACTTCTTCAAAATGTCTCTTACGCCCAGACGTGTGTTCAGGTTCGGTCTCAAGCTGGTCGGTCGAAGATTGATTAATTTCATCTTTGGCTTCACCCTCTAAACTCTTTCCATGATTGTCCTTCTCGTCTGATGAAGCCAAAGCTTCATCTTTAATTTCCTCCTCTTGCGTGAAACTATTTTCATCAGACTGCTCTGAATTTTCTCTGACAAGAACCTCTTCTCCTTCCTCAATTATGACAGAAGGAAGAGCAACAGCCACCTTCTCTTCGTCGTCGTCATTCGAAAAGTATTCTTCTGCTTCTAATCTGTCCAGAGTAACATTTTCTTTGGCAGGCTCCTCTTCAAAAGGCTCTAAAACAGCTGATGGATAGAGTACTTCTTGGACCTCTGTGACGGTTTCCTCAATTTCAACATATTTGAGGCCCTCATCGCCAGCTACTATACCTTGCACAGTAACGCTTGCGCTGCTCTCAGGCACAATTTTTCCCGGGTCAGATTTTTCCCCTGCCTCAGTTTCCAGTTCATCAATCTCATTTTCCACTTCATCTGTATTTTCGACTTCATTTTCCACGTTACTTTTTACATTATTGTCCACATCGCTTTCCACTTCGTAATCCACTTTACTCTCCGCTTCATTTTGGGTATCATTAACTTCATTTTCTTCATTTTTGATTTCACTCTCGACATCATTCTTCACTGCTAGTTCGGTTTCATTTTCGTGTTCAGTTTGCACAATATCTTCCACGTCATTTTCCACTTGATACTCCAGTTTACTTTCCACTACTAGTTCATGTTCGATTTCCTCTTCAATCTCCGAACCATTTACCTCCTCATTTTCTTCACTTTGTTCATGATTTTCCACTTCGGGTTCATTCTCGACTTCAATTTCCACATAATTTTCTACTTCGAACTCCACCTTACTTTCCACATCATTATCCACTTCATTTCTCTCAATACTCAAATCGTTACTCTCCAATTGCTCTTCGTGTCCTTCAGTAGGTACTGGTGAAGTTGGTTCAGTCTCGTGTGTGATTGTGCCATTTTCCATTTGCACATTTTCATCAATTGCGGAAGACTCATGAGAAAATTGTTGCTCGTTGCTAAGAACTTCACCAACTAACTCTTCAGCCATATCCTCAGCCTCTTTCTGAACCGCTTCCTCTTCCATTTTTGTTTCAGAATCCACGTTCTCAGAAGGTGAATCATTATTCACCTCTTCCATTTCAACATCGAGTTCAGCCGATTGCGGTATAATAGAGGCACTATTTTCTTCTTCGTCCAATCGAATCTCGTCGGTGACTTCGATTTGATCAGGTTGAGCCTCAAAAGTGTTGGTGTTCTCGGTCTCGAGATGCTCAACCCGTTCTGTAAGTGTGTCTTCATTTTCAGTTTGAGACTGTAAAGTATTGCTTTCGTCTTCGCTGACCAGCTGGAATTGTATGGTTGGTTTATCATCTGTATCTTCTGACTGAGACCTAGAAGCCTCATTCATAGAATTGAACTCGCCAGCTGATGTTTCCCTATGTTCAGATGGAGATTGTAAGATGCTAGAACTTTCAATCTTAGATATAGCATCGTCAACTGGTTGGGTATCTTCAGAGAATGATCTCTTTTCGATACCCTGCGACTGAGAGTTCCTGGAACTGTCCTCCCCAAGAGCATTGTCATGAAGTGAAATTGTGTCTTCTGGGAGTGTGCTCGTATCGTTGTTTTTAGATGGTGACTCTAAGTCGCGAGTGGTCTTATTTTCGAGTTCATTACCATCAATTGAAGGTCCCTTTAGGATTGAAACTCGTTCATTGTTCTCAGATTCAGACCCTAAAATGTCGGTCATTTCGTGCTCGGATTTCTCATCGACGTTTGGTAATGAAGTCTTTTCTGTATCGTCTACCTCAGCATCAATTTCTGTTGTTGCATCGATATACGTTTCTTCTGGTCCTGGGGGAACAGCTTCAAGAATTGGTTTTTCAATGTGTGGAGGCGGTACTTCAGAAACATGTTCAACGACCTCTCCGGCAGTTTCTTCAGCTTCTTTCCTCTCTTCCCTGCCAATCTGATGCTCTACAGAATCGAGGACTGCCTGAATTTCATTGTTCTGGATAGCCTCCAGCTCAGAGTCCGCTTGGTATTCCTCGCCTGCGTTGGTTTGGCTTGACTCTATGGCTTCCTGAATTGCAGCTGCCATTTCGTCGTCAGCATCTTCATCCACCAGACCGACGTTTTGGCTGTGTGAGCTCAGCAGTCCAGAAACCCGGGAAAGCTCCTCTTCCATAGCTGATACAACGTTCAACTTGATGTTGAAACGCTTTTCGGTTTCTTTAAGCTGGTCTAAAACCTCTTCTGGCTCATGTTCCAGAAGAGTACGGAAAATAAGTGGTGAGGGCGAGTTGCTCTCTTCCTCAGACTCAGACTCTATAGCTGTATTTTCCTGGATCTCCTCGTTTTGAAGCAAAGTTTCCGACTCTAAGTTCATGGCGGTATTGGCTTGTTCGTCAAGATGGGCATTTGTCTCAGACTCATGGGTTTCTTCTTTATGTTCGTCAGGATTGGTGTTGATCGACTCCGGCTCAAAGGTGTCATTCTTGTGTACATTATTGGCGTTAGTCATGAATGAAGCAATGGACTCCAATACCGACTTTTCCAAGGGAGCGTTATCCATTTGCTCTGATACTTCGTGGTCGTTCTCTGATTCTTCTTCTTCTTCTTCTTCCTCGTCTCCATCAGATCCAGCATCGGACTCAACATCGGAACCAGCATCGGAATCATGCATGTTATCATCAACATTATTATCGTCATTTTCATTCTCCAGAGTGCTGCTACATCAAACTCCACCATTACCGATACCTCAGCATCGTCA